CTGGTTGGGCAAAGTCCCATTTTCATGAGGCTTAGATGAAGAGGCAAGGGGTGACTTCATTGAGGTGCTCAGAGATATCCCTGCATCCTTGGAGAAGCTTCTAGAAGTGTAGTCTGTGTTGAAAATGTGCAAACAAGCTGCAGAAGAAAGTAAGCACGTCAGCAGAAAGCATCAAAATTAGCAATATGAAGTAGGTCAAAGACAGGTTTGTGGTTTTTTAGCTAAACTCAGAAGACAGCATACATTTCCCTGCTCTGATATCATAAGACTAGATCTTTCTGTTTTTCAATTCTGGTCGAATTTCTACTGAAGGTAAAAATTTGATAACAACAACAAAAACAGTTCTAAAAAAGCAGTCAACACTCTCCTGGTAAGTCCTTTCTTCTTAGATTTTCTTCTGGAAGCTTCTTTATCAAGTATCTACCTTATTATCCTGTCATCAGAAATAGGCAAGATACTATACTGGGACACTATGTGAGAAAACTTATGCATTTGAACCTGCAACCAGTTTTTCTTCAAAGCCTAGGTATCCAGAGCATGACCTGGGGGCAACACACAGGGCAATACTTCAGCTTGTGTTGTAACATTACTATGGACTGAACTGTGTCTCCCCCAAATTCACATGTTAAAGCTCTAACCCTCAGTGTGATGGCACTTGGAGATGGGGCCTTTGGGAAGTGATTGGGTTTAGATGACGTCATGGGGGTGGGGTCATGAGGGTGGCAATCTATTAGCCAGGAATAGGTTCCTTGACAGACACTTAGATTTTGGACTTTCCAGACTCCGGAAATAGCTGTCTGTTCTTTAAGTATGGCATTTTGCTATGGCAGCCTGAGCTAAGATAATATTGAATGAAACCTCGTTCTGTTTTCTGGTGTCTTATTAAGAGGAAGGCTGGGGGTAGAGGATGGGGAAGAAAGATTTAAAAAATTAACAACAGACCTCGCTAACAATTATTGCTTTAAGCAAGAGTTTTAATGGTGTGAGGGTGGGCAAGCAGTGCTGGATTTGTCAGAATCTGCCTCATCGGTGAAATCTGAGAACTGTAGCTATGAGCTGAATGGGATCCTCTTAGACATTGGGTTCTGTCTCTCTGAACCTGAAATAAAAAGCTGTTATTAAGTGAATGTATGCACCTTTAAGTCCCAGACATACTCATACCATATTCTAATTTGAAATCACCTGTGGACCAGAAATCTCATCCCAGAAACAAACTCTAATGGGGGCTCCTTGGCTATACAGTGAGTATGATGCAAGGTTCAGACAACTTTAGAGATTACTGTCTGGAGTTTTTGGTCCCTGTCAAATTGACTGAGGGCATAAAATCTCAATTAGTTATCTCAAGTTCTAGTAACTATGAGGTCATTAAAATGGAGTTTGGTAGAGTTTCAGGGTGACCTCCCAAAATGTATATACATTTGCATGCATTTGCCTGAGCTGAAGCATGTAGATTCCCAGCATGTACCCCTAATATTTCCAATACCTGATGATGAGGTCTGTTTCAAGGGGTCCTCCAGGATCTCAGTCTTGGGAGCCATGTTGCTGACATCCTAGATAACTTGACCTTGTTCGTTGGGCTCTTCAGTTTGACCCTTCTAAGTCATGTGCTGTCTTGCGCTGAGGTCTTACAGGTCATCCTGAACTGTGGTTTCTCTTCTGCTGAAGGCATCCAGATCTGGTGGGTTCTGGTTCTGGCATCTGATCTGAACAGCATTACCCCTCATATTTTCAGGATCCAAACCAAGGTGTGTATAGATAAACTGATCTATAGCCTTCAAAGGCCGTATGTGGGGATCTACCACTAACTGCACTAGTATCAAGATGTATTGAGAATTTGCATTTGGAACACACTGGTATTCAGGTTGCTTTTGCTTCATTTACTTTGCCTCGGCATGTGTCCTCATGACACTGTATTGTTCAGGTGCTGCTCAATATCCTAAGCCTCCCCAAGAATGGAAAGGGGTTCTTGCCTTGACCGTGAGACAGCTACAGTTCTCTAGGGTTAGATACACTGGAGACAAGAAGGAAAATGAACAAATAACAAGAAAAATAAGACAGAAAAGGTACCTAACATCTGGTAGCAGGCCTAATAACTCTTGGAAGGTCTCTGGTGCACTCCTTGCATTTCTTGGAGCCAACTGCCTCTGCCCTGACTACAGGGGTTTGGCCAGGTGTCAGGCTATTTGACCACGTGCAAATGGCAGGTGACTCTCCAGAAAAGAAATCAGTGCTGCCCCATGTTTTCCTATGAACAGCTATCAAACTAGGCTACAAAAGGATATGTACTTTGGAAGACTTTGATCAACAGTAGGACCTATGACTTCAGGACCTATGACATTGTGACTTAGATTTTTCAACTGCATAGTCCCTTGTTCCCCTTCCCTACCCACATTTTGAGGTTTGGACATTCATTGAATCTGTGCCAAGCTCAGGCTGCACACTCAGCTGTATGTTGTATAATAGTGATAGAAAGAACATGGCTGCTTGACAGAGTCCACAGATGCAGGTGACAATTCTGGTTACTAGCTGTCTAATAAAGATTCTGGTCACTAGCTGTGACTTTGAGCAAGTGATTTTTTAGACTTCAATTTCCTTATCTGAAAATTGGGGATAATACAGTGTGGCTTTTAGATGTATTATGAAAGAAAAAAAACATTTGTAAAACATCTAGGAAAGCATCTGACATATAGGCAATCTATATATTGATATTCATAGTACTTTTAGAGTAATATTAGCATAGTATGAAAAAGATTATAGTACTTGTCTAACAAAGTTTATTTTTAAAACATACACAGTTTTAATTAGCCTTTGTGGAAATTTACTCCATTCAACACAAATAAATATAGAAATAAATAATCCTCTGTAGAAAATACTTGTGTCTCACCTTAGTTGCTTCATTGATGATTCGGAACCTGGTGCTGTCTTTGCCTATTGTGACTGAATCAAATAATGCCCGATAAGTGGACTTCTTGGGGAGTTGCTGTTTCTGACGCCTACAGATGTGGAGTATACAGATGCCTGAGAATTACTGTGATTGTCCGCACCCAACAGACTGTATTACCATGACAAAGTCATTAATATTTACTGTGGTAGTAACTGAATTGGGCCCAGACAGTATTAGTACTCCAATAAAGTATTAAGAGGAGTACTTTGTTATTAGAGTGCTAATAAAATTAGTAGTAATAAGAAAAATACTAATAAAATTCTTCAATGTATAACACTATTCAAGGATGGTATTTTGTCCCTTTTATTGATAAGGTGAGGCAGTTTTCATGGATGACATTTATTAGCTTATTAATTTCACTCCCTCTTTCCATGCAATGTATACTTTAATAAAAACTCAATAAATTCTAATGGAAATTGAGTATTGAGTATAATCTAGTGGTTTAACAAGGTGACTAGGTGGTCACTAAAGAGTTCCTTCTACCGTACTTATTCAAACTAAAATAATATAATTTTCTTCTTCTAGAGCAAGTGAATAAATTAGAAAGTTATAATATACAATACAATTTGTGGTGACTTCAATTTCAGGATCAATAAGGCTCTGAGGAAATAGGCAATCTTATAGAGTGGTAATGGGGAGTACAAAATGATACAGACCTTGTGGAGGGATATCTGGTAACAGCTACAATTTCAAATACATTTACTCTTTGACCCAGTAATTCCATTCTGAGAAATTCGTCCTATAAACACACTTGCATGTGAAGGAGATGACATATGCATAGCTTTTCAATGTGGCAGTGCTATTATAGTAAAACTATCCCCAAACCTAGCAATATGAGAAAAACTGAATAAATTATAGTACCATCTACCCAAATGGAATATTATATAGCTCCAAAAAGAGAAGACAATCTCCATACACTCATGCAGAGCTCTTCAAAATAAACTATGAAGGAGAAAAAAAAAGAGGCACACAATAGTAGATATAAAAAACTACTTGGTGTGGGAAGGGTAGTAATATGAGAATATATCCAGTCAACAAAAAGAAGTGCTGGAAAAATAAATAAGAGGTTAATAAATCTGGCTAAAAGGACAAGATGTAGAATTGGGGGAAGGGGACAGGAATGAAAATAATACTTTCTGATGTACATCTTTTCATTTATTTGATTTTTAAACCATGTAAATGTATTATCTACTCAAAGACATAAAATTTTAACATCAGTTTAAAAACACTGACTTTTAAAATAAACTGCCTGTTTACTAAAAAATTTAGATACCACAGTAGTAAGTATATAAAGTTAAAGGCAAATGTCTGAAAAATTCCTTAATTACTGAATTTCTTAACTGGCCCTTTCCTTTGTAAGCCTATCAGTTCTCAAAAATTTACTACATATCAATTTTGAAATATTGTCAGAAATGTTTTCATCCAAGTAATACATTTCCTCTCCTTACCTGTAGAAAGCAATCTTGCTGCAGTCTTTGAAAATGCTTTCATCCACAGCTTCATCTTCAACACTAAATAAACAGACATTTTAAGAAAGTTATTTTAGCCCTAGTTGGTGTGGCTCTGTAGATTTAGTGTCATCCTGAGAACAGAAAGGTCTCTGGTTTGATTCCCAGTCAGCGCACATGACTGGGTTGCAGGCCAGGTCCCCACTTCAGGGTATGTGAGAGGCAACCAATCAATGTATCTCTCACACATTGATGTTCCTCTCCCTCTCTTTCTCCTTCCCTTCCCCACTCTCTAAAAGTAAATAAATAAAATCTTAAAAAAAATAAAGTTATTTTATATAAGGTTTGTGAACCCAATTTTGTACCTTCTCTAACTACAGTATAAGCATGGGAAGTAGCCCTGGCTGGTGTGGCTCAGTGGATTGAGTGCTGGCCTGTGCATGGAAAAGTCACCAGTTTGATTCCCAGTCAGGGCACATGTTTGAGTTGGGGCCAGGCACCTAGTTGGGGGCTTGCAAGAGGCAACCTATGTTTTTCATGCACATGCTTCTCTCCCTCTCTTTCTCCCCCCACCTCTAAAAATAAACAAATAAAAATCTTTCTTTTTTCAGGGGGAAGCACAAAGGCAGCCCCCCATTACCACAAATTATGCAGTGAAATTTCCCACATTGGGGAAATCGCAGGGATAGACCTGAGTGCAATGGGTGAGCCTTGTCCTGGGAAAACCACCTTATGATCATGGTATCTCCTCTGCCAGGTAAGTATAATAAATAAAAATCTTAAAAAAAAACCATGGGAAATAAACCTCTGCAATGCAAAATTGTGTCATGGCCACAGCATAACACATTAACATGTGCTGCAGAACAAGATCCTTTTTAAAGTCATCCAAGGTAAACAATAAAACATGATGTTCTGGGATTACTCTGAAAGCAATAGAAAAAGAGCGCTGTTACTTATGAGGAAGGATTTTTTCAAAATAATGAATAAAAAATGGTGATGGAAGGAGACTTGGGGTGGTGAACACACAATATAATACTCATGTACAATATAATTTTATTAACCAATGTCACCCAAATAAATTCAATTAAAAAAGTAAAACAATTGAAACAGGTAGAATAAAATGTTCCCCAAAATTGCTTCATGGAGTCAAGCCCCACCAGTACTATGGCAGTTATCAACAAGTAGTTACAAAACAGTGGTCCTGGCACTACTCTCACTTCTTTTAAGTTTGTTTTTCAGGTCTTAAGCCAAGCCACCAACCACAGAGACCAACTCAACACCTGATTGGGAAAGTCCCGTCCTGCATCTCATAAGTGTTGCACAACCCCAGGTGATGCTTTGCTTTGCTGACATAACTCAGACATCAGTGTTCCAAAGAGGAGAAGCCTGCTAATCAACTCTCTGGTTAGCTCTACCAACTTCTGTGTATAAACACTGAGCCCCACAACTGGTGCTTAGAACATGGAACCTATCTCAGTGTTCTTGCCCTCTGCAGAGCCTCAGTAAATCTGCCTGTGTTTTATTTTTTATTTGTTTTAAAAGATTTTATTTAGTTACTTTTAGAGAGAGTGGGAGGAAGGGAGAAAGAAAGGGAGAGATACATCCATTGGTTGCCTCTCATGGGCCCCCTACTGGGTGCCTGGCCCACAACCCAGGCTTGTGCTCTGACTGGGAATGGAACCAGGGACCTTCCGTTTGCAGGAGGACGCCCAGCCCACTAAGCCACACCAGTCAGGGTCTGCCTGTGCTTTTTTATCAGTGTCCCTGGTTTAAATTCTTTTCTGTCAGGAAATAAGAACCTAAATTCTTCACTAACATAATAAGCAAAGGCTATCACTACAATAATAAAATCTGAAGGAACAAAAACAAACAAACAAAAAACCTAAATTGAACAAACGGAAACAATCCATCCATTCATTTATTCAACAAAATATTTTTAGGACCTTCTTACTGAGTGCTGAGCTCTGAGGAAGATGTGAAGGCCTGTGTCCAAGACTTCTCTGAGAGCACAGCCCGCAATCACAGATCGACCTGGCATGCTAGAGCAGGGCATGTGCAAAGTGCAAAGTGCAAGGACAGGAACAGAGACAGGTGTAGGAGAAAAATCATTCGGTTTTTATGATGATGCTGACCATCTAGGTGTCAGTACTTTTTTCAGACCAAGTTTCCAGAAAGCTGTTTCTGGAATAGAACATGATATTGCTAATGGAAATTATGTATTTAACATATACTCACTAAGACAACTATAGAATGGGGGGTGGGTGGGATGGGAGTAAAAGGCAGAAAACTGTACTTGAACGATTAAAATTAAACTAAATTAAGTTAAATTTTAAAAAGACAACTATAGGATATAAGGGGGGGGAACCATTGGCTTTCATGCAAAGGTGTGGCTGAATGCAGTTGTAGTCAGCATGTCCATGACTAAAGCTATGATTGAGTACCATTTTCAAAATATTATGAAAACAAGCTCAGGCAGATACATTTGGCCATACTAAAAAAAAAGGTTTATCATAGAAGTAGTCTTTGTCACTGTTTCTTTTAATCAAATGTGCAAAGATTAAGAAATTTGCAGTCCCCTTTTTCCAGCTTTGAAGAATGAGCTCTGGAGTGATAGGGGAAGAGGTGGGTATAGCCAAACTTGGCAAGCAACATGCTTGAAATTTCATGTGTTAGAGTTCTGATCACAGCTCTTCCAGTTTTGTTAACTATCCTGAAAGTATTTTAGGAGGGTCTAGCTATTATATCCACTGATCCCTGGGGAGAGAAAAAGATAATGTACACAAATATAGAGTATGCAAGTAAGAAGTAAAATCAAACAATAAAACCTTCAAAGCCAGAATTTTGCCTTTAGGTTTTTTTCAGGAACTATCCCCTGTCTCTGTGGGCCCTGGAGTCTGTCCCTTCAGCATCACTGCGTTCTCACCTGATTTCCTCTTTTACGGGTAGTTCCATGGCTTCCAAGTCACTTCACAGGCTCCCAGCAGTCAGTCTGGTGATTTTTTTTCAAGCGCGGAGAGGTCTCTTTCGAAATTAGCACCAGCACTTCACCACCGTCAAGACTCTGGGAAATGGGAGTCCCCTCCAGGTCCTTAGGCAGAGACAACTCGATTCTTCTTCTGGAACTTCCAGGACAAACGAGCGTTTCTACGAGGAATTACTTTATTTAGCAATTTTTTCTTGGTAATGAGTGACTAAAGAGAAACTGCTTTCGTTAGGAACCGGAAAGGTCTTTACAGCAGACGGGGCGTACTCAAAGAGTTCTAGAGTGTTAAAATTCCAGCCTGTGATCATGAAATACAGAGATGGTCTGCCTGATTGGGGCGAAGCTTCTGCAGGTCTTTTCAGTGACAGTCACGCCATTTATTGAAAACGGACCGACTTTCTCCCTTTTAATTCTGAGTGGGAAGTGCCAGCCAGGTCTTTGCTGGAGCTTTATGTTCTCCGCTCAAACTCTATAGCAACGTCATACTTTTCCGGGCTAGAAAGGGCTTTTTAAAGAGGTTATCTATTACACAATCCAGTTTAGTAATCGCTTATACTACACCACCGCCAAATTGCAGTCTTTGCCTATTACTCCCAGAAACCAGGAACTCATTACTAGACCCCAAATAGGCAATTAGACTACTTTGGTTTTCCCAGACTTTTGGTCCCGAAGTCTGACTTTGACTTAAGCGGGATAAGGGGCAGCAGGAGGAAAGAGCCAAACACAACACGGGGGATGCTTACCTGGTCCCCAAACCCGTTAAGGGCTAGGAGAGAGCAAAAGAGCCGGTTGAGGCGGAAAGGTTTTTGGAGATCATCCTAACTCGCTAAGGTGACCAGGTTGTGACTGAACTCGCTAAGGTGACCAGGTTTTGACAGAACGACGCCTGCGCAGTTTTCCCACAAGCTCCCAACAGCGAAGACGTCAGGAAGGAGGGGGTGCTGAATCGCCAAACAATGCTCGCGAGGTTTGGAGGGTCCGCCCCCGACCTTCCCCAGAGCAGAGCCGGAAGAGGGCGAGACTAACCGGAAGAAGGTGAAATGCTTTTGGTAGAAGCTCCAGGACTGTGAAGATGGCGGGTGCTGCGTGGCTTCAGTTGCTGCCTGTCATTCTTCTTCTTTTGGGGGCTCAGCCGTCCCCACTGTCGCTTTTTGGTGTAGGACCGATACTTGTCGCCGCTACTGACAGATCCAAGTGGCATATTCCGATACCGTCGGTGAGTGTTCCGAGGCTACTGAGCCTGGAGGAGCAAGGGGTGGGGCTACGGCGGCCCAAGGGGTCCATGAAAGTTTTATAGAAGTCGGTTTCCCAAGGGGTGGGATTGCCTGGAGCGCCCGTGTCGCTGGTTAACGGGGACCCCCCTCCCTGGAGCAGAAAGCCGGAAACCTCTATGCGTAGACTAGCAGAAATGTCAGCGCCACATCAGGAGTGGAATGGTGAAACGGTTTCGTAGCAGAGACCTTTCAGCGCCTGACTTGAGACAGGTAGCCGAAGTTTTACAGAATTCAGTGACCCCTCGTTGGATGAGAGGAATAAGTTTATAGGCGTCCTTTTTCCCTTCTGCACTTTTGTTTTTGCTGAATAGTTCTACTTACGAAGTCGTACGATTTCGTTTGAACTTTGAAATGGTTATTCTAAGCTTTACTGTGTAATTAAGAAGCCTAAGCATAAAAAATATGTATTCTAGTATGAGAATGGCTAAAATAAATAGTATTCTAAAACTTGATATGGTAAGGCTAGTCTTTCGGTTGGATACTTAACTAGATAGGTTTACCTTATCTGCCTCCTACCCCCTTTTGCACTTCATTTGAGTAAGAACTTTAGTCCAGTGAGCAGACAAAAATTAGATGCAGGAAATGTGAAAAATCGTTATTAGTCGTGCTAAAACCATGGTGACTTTTTGTTTAATTCTGCTGTCCTCACTGGTTGTCATGTCCAAATCTTATTTGAGATTTTGTATGGCAAAATTGTAGCTTTTGTTCATTTGATGAAGATCTTCAGGTTGCCAATTTTAGGTATTTGTTGCTAAAATGAGTTAAAGATGGCTATTTGCTCATAGAATAGTTTATTTGAAGAAATTACTGGTTATTCTGACCAGTGATGAGTGAGTAAAGAGGATGATGAGTTTGATTAATTTGTACCATCTATGAAGATTAAGTTGGGACTTTTACCTGCCTTCCTTACAGAGCTCTTGCCTCAGTCACGGCCTGTGTGGAAAGAAATGTCTGTACCAAGCTTCAACATCCTGCAGTTTGAATATGGTGGAATTTTACTAAAAGGAAGGGTATTGATTCCCTTTTTGTTAAAAAAAAAACAACAAACCTAACTAGAACATTTTATTAATGTAGATGTTCATTACAGATGTTACCTTCTGCCTTGGGAATTAAAGTGATCTCATGCTAATTACCTTTCTCTCCTTTGTATTTGCAGGGGAAAAATTACTTTAGCTTTGGAAAGATCCTCTTCAAAAATACCACTATCTTCCTGAAATGTGAGTTTTTGTATTTCATGAAGTTTTTGTTTTGAGTTCTTGAGTGATTTTAAACTTTTAAATTACCTGCTTTCTACTTCTAATGACTTACTCTCAACATAAGTTCTGAAATTTAATAGTCCAGCACTATCTAGGCAGAAGGATATGTATATAACTAAGGTCCTTTCACTGAACAATCTTCAGAATACTTATTTGTATGAATTCTACTTTCTTCTCATTTTTCTGGTATTTATACAGTTGACCCTTGAAAAATGAGGAGTTCAGGGCCTCCCATGCCCCATGCAGTCAAAACATCCACATATAACTTTTGACTCCCTCAAAACTTAAGCTGACTGTATGTATCTATGGGCGTTAGATTGGTTCTAAGACTCCCTGCCCCAGATGCTTGTGTCCGCTTTATAAAGTGGTGTAGAACAATACATACAGTCAGCCCTCTGCATCTGTGAGCTCCTAACTGCTGATGAAAATGGTACAGGTATTTATTGAAAACATCTATGTATAAATGGACCCATGTAGTTCAAACCATGTTGCTCAAGAGTCCAATGTATATTTAGACAAGTTGTGTTGGTTGATTGTTGGCATGGTGTTTTGATCTGTTCTGAGTTACAGAGATACCACTGATTTTGCTTTTGTGTGTGTGTTAGGTATTTACTGAACTCATGAGGTAGGTTTGTCAGATCATTGGCTCTAAGTGAATATGTTGAGTAAACCTTTTGTTTACAAAAGGAGTATTTTACAACGCAGATCTTTGCACGAGGAAACTCAAAGACATTTTCAGGAAATAGGGATTATGTAGAACAAAACCAGTCTGTCCAGTTGAAGAACCACTTTCTCTGAATCCAGAATATCCCATTGTGTATTAAAGAAAAGCGTCCTTTTATTTCTGAAACTGGCTTTATTGTAGAGAGCAGATGATCATGGGAAGCTCCGTTTTAAGATCAGGGATAAAAATCTATGTCATCCATGTGTGCTTCTATACATATCTGTCTCTGTGAAAATGCAGAGTTGGAAGTCATAGTTCTATGATTTCACTCTTTTAATCATTTAGTAAGTAGTCACTAAAAAACTAACTATGTGCACTGTTTGAGTTAGCAGAGAAGAGATAGAAAAGGCTCTTCTCTTGTTGAGTTTTAGTCTGCTGGGGTGAAGGAGGCAGATAGAATTCTATGAAGAATATACTGTGTCCGTGACAATATAATCTCCTGATTAATGACTTAAATTTACTTTGACACACTGGGCTTTCTTATGAGTTGCTTTACAAGGTAAGAGTACCTTTTAGAAGTAGAAGTATTTTGTCTTTTGTCTGATAGCCTGTATGCTAATCTTTCCTTTTATTATGTAGTTTTTTTCACCTGCATTTTGATCTAATGGTATTTTGCTAAGTTACACAAGCTACATATTTTGAACTGTCTGCATTTCATTGTTTTTGAAGGATTTGGGGCTCCTTAAAAGTTACATTATCTTTCACTTCACTTGTGTGCTTTCTTATATTTACCTCGTCTCTGATCTTAAACTTTTGTGGGTTTGTCATATATAGCTTTCCATGAAATTGGCAGGAACTTTTTCATTATCTCTTAAAGACATCCATTCAAAGTTCTTACTGGTGTCTTTTAGCAAGAATCAAAGAAAGAAGATAAAAATACTGACTTTCCCTGGTCAAACAGCTAATCAGTCTTATAGTCAGATTTACATTTTCAAGTCTTTAGACTAATACCTTGATCTACCAGAATATTGTGTTCTAGATTATGTTTAGTAAGTTATATGAGGCTTTTATGATTTCATAAGTTCCTTGAGGCCTCTCATAAGGTGGGTTTTGAAAACAATCTAATACACGATACTCTTTTATTTTTGCTTTTGTAGTTCCTACCTTCAGCAGCCAGGTTTGCTTTTTATTCATAGTTTTTTCTATCCAATCTTGATATCTTTAAAGATTTAGGCCATGAGTTTTTTTCCCCCACTGTTTTAAATATTGCCTTGTGACATCTCTAACGTTGTTACTCCTTTTCTCTCCAAGTGGAATGTAGCCTTTTTAAGGGTCTTGGTAATTTCTGTTCCCTCCTATTCCTGTCTTTGGCTTTAACAGTGTTATGTAGCATAGTATTTAAGTGCTCTGTTTCACAAATATTTGAATGATAACAGAAGACTGGTTTTAACTTAGGACTGCTTTATTTCTAGGTTTTTTCCAACAGAGAACCAGAAGTCAAGATTTTAAAGCATAAAAATAGATATAGTTTCAAAGGTTAAAAACTGTTTAACTGCTTTTTCTTTCTGTGGGTAACAATACTTAATTTATTCAAAGACCGTCCAGTTCTTTTTGCATATGACTTCATTACCTTCTGTTTGGAGGAGGGGTGGTCTTTGAGTATCTCATTTTGGCAGGAAATAAATGGGATATGGGGTTTGGGAATCATCTTTTATTCACAAAGGTTCTTATTTTATAGTTGATGGAGAACCTTGTGATGTACCTTTGAATATAACCTGGTATCTGAAAAGTGCTGATTGTTACAATGACATCTATACCTTCAAGGTAAGGAACATACTTTTCTTGGACTTTAGAGATCATGAGGTCCCGGAGTGTCCTGTAGCTGTGAAGGAGAAAAACTGAAACTAGGATCCATGCTTCCCAAGTTGCAGACCTAGCTGCCAGCAAATCTCAGACTTTCTAGTCTTGGAACACTTATATTTTTAAATATTATGCAGACTACAAATATATAACCATCATGTAGGTTGCTATATTAGAAATTAAAACTGAGAAAATAGAGAAAGATATATTAATTCAAAATAGCAGTAATAAATTTTGTGCATGTTATTATAAAATTTTTTAATGAAAAATGACCTTTTTTTTTTTAAGACCAGAGAGTGGTATTATTTTGTATTTGTGCAAATTCAGTTAGCATCTGGTATAGTAGAAAACAGCTAGATTCTTGTATCCTTTATTCAGTGTGTTATGATAAGTTATTTTGGTTGAAATATATGCACAAAATATGACCTTACACAGATAGGTAGTTGGAAAAGAGAATAGTATTTTTAAATATTTTCAGATACTTGTGGATATTGTTCTTTGATCCTATACCAAAACATAACAAGTGGAGTTTCTTAAAGGTTAGTTGTAATGTGGAATCGAAAGCATATCAGTGAACTTTTAAAAAAATCTGTTACAGTAAAATATATTGGTGTGTCACCCTGGCCGGGTGGCTCAGTTGGTTGGAGCATTGTCCAATATATCAAAAAGGTCGTGGGTTCAATCCCCAGTCAGGGCACATACCTAGGTTGTGGGTTTGAATTCCTAGTGGGGGTGCATAATGGAAGCAGTCAATGATGTTTCTCATATCGCTGTTTCTCTGCCCTTCTCAATTTCTCTCTAAATCAAAAATATATCCTTGGGTGAGGAATAAAAAAGATAAATAAATAGTTGTGTCTTGTACTTCGGTCTCTTACCCATGTTTGATTTTGTATCATCATTCTTGGTCATTTAGAAAAGACTGGTTGGTTGAGTTACATAAGCTTTCCAAATATTAATTCACTTTACAATTAACTCAAAATTATATTTGTCAGTATCACTCTTCAGTCTCATTAGAGCCTCAAAGTACTAGAAGCTGTTGAGCTCATAGCGAGTCAGATAACAAATTTTCCAAAATTCTAATTTTTGCTTAAGAATTCAAATTTTATCACTGGCAGTGAATACTGTCAGTTGTTTCCCTTGAAGTGGTAGCTTTCCTTTGCCCATTTTCAAGAAAATATCACCCAGATAACCAAGTCTAAATAACTAGTTTGTCAATTGTTCTTTCAACTAAATGAAAAAAGACTAGTTATAAGTCAGATCAGTTGCAAAGTGTTTATCTCAGCACATTTATAGTATTTTTGCACACTTCCCATTTTGTGTCATAGAACATTAAAAAGGCATGTACTTGCCCTGACCAGCTGGCTCATTTGGTTGGAGCGTTGTCCTGTACACCAAAAGGCTGCAGGTTCAGTCCTGGTTGGGTTATGTATAGGAGGCAACTGATTGATGTTTCTGTACCTCCCTGACTTTCCTCTCTAAAATCAATATATCCTTGGGTGAGGATTAAAAAATAATAATAATAATCAGAAAAAAATAAAAAGGCATGTACTTAAAGGTTCAGATTTAATAATGTTAATGATTTTTACTGCTTCATTAAGGATATTCTTACATAAAACTGGCATTGTTTTCTTTTAACTGCAAGTTTGTGATTGTGAAGAGTACCATGACGACTAATGCAGTTAGGTGTCATTGCCTTGGTTCCTGATAAGGGGCAACAGTTTTACCCATCATTACTTTTGCACCTGTCAGTACAAGGCAGATAACATATGATGATGATGAAGAATAAGAAAAGAAGGAGGAAGAAGAAAATAGTTTTCTTAGACCTCATGAAAGGGTCTATGGACCACACTTTCAGAATTTCCATGGTATATTTTACCTGTTTTCTTTCTTTAATTTTTTAAAAAGATTTTATTTATTTATTTTTTAGAGAGGAGAAGGGAGGGAGAAAGAAAGGGAGAGAAACTTTCATGCCCTCTACTGGGGACCTGGCCCGCAACCCAGGCATGTGCCCTGGAAATCAACCTGGTGACCCTTTGGTTCACAGGCCAAAGTTCAATCCACTGAGCCACACCAGCAAGGGCTTTTTTTTTTTTTTTTATAAATATTTTATTTATTTATCTTTAGAGGGGTAGGGAAGGAGAGAGGGAGAGAAACATCAATGTATGGTTGCCTTTTGTGCGTCCCCTGCTGGGAACTGGCCTGCAGGGAACTGGTCTGCAACCCAGGCATGTGCCCTGACTGGGAATCGAACCGTGATTGTCTGGTTCGCAGACCGGCGCTCAATCCACTAGCTACACCAGCCAGGGCTAAACGTATTACATTTCCCCTACTATTCTTTAAGGAAAATCTGACTGGTCTATTAAAAATTTCTACCATTCAGTCAGTTTTTCAAACCTTAAGCATTTTGAATTTCTGCCTAGTATTAGTGTCTAAATGATCTTTTTTGTGGTGTTGGTAACTGTTTTTGGCATTTGTTATCCAACATTCGGTAGGATTAATAGGAGGAGGACTAAAAGGACTGAAGAATTTAGAAATGATAATGTCAGAATATGGTTTGAATGACTGTTCGGTGATCTTTTTCTCCTAATTGATTACTAATTGAATTTACAGTTAAAAACTTTATGTATTTAAAGCCCTGGCTGGTGTAGTTCAGTGGATTGAGTGCGGGCCTGTGAACCAAAAGATCACGGTTCGATTCCCAGTCAGGGCACATGCCTGGGTTGCAGGCCAGTTCCTAGCAGGGGCCAGTTCCTAGCAGGGGACGCATGAAAGGCAACCATACATTGATATTTCTCTCCTTCTCTCCTCCCCTTCCCCTCTAAAGATAAATAAATTTAAAAAAAACTTTATGTATTTGAAATTTGTAATGAACTGGTTAAAATCCAGTTTTCATAGGTAGTACAAGTTAAGAATTTAAAAATTATTTTGGATTGCCATAGGACAAAATTCTGAAATTGACAGATAGTTAGAGATGTGATATTGGACCTTAGAAACAAAAGGGCAAGATTAGGCATGTAGGCATCAGAGAAGAATACACAGAACTGATCAATGAAGGAGAAAAATGGTAAATTTTTCCAGAGTATCAGCAGCAGGCTGTGAAGGGCTCCAACAATTCTGTACCCTATCTTAGCTTATGAGCACAAGCATATCTTTTCATTGGTGGTGTTAATTTAGTCAAGTAATTCTTATAAATATATTTTCTGTGAGAAAAGAAAAGCCTTCTAGAGTCTGACATTTTCCCAGTCTTGCTAGAATTTTTAGAGGAACTACCCCTTGTGAGCCATAGACTAGACTTCTGTACTTTAGAGTCTAACACTGTTGAAGTTGTGGATACCAACATAGAGTCTTCATCTTGTGTTGTTAATTTTTAAAATAGTAAGCCCCAAACTATATTTGTGTTTTAGGTGGTGTATATCTTCTAAATATCTTACTTGGGAAAAGTAAGTTATTGTATTTTCTCTATTTTTCCAGGCAGATGACATGGAGACTTATTTGGAAAAAAAGGAATTGTCTGGGAAATACCAAGCAGCATCCAAATTGTTCCAGAACTGCAGTGAACTCTTTAAGACACAGGTAATATTTGGTAGTGGTTAGAGGGAAATAGAAGAGTTGAAAAATGTAATGCCTGTACTTTTGATGATAATTATTTCCTACTCCCCAGTTCTTTCTTCTGACAGAAGTTAGAAGCATGTTCTGATAGGTGTATGGCCAGCCACCTACATATTTTCTCATCACATAAGAGGATCTACTTTTTGTGTGTATGAAAAACAAACCCATTTTTTCTTATTGTAAATATACATAACAAAAAATTGCCATTATAATCATTTTTTTAGTGTCAAATACTACCATTAAGTACATTCACGTTGTTCTCCAACTATCACCATTAGCCACTTCCAGAACTTTTTCATCATCATGAACTGACACTTCTTAACCATTAAACAATAACACCTCCCCCTGGCTGGTGTGGCTCAGTTGGTTGGAGAGGAGCATTGTCCTGTACACCAGAAGTTTGGGGGTTCAGTTCCTAGTGGGGGCACACGTGGGAGGCAGGCAGTCGATGTTTCCTCACATGGATGTTTCTCTGTCTCTCTCCCCCTTTTCCTTTCTCTCAAAACAAAACACCCACACACACATTCTTCGTAATTGCTCTTCTACTTTCCATCTCCATAAATTTCACTATTCTAGATACCTTATAGGAATAGAATTGTACAATATTCGTTTGGCTTCTTGCACTTCACAAAGTGTTTTTGAGGGTCATCCATATAATGTATCAGAATTTCATTCCTTTATATAAGGCTGAATAACACTTCCTTGTACAAATATACCACGTTGTGTTTATCTGTTCATCTCCTGATGGACATTTGAAACCACCAATTTTAAAATCTCTTGCCACTTCATCTAATTTATGTGTCCTGCCTCCACAAATTAGCGTTTTTAGATTTTACTGTTACAGACCTGAAATCAAAGTGTTGAATTTCTCACATAATAAGTGGAGTTTATATTATATAATTCTCCTTTCTTAAAGGATTTGATACAAATTTTTAAAAAAAAAATTATAGGTGTTATAAATAGTTACTATAATTACAACCTTTGCTTCATGTTTACTGCATTTAAATATTGCTTCACAATATTTAACAAATTGCTTTGAAGAGGCAAGGAGTTCACAGAAAGCTAGGTTTTCTGTCTAGTTACTAGGAGTAGTTTATAAGAAGGCTTTAAGTGAGTATTTAGTAATAAGCAAGTGAAGTAATTAAACTATAAAGATTGAGTTCTTGTCATAGCTTAGATTTACGGACTTGGAGGAAAAAGAAAGTGTTTTTGAATGGTTGAGAAAGAAAGCTAGGAACAATGTGATGTTGATTAGGAAGGTTTCTGTGGGTTCCCCAAATTTATCCTCAAGCCCAGGAGAAATGGTTGACCTTTCCCAGATTTGACTGAGAAAGCTACTTACTGCATACTGTTGCCCAAGTACTTTCAGGTCTGCTGTAATCTTTCTAGGGTCCCGTCGTGTACCCCTAGTGGTAAGGTTTCCCCTCCTCCAGTCTAATGTAACAGAATTGAAATATGTGCTCTAATTACTCAAGAAGGAGAATGCCTCATCTACTTATAACTGGTAAGAAAGGTAAATATTAAAATTAGAGTAGGTTTTTTACAGCCATGGAGTGTGTTGTGGTGGAAGGAGCACTGGACCCAAGAGTTAGTAATCTTAAGTTCAAATCCCATTTCTACATAAAGCTTTAAGCTTTAAGCCACATACTCCTTGTCTGTAGAAGGGTAGGGAACTAGAAGATCCCTCCATCCTGAGCATGTATCTTTGATCTAAGATTTTGTAATTCTTGAATATCTGTAATTCTTATAGAAGAACTGAATGGCCAGTTTGCTTTGGTAGTAGTTTTAGTTCCCAGCAGAGTTTTTTTTATCTCGTTCATGGTTAATTGAAAATCTTTTGTCTGTCAATGCCATATTATTTATTATTATAATGTGTTTTGCTTTAACCATTCTTGTGGATTTTGATTTATACTTTACTATTATACATCTTTAATTTTAGTGTTATATTTCTTTCATAGAGCTTTTCTGGGGATTTGGTGCATCGATTGCCTCTTTTAGGAGAAAAACAGGAGGTAATTGTTTTCCTTGTTAATATTTCTGAGAGTAAAGTTAAAAATTTGAATTAATTTTTTCTTCTTTCTTTTTTAATATTTAAGGCTAAGGAGAATGGAACAAATCTTACCACTACTGGAGAAAAAATTGTAAGTGTTGTAATGAATTTGGGGGATTAAACACTTATTTCGGTATTCTTATGTTTGTGTATTTTGAATTATCTTGGTATGCTAATATTTAAAAAGAAACTTAAGACTGGAAACTATGCACCAAAGTGTTAATAATGGTTGTCTTTAGATGATGATATGAATGACTTTTATTTTCTTCTTTGTGTTTTCTGTGTTTTCCATATTTGCTACAATCATTCTGTATCGTTTTTGTACTTATTACCCCTTAAATATATCCGCCTAAAAAGAAAAAGCCCAGGTGAGAGGCAAAAGCATTTATTTGAGATCCAGGAAGAATTGCAGTTCTGGAAATCACTGATTCTGGCAGAAACCCAAATAGTGTTCTGTTTAGGAGCCAAAGGCAAGGGGTATTTATGAAAAGAGGAAGGGGAAAAATGTGAATTGAAGAAAGGAATTTCTGTTGAAGTTCACAAGTCAAGGAAGGAATTTCTCTAAGTGCGAGTAAGCTTTTTTTTTTTAAGCTCTACATGGTGGTGCTAATTCTAAAGAATGTCTTTAATTTTCAGTCTGGTAGCCGGGCTGTCAGCCTTTCCATTAGCTGTGCAGACAGTTGTGTAGAATACAGTGTTGCTCTGGCCCATTCCACAGACTGGAGGAGTAAGATGTGCAAGGTGGTTCCTCTGGGTGGCAGCTCTAGTTATATTATATTTTACAAATATTACTTGTAGGTGGGAAGAAACGTTTGAGAAAGAACCTTAAACCCCATGTAAAATTATTTTGTGATATAATATAACTGGAACAGAGTTTAGAAAATTGAGATAGGTTGGATACTATAAATGTGCTTAAATTTGCATAATTCACTTTCTAATTCACAGTAACTCCTTAAAACTGCCAGTTTAAAATACAGAGGAAACAGTATAGTTATTTATGTTGGGTCATGCTTTTTACAAAACATTAAAGCTTTTAATTTTATAACAACTTCATTAAGACATAATATACGTATCTCAAATTTACCCTTTCAAAACATAAAATTTAGTGTTTTTAGTATATTTACAAATTATGCAACCACCAGTTGTTATCTAATTCTAGAACATTTTTTATCACCCCAAGAAGTTGCAGCATAAACCATTAGCAGTCACTCCTCAGTCCGTCCTTCCCCCAGCCCTAGGCAACCACTATTCTTCTGTCTCTAAGGATTGGCCTGTTCTGTGCATTTCATATAAATGGAATCATACAATTTGTGGCCTACTGTCTGGCTTCTGTCACAACTTAAAACTGTCTTAACTCTTACTTCCTTCTTGTGCAGAGCCTTAACATCAGACAGAGGTGAGTGATGAGGGCATTCTCAGGCCTCTCTTGGTCATGTGTGCACAGTCTCACACATACATGCACAGGCCTGCATGTACTCACTGCTTTCTAGATTTTCAGCAATGTCTGAGAGCTCTTCAGAATGTCCTGTGGACATCTTATTTCCAGTTTTTCCTTTTTTAAGTTTTTAGGCAGCCTCTTAATGGCCCCGCCTAGTAATGTTGCCTGGGGCAGCTGTGATCTTTCACAGTTGCTGAGTGTTTTTGAGAGTGGTGTGAGTACAGGGTCCTTCACACTGAGTGAGCTCTGAGTCAGGTCATATAAAAGTTAAGGCCTGGGAATGGAGCTTTTTAGCACCTTCCAGATAGTTCTGGCAGTTGGGCTTTAGAGGTTCTCCAAACTTGTTTTTTCCGGTGGTTCCCAAACTTCTGTTTTTCGCAGGTGTTATAGTTGAGAGTACTTTGGTATCAAGGAGCTTGGAACCAGGGCATGGGATTAGGGTGAACAAAAACACCACAAAGTTTGCTTTTACTATCAAAATTCAGCTAGTTTTTTTAGTGAGATCCCTTTTCAGCCTTTTTTCTTGAGGAAGTAGTTCTAGGATTGTTGATTTTGATATTTTTGCTCATATTCTTGCTGCTTTTATTGGGTGAGTGCATTTTCAAATTCTTATTTTGCCATTCTGGAAGTGTCTCTACCCTCCCTGCTCCAATTATAGTTGTATAGAATTTTAACCTAAAAATGATTTAGGCGTGGCAGACTTTATTATTATTTTTTTAACAGAACATCCATTGTGTCTTTTCTTATTGCTAATGTGTATATGTTTACTGTAAAAAATTCAGCAAATATACATAAATGAAAAGAAAATAATCATCTATAGTATTACCACACACAGAGAATATAAATATATAGTCTAGTCTTTTGTCTTCTAGTCTTTTGTCTTTGTGCATATTTATATTTCATTTATTTAAAAATGTGAATCTTAGCCCTGGCTGGATGGCTCAGTTGTTTGGAGCATCATCACATACACCAAAAGGTTGTGGGTTCGATCCCTGGTCAGGGCACATACCCCCCAGGTTTTGCACTGGGAGCTTCTAAGGGAGGAAACTGATCAATGTCTCTTTCTTTGTCTTTCTCGCTTCCTCTCCCTCTAAAGTCAGTAAAACATATCCTTGGCTGAGGATTTAAAAAAAACAAATGAGAGTTTTACAATATGTATTATATTGTAACTTTTTTTAGAGCTCAGTAGTATGACTTGGTCATCTTTCCAGTTCAGTAAATATTTATGGCATCATTATTTAAATGCCTGCATAGTATTTTATTATATGAATACATTGCAATTTGTTGACAGATTCTATATCATTGATCATTTATGTTTCTTTATCTTGTCATTTTAAACAGCACTGCAGTAAATATATTTGTTTTTAGATCTTTATTTTCTGGTCTAAAAACAATTTCATATTGGTGAATATTTTGCTTTCATAACTTAAAAGTAAAAATCCTTTATAATTCTGAAACAAAATTTCCATGCTGTATTATTAACTTGTCTTCTAAATTCTTAAGACTTGAAGTTTTAATGCCATTTTTCTCTCTAGGCAATGCATGATCCATTGAAAACTTGGCAAGATGCACCATACATTTTTATTGTACACATTGGCATTTCATCCCCAAAGGAATCATCAAAAGAAAATCTTTTTACTAGTAAGTACATTTCGTTTCTTTTTATATTTGTATTATGTAGTTGTGGCATGCATGGGTCATGTGTAATTGCTTTAATGGAGGGAATAATTAAGAATGTTCAGAAGTAGAAAAATTGAGGGAGAGAAATTAACATTTTTTCTGTACCCATGATGTACCAGATAGTCTAAGGTAGTTCACATATGCTTTCTTATTATATATGCTAGATACTAGATTTCATTTTCCTTTATCTGATCCTCCAGCTTTTTAAATTTTTAATTAGTATCACGTTCTTGGTATTCTGAAATAGACTTGTCAAAACTTAGTTACAAAGTCAAAACCTGGCAATTTAAAAATAATTTTACTATTAATAGACTTTGGTAATTTTTTAATGTCTCAATATTTTTTCTTTTTCAAATTTATTTTAAAATTACAGTTGAGATACAAAATCATACTCTTACTATGTTGTGCACTGAAACTAATATATTTTGTATGTCAGTTGTCTCAATTTTTGTTGGTATTCTCATTTTCATTCTTGTTTCCCAGTTCATGGAATCATATCTTACCTGGAATTTTGCATAGCTTACTAACTAACTGGTCTTAATTTCTTGTAATTTTGTTTTGTTTCTTCCTTCTCTGCATTCTCCTTTCCTCCTCTGCTTTTTTCAAGGAGAATTTTGAATAGAAACAGTTACCATGGTCATCCTTATTTTACAATATTGGCACATGTTTACTGTAGACTTTTTCCAAAATATTTTTTGTTTGGTTAAGGCTACCCCTTTCTATACCAATTTTACTAAGTGTATTTTTTTTTTTAGTGTTAAGAATGAATACTCAGTTTTATCAGGTACTTTGATTATATTGATTAAAATTATCATAAAGATTTCCTCATTTAATTTGTTCATGTGATGCAATTATACAACCGGTTTTCTAATGTTAAATGTTTCTTGAATTTCTGAGATGCCACTATTTGGCCTTGATACACACACAGAGCTTCCAGCTTACATTCTTTTTTGTTTTATCCATCTTTTGTTAGGAGCTAAGAATAGATTTTAAAGCACAGACTACATCATATGAAAATTTTCTCTTTAAAACAGTATTATCAGTTTTCTTCCCTTCATGAAAACCTTTGAAGCCTTCCTACTGCCTATAAAATGTCCGCAGTGTGCATCAAGGCTTATGAAACCACAACTTGTATCAGTTTACCTTTTGCCAGCCTTGTGTTAAAAACCCTAACAATGGGTACTATGTGTAGTCTCAGAGACTATATGTTCTGTAAATATATCGTGCACCTGTCTTTTGTTATTTCTTCTGCCTGGATGGTTTTTTACTTTGTCCCGGAAAATGCAGATTCATCCTTCTGGGCCTGGCTGTGAGGGACAGTTCTAAGGGTACATGCTTTTCAAGTAACTTCCTCTTCCCTCTAGATCACAGGGGGCAAACACAATCCGGCCCTCCACCTTGTTTTATCTGGCCTGGTACCTCATTTCTACCCAGCGGCAGTGCTGAGCTCTCCTTAACTGTTAAGGAGTGGTTACGTTTACACAGTCCTAAAATTACATTCGGCCCTTTGAAGGCAACCACAAGGCTGATGTGGCCCCTGGTGGAAATGAGTTTGACACCCCTGCTCTAGATGGTACTACACTAGAATGGCAGAAAACATCTTGTACATCTGACCATCCCCTATTTTCCATAGCGTATTACATAGTGAGTACTCAAGTTGTATTTTAGCGTAGAGTAGGGGTTAGCCAGCTTTTTCTTAAAGGGCCAGATGGTAAATGTTTTCTCTCCTACAACTACCCAACTCTACCATTGTCTGAATGCAGCCATAGACAGTATGTGAGTGGATGTGACTTTTTTATTAAAAATTTATATTTATAAAAAATGGATGGCCACATTTGTTCCATGTGCTGTATTTTTTTTTACTTTTGGCATGGAGTAAGCAAAGAATGTGACAGATATTCACTAATTATTTGTTCTTTTATTAAATTAAGAAGGTACAAATTTAGCCCTGACCAGTGTGGCTAAATGGTTGGGTGTGACCAGATGGTTGGGTGTCATTCCACAAAATGAAAGGTTGCTGGTTCGATTCCCACTCGGGGCGCATGCCTGGGTTGCAGGTTTACTCCCTGGTCAGGATGCACGTGAAAGGCAACCCATCGATGTTTGTGATCGCTGTTATGAGATACTCTGTTTGTCATGAAAGTATTGGGACTGATTTATTTTTAATAATGGCATGTTCTTTCTCCCTGATAAAAATTAGTAGGAAATTCTTGTTGAATAGGCTTTTATTAGTCTGTCTCTGGATATAGAAATCACTTCTCGTGGAAATCAGTTTGTACTTATTAATCAGACAAAATTTATCCAAAAAGTTTTATTCATTATAATTTAAAAACAATCATACGTTTGTTCACTAAGTCAAGTCTGACTTTTAGCTTCTTGTCACTGTGATTTGTTCTGCTTCCTTAAACACTTTATTGTTATTAAGGACCTTCTAAAAATGATACATTCATGTAGCAAAGTCACATAAAATTGAAGTAGGTAAAAAAAACAGTAGGAAAATGTAGGTAAGAAGAGAGAGAAGACAGGGAAGGAATGAAGTCCTGTACTTTTGAAAGTACAGGATGTGTTGTAAGGAAAACTGTGTATGAAGTGTGTTTGAAATTTAGAGCATGGGGGAAGTTGCAGTTGGGCAGCTCACAGAAGGCTTCATGGAGAAAGTACACGCAGTCTAGACTTTAAAGAGTATGAGGATGGAAACAAAGGGCTTTTCCACTTAAGATGTTGACTGGAACAGTGGCGTGGAGACCTGTGTGGGGCACAGCAGGGACCATGAGGGCACATAGCAAATTTCATCATGCTCTACAAATGGAATATTTACGGGGATTGAGGTGGTTAAAAGTAAATGACCTACTGGAAATTTCATTTATTTTATCAAACAGATATCAGGTAATGTTTTTGTTTAATTCCCACATCCTTTACATTAATTCTGAGCACTGTGTTTTGGCAGTGACTGTGGAAGTGAAAGGTCCCTATGAATACCTCACACTTGAAGAATATCCACTGATGATTGTAAGTGAACTTACATTTTTTAACCTCAGTATTAAATGAGTTTAGCTTGAAAGAGTATCCGTGTTTTGTGGCAATATCCTTTTTTTAAAGAATTGTTCCTGAACAATTCACAAAATATTGCTAGTACTTTTACACTTACTTTTTACTAGACTGTGGCCTTGGGAGTGTCAGTGAGCCCCTTTGAGCCTCATTTTCTCATTCGTAACATGAAGAGTTTGATGACTTGTGGAGCTGTAGAGACCGAAAGCACCTCAAGGGTTGTTTCACACCTCCCATTCTCTTAAGGTTCCAAAGCAGCGCACTTCTGACTGCCCTGCGGTTTCTGACCCCATTCACAGTAACTAAGTGATGAGGTTTCATCCTTTTTAGTGTGTGTGTGTGTGTGTGTTCATAAGAATATCCTTAATGTATTTTCAGATTTTCTTTGTTCATATTTTTGTTCTTCCTTTCTATTTTATAGTTTTCCCACTTTGTCATATTTCATTGCCATCAGATATATCCAAACCTGGTCATGCCTTTTTTTCCTTTAGTATTCTCTTCAGTTATATAATTTTACACTGTGAGCTGCAAAAGCTCATTTAGTACAGATGGGTGAGCATTTAGTACAGATGGGTGAGCACTTGATGACAGACCATTAGGTAGTCTCCTTGTTCTCAAAGGAAGACAACTTTTTGTGTGTAGTAGTATCAAAATCCAAAGAAATAAAGTAATTATTTTGTAAGTAGAAAGTATATGTGGTTTTTTTAATAGCTTGTTAATAAGACTTTGTATTGATTTTAAATGGCTCTTGGCCTTAATTCTCCTTTTTATCTCTGACCCACTGCCATGACAGTTTTTCATGGTGATGTGTATTGTGTATGTCCTGTTTGGTGTTCTGTGGCTGGCGTGGTCTGCCTGCTACTGGAGGGATCTCCTGAGAATCCAGTTTTGGATCGGTGCTGTCATCTTCCTGGGAATGCTTGAGAAAGCTGTCTTCTATGCAGAATTTCAGAATATCCGATACAAAGGAGAATCTGGTATGTAACCGAAAAATGCCAGTTTGTGAGTGATCAGCAAGTAAGACGTGACAGTTTTCCTAAAATCAGCAATCATTAAATAGGTTTAAGTTTTTAATTACTTAATTATTAGAATAGCTTTGATTGTAACTTTTGTTTTTAGTCTTATAACTTGTGGGCTTAGTGATTTAAGAGTAATTTTACTGAAATGTATTCATAAAAGTAGCGGCCATTTTGGGAAAGACTATTACCATTATTGGATCTCATTGCCATTTATTTTTAAGGCACCATTATTACATACATCTAAGAAAGAAGTAAATACTGCCAATTTACTTTTAAGATACCATTGATAATAAGACACTTTCAGTTTAAAGATGTTAAAATGGGCATGGGGATGTCTCTAAGAATTGGTGAAATACAGTAATACCCAGAAAATAAGAGGGTGTGTATGGTTTAGGAAGGTGAACAGATAATGTCAGAAATTGTTTTGGTAAACTTTTACCAAAGTTTTTTATGATAGCTTCAGTTCTCTCATCAGATCATTTAATTATTGATAATTATTGTTTCAAGGTATTCTAATTAAATCTTTCCCTGGTTTTTGAAAGGGCTTGAAAATAGTAGATGCGAAATGAATTGGTAACTGTGTGTGTTTTTTGTGCTTTTCTATGGAGAGCTACATTTCAGTTTTTAAAAATGGGGACAACATTTGCTAGATGCTATGTTCATGTATCTTACCCAGACCAGGTAGGGTGAGATATTCTGCTGAGGTTTTAGTGAAGTGGGGGGTGGAGAGGGAAGGTAAACTGAACACAGCCATATTGCTGTTCACGTTAGTAAGATTATGTTATATCAGCTTATATACTTGTAAGAATTGAAGAAGCATTTTTTCAGTAGGACTAATACCAGTGCTTATTCTGAAGAGTGTTAGAGATCTACATTCTGGTTCTAGAATTGGACCTTTTCTCAGACCTAGATTTACAGCATCTGTTCCCCTTTTCTTTTCTCATAGTCCAAGGTGCCCTGATCCTTGCAGAGCTACTTTCAGCAGTTAAACGTTCACTGGCTCGAACCCTGGTCATCATAGTCAGTCTGGGATATGGCATAGTTAAGTAAGTATTCACTTCCTATATGGAAGAGCAAATAGGAATATTTCTTCATCTGTTAAAACAGACAAAGTTGAAACAGTGTTGTGGCTTCCTAGTGTAGTAAATTCTGTAACAGTTGATTTAAAAAATAGTTCTGAAATAAGAAAAGGTATCTGACATTTGGTAGATGTGTTAAAGTTAGAAAAATGTTAGGGTTTCATTTAGCAACTGAGAATTCAAAGAGCATCTGTAGGAAAACCTGAAATTGCAGTGAATGGCATTGAAATACCAAACTTAATAGAGTAAAATTACAGGGACTTTAGTCTTCAAAGGTATATTGCAAATCATATTTGTTAAATATGTATTTTTATTTAATCTTTATTGTATTTTTTCCATTACCATTTAGTCCCCTTGTACTCCACTCTCCCCCAACACCACACTGTAGTCCATGTCCCTGAGGACCCCACTCTCCTTCACTCAAACCCTCCACCCTCTGACCTTCCTCCGCACCAGCTCATCTGCTCTCTGTCTATGAGGCTGTCTCTGTTTTGTTTGTTAGTTCAGTTTGTTCATTACCGTCCACATATGAGTGAAATCATGTGGTACTTCTCTTTCTCTGGCTGGCTTATATAGTTAGCATAATGTTCTCCAGGTCCATCCATACTGTTGCAGAGGGTAAAATTTTTCTCCTTTTTATGGCTGAGTAATATTCCACTGTGTACATGTTCTCATAGTTGTTTTAACTACTCATCTATTGATGGATACTTGGGCTGCTTCCATATCTTGGCAATTGTAAATAATAATGCAGTGAACATAGGGTTCTATGTTCTTTCGAATTAGTGGTTTGGGTTGCTTCAGATCTATTCCCAGAAGTGGGATTGATGGGTCAAAAGGCAGAACCATTTTTAGTTTTTTTGAGATATCTCCATACTGCTTTTCACAGTGGCTGTACCAGTCTGCATTCCCACCCACTATGCAAAAGGGCTCCCCTTTCTCCGTATCCTTGCCAGAACTTGTTTGTTGATTTATTGATGATAGCCATTCTGAGAGGTGTGAGGTGATACCTCATTGTGATTTTAATATGCATTTCCCTGATAATTAGTGATGTTGAGCATCTTTTCATATGTATTGACCATTTGTATGTCCTCTTTGGAGAAGTGTCTATTCAGGTCCTTTGCTCATTTTTTAATGGGATTGTTTGGGTTTTTTTGGTGTTGCATTCTGTAACTTCTTTATGAATTTTGAATATTAACTCCTAGTCAGATGTATTGGAAAATATGTTTTCCCATTTTGTGGGTTGTCTTTTTATTTTGTTGATGATTTCTGTTGCTGCGTAAAAGCTTTTTAATTTGATGTAGCCCCATTTGTTTATTTTTTCTTTTGTTTCCCTTGCCTGGGGAGATATATCTGATAAAACATTGCTATAAGCAATGTCCGAGATATTGCTGCATATATTTTCTTCCATTTTTATGGTTTCGGGTCTAACATTTAAGTCTTTGATCCATTTCAAATTTCTTCTTGTATGTGGTATAAGAAGGTGGTCTAGTTTCATTTTTCTAAATGTATCTGTCCAGTTTCTCCAATACCATTTATTGAATAAACTATCTTCAGCCCATTGTATGTGCTTGCTTCCTATGTCAAATAATGACTATAAAATGCTGTGACTTTATTTCTAGGCTCCCTATTCTCTTCCATTGATCTGTGTGTCTGTTTTTATGCCAGTACCATGCTGTTTTAATTACTGTGGCCTTAAGTGTAGTGTGATATTAGGAAGTATGATTCCTCCAACTTTGTTCTTTGTCTGGATCATTGTTGCTATGCAGGGACATTTCTGGTTCCATATAAACTTTTGACATATTTGTTCTAGTTCCATGAAATATGTCATTGGAATCTTTTTTTAAAAATTTATTTATTTTTAGATAGAGGGGAATGTGTGGTTGCCTCTTGTACACCACCTACTGGAGACCTGGACTGCAACCCAGACATGTGCCTTGATCTGGGAATCAAACCTGTGACCCTTTGGGGTCACAGGCGGGCACTCAATCCACTGAGCCACACCAGCCAGGGCGAAGTATGTCATTGGAATCTTGATAGCAATTCTGTTGAATCTGTAGATTACTTTGGGTAATATGGAGATTTTAATGATGTTAATTCTCCCTGTCCATAAACATGGTGTATACTTCCACTTATTTGTATCTTCAGTTTCTTTCTTCTTTTTTTTTTGATCAAAATGTCATTGTAGTCTGTATTTTTATAGGACATGTAGCATGTTTTCATAAATCAGTTTTATGTGTGCTACTTTGTAATGTCAAAAGAAACACATTTTTCATAAATTCCTCATCACTGCAAGTTCACTTTGAAATAAATGGTAAGTAACAGGGCAGAACAATGTGTTTCTGCATGCTGACCATTGCAACACTGATAGTTACCAGTGAAGTATCTGGGAAGCTTGAAAATTAAGATTTACTAGAACAAGCAAATTTACTTCCATTTGTTTAAAAATTTTTTAATTTGCAAATTACATATTTTATATGCAAGAAGCACTTTAAATCCTATGTCCATTGAAATTAATGACAATTTAATAAAAATGCCAAAAACCAAAAATATAAGAAAAATAGTATGCCTTTTAAAATTGCCAGCTAAAACCAAATGTCAGTTTCTTGCTTCATTATGAATATTAGCACTGTTTATTCCATATCTGTATGTCAGTTTCTGTGCATAACAATTCCAATAAGATTAGGTGGTTTGGGTCAGTTCATTTTTCTTTAACTAAAGAACTCCTAACTTCTAGAGTTTAAAAATTACACTCATGCATTTGTGTTTTAGTATGAAACACGAGTATATTTCTTTACGTCAGTGGCAACTGGTTAATGGGCATGTTATGATAGTTTCCAAAAAGTTTTGTAAATATTGTCATTAAAAAAATCCTGTACAGAATCACAATACTGCTAGCATCTAAGTTCACCTACATGTTCCTCAGTCTTTTGATGTCAGTCTTTTATCACAAGAACTTACTGGAAGGAGTTCACTAAGACATACATACCATCTAGGTAGTTTGGTGTTTTAAAACCCATGACTCAGAGCAACAATTACAGTTAACAACATATGCATCCACAAAGAGACTTACATTCCTAAAATTTCCAGACTCAACTCACTGAATAAAACATTCTGGGCAAAGGCTTTTTTTGCACACTGACAGTACTTACCAGATAACAGGTCAGCCGCAAATGAAGGGAAGTGACATCTCTCAAAGGTACAGGGTAGTGCCTGAGTTTGAGATGGCACATCCTCATACATTCTGTGGGGAAAGCAAATGCATTTACAGAGAACTAAATTATGTACTGAAGGATGGGAGGGTTTCTCTCTACACTCATTAACAGTGATAGCGGTCCCTAATAATTAAAAAGCAAAAAGCATTTTCATAAACACAACAAAGAAAGAGGGCTCTACCTAGCAGAACACACACAGCAGGATCAGAGAAGTACTGGGAGCATATCAGCTGCTGTTTCTGGCATTAAAAGCATGCACACTTTTGGTATGATGCGTGTTTTACAATTTCACATCAACCGTGACTACAATGAAGTGAGCCATTTCAGTGATGAACAGCAAATGCAGTCTGGTCTTTCATGGCAGGAAGTATCTAGTTCAATTTTGTACGCAGTGTAGGTGGGTAAAGCGTGCTGGTAACTGACAGATCTTTTTACTCAAGAAACCTACTGATTATATTTGACACTTACTTACTAAGTGCACCCAGTAAATGTTTAGGAACATAAACACCTAATAAAGGTACATGGACATGACTTAAAATAGGTCAGAGTTACTCTACTTTCCTAAAGCAAACTTGTAAACATTTGGTGAATATCTAATTAATGATAGAACATATAAAATTGCCCCCCCAAATTGCCCAGAAAACATATGGCCTGTCAGCACCCAAAGCTCCTAAAATATGTGAAAACATCTTTGCTAGAGGGATTTCAGTAGTCTGAAAAATTTCATACCCGAGTGGCTTGAATAGGTTCTCTCCTAAATTTTAAATAAATGCAAGGAGTTTCTACACTCAAGAATTGCATAAATTATCTTTCCTCAAAGTAAAACATTGAATGATATAGAGGCAGCATAACTTACTAAATTAACTTTTGAAAAAGAATAAAGCAAGGTTATTCGATAGTGTTAACAGAACTATTATAAGTGTTTAAAATCTTCTGATCCAGGCTTTCTTCTACCTAGTTTTAGACATCCCATTATTCCTGCTTCGTTCTCTCCTTCCAAGGATATTGATGAGTCCAGGTACCCTTAAGCCCTGTGGCATCTGTTACAACATCAGTGACATAATTTGGTGTCATCCACCTCAGGAAAGTGAGAAAGAGAAATTTAAATACAGCCAACAAAGCAAAAATGCAGCCTATTACTAGACCACAGTGAGAGATGGGTCAGCATTTGTCCATTGGTAACACAGTTTCTCCTGCCACGGGGTTGGATTATACACTTGGTCAGTTCTCCCTGCAACAGTCCTCTTTGGCTTTAGAAGTTTTTACTATGTTAACGGATTTTTTTTTTTTTTTTTGAGCCAGCAATGCTCAGGACTTCAGTTGGGAAATAACGTTTTTCAATCCCTCACACAAAGGTTTTATAGAAGGCTCACATACATAATAAGATTTTCTGGAAGTACTTCAGGAATTCCACCAACCCTGATACCTGTAAATCACAACTGGCTGCTTCCACAGTTGCCATGCAGAGCGCTTCAGCAAGGGAAGTAGTAAGAAAAATGTGTCCTTAAGCTATGACATTTCTAACATCCTTGTGTTCTAAGGCTCCCAAGGGATGCATTCTGTCATGTAGCTGGTATCTTTCCCATACTTCTTCCAGAATTATTCTCTTCGGTCCCTTTCACCCAGTTATGAAATTTAAATCTCTGTATTTCTGACAGAGTTCAGGTATTATACCACTAAGCAAATGGGTACCTGAACAGTGGCAGACTGAAAGAGCGTCATGGCTGCAGATTGGTTTTACATAACTTTTAGGCAGGTAATAGACTTTGAGGCCTTTACTGAGGTAACGGGTGCCATTTTGATTTCTGTTAGCATGGGTGACAGTAACGACCTCATGTCCTCTTTCAGTCAGGCACTGACAGAGCTGATAAATGGGCTTTCCGTGCTGCCTATATTTGAGTAGAAAAAGTCCTACACTATATGCGCATATGGGTCCGAGTTCAACATGTGAAATGATTTCCAGGGCTGATGTGGTAGAGTGCAGCTGAGGGCCCGTGGCCATGCCCACCTCTTCCTTGATAGGCCACGCTGAGACCATTTAGGCATTAGTCCTTAGAGCAACTCAGTTAAGGTATGTGTCATTAGTACCAGCAAGCCCTGTGGCCACCAGTGTCCAGACCCGGCAGCAGCCTCTTCAGTTTCTTTCTTCATTGTCTTACAATTTCCCGTGTACAGGTCTTTCACCTCCTTGATTAGGTTTATTCCTAGGTGTTTATTTTGAAGCAATTATGAACGAGATTGTTTTCTTAATTTCCCTTTTTTTAGTTTGTTATTGGCATATAAAAATGCAACTAATTTCTGGATATTAATTTTTTATCCTGCTACTTTGCTGAATGTATTTATCAGTTCTAGGAGTTTTCTGGTGGAATATTTAGGTTCTGTATGCACAGTGTCATGTCATTTGCAAGTAAGGACAGTTGTACTGCTTGATGCCTTTTATTTCTTCTTATCTGACTGCTGTGACTAGGACTTCCAGTATTATGTTGAATAAGAGAGGTAAAAGTGGACATCTTTGTCTTGTTCCCAATTTTAAGGGGAAGGCTTGTAGTTTTTTCCCATTGAGAGTGATGCTGGCAGTGGGTTTGTGATATATGGGCTTATTATGTGTAGGCATGTTTGCTCTATTCCCGTCTTGCTGAGACTTTTGATCATAAATGGGTGCTGGATTTTCTTTTGTAAAAACTTTTTCTGCATTTATTGATATGATCATGTAGTTTTTAGCCTTCATTTTGTTTATGTAATGAATCACATTTATTGATTTGCAAAACCTTGCATTCCTGGAATAAATCTCACTTGATCATGGTGTATGATCTTTTTGATGCATTGCTATATTCCATTTTCTAATATATTTTTTCTAAAGGAAGACTTAAAAATTTATTTCAACCTTTAAAAATACTTTTTTGTTTTGTTTTAAAATATATTTTATTGACTATGCTATTATAGTCCCATTTTCTCCCCTTTATTCCCCTTCCCGCTGCACCCCACCTCCCACTGGTATTCCTCTTCCACTTAATTCATGTTCATGGGTCGTACATATAAGTTCTTTGGCTTCTCCATTTCCTATACAATTCTTAAACTTGGCTTGTCTATTTTGTATCTACCACTTATGCTTCTTATTCCCTCTACCTTCACTTCCATCCTCTCCCTTCCCCCTCCCCACTGATAACCCTCCAGGTGATCTCCACATTTCTATGATTCTGTTCCTGTTTTAGTTGTTTGCTCAGTTTGTTTTTGTTTTCGTTTTGTTATAGGTTCATTTGTTGATAGTTGAGTTTGTTGTCATTTTACTGTTCATAGTTTTGATCTTTTTCTTAGATAAGTCCCTTTAACATTTCATATAATAAGGGCTTGGTGATGATGAACTCCTTGAATTTGACCTTATCTGGGAAGCACTTTATCTGCCCTTCTGTTCTAAATGATAGCTTTGCTGGATAGAGGAAACATGGATGTGTAGGCCCTTGCTTTTCGTGACTTGAAATGCTTTCTTTCAGCCCCTTTCCTGGCTGCAAGGTTTCTTTTGAGAAATCAGCTGACAGTCTTATGGGAACTCCTTTGTAGGTAACTGTCTCATTTTCTCTCACTTCTTTTAAGATTCTCTCCTTATCTTCAATCTTGGATGATATAATTATGATGTGCCTTGATGTGTGCTTCCTTGGGTCCAACCTTTTTGAGACTTTCTGAGCTTCCTGGACTTCCTGAAAGTCTTATTTCTTTCATCAGATTGGAGAAGTTCGTCATTATTTTTTCAAATAAGTTTGAGCAGATGAAGCAGGCAGAAGGTATAGGGAGACTGCTAGGCAGGAGGTGGAGCCTGTAATTGTAATAAGATGGTCAAGGAAAGCTTCACTTAGTGACATTTAAGGAAAGATCTCAAGTTGTTAAGAGAACTGTGTGTACATCCAGGGGAAGAGATGCTAAAATGTGGTCAAATTTTGCATATATTTTGATGAACTTTGCTGATGGATCAAATGTGTGATGTGAAAGAGAAGAGGAATCAAGGATGATGCCAACTACTTTGGTGTGAGCAAATGGAAGGATCCAACTGACATTTACCGAGTTCAGGAAGATCTTAGGTAGAATAAGTTGGAGTGGGAACAAGATTTGGCATTCACTTAGCTATCCAAATGAAGGTAACAAGTGAGAGACATGAGGACAGAGACGAAAATTTGTCAGTCATCAGGATGTAAATGTTATTTAATGCCATGGGAGTGGTTATCACCAAGGATGTGAATGTATATAAAGAAGAGGTTGAGGGACTGGACTGAGTTGAACATTTCCTGTTTAGAAGTCAGTGAGACAAAGTAGAATTAGAGTAGAGGACGTTGTGGAGGATGACCAGTTCTTTGGGAGGCACACGGGAAGACTCTTTCAAGGAAAGAGTGGTCAATTTTATCAAAGAGGATTGAGAATTGACCATTGGCTTTAACCACATGCAGGACATTAGTGACCTAAGCAAGAGTAGTTTTGATGAAGTGGTAGGACTTAGAGTGAGCTGGGCTGGAGTGAGTTCAAGGGAGAACAGCACAGGAATTGGAGTTAGCTGGGTATAGACAGTTATTTCAGAGATTTTTTTTTAAGTGGGCTAAAGAAATGGGAGATTTTCAGTTTTAACATTTATTGATGTAAATGAATTTTGCTCTAAATGGGACTAGAGGAATGGGAGAGTTACATTTTTAAAATTTGTTTATTTATTTAGCAAATATTTCAACGCCTCTTTTATGCCTAGAGGTTTCTGAGTGTGGAGAAAAGTCCCAGTCCCTGTGGAACTTTTCTCGTGTGTGATACACGGGTAAATAACCTGGGGGGTCTTACTGAAATACGGATTCCGGTTCAGTAGCAGTTTAAATGTCAAGGATCTAAAACCTTTTCTCCTTCAAGCAGAAGCTGCTTAAAAGATTTTTTTGTCTTTTGTTGGATGTTGAGTTCTATGATGTACTATTTATCGAATGAATTTCAATAGTGTATTTGATTACATTAAGAAATTGTCTAAATTTTTAGATTTGAAAATTAATATTTTTAAAATTCTTAACTGTCTAAAGACATACTGAAACATGCACAAATAAATGATACGATGTCTGGGATTTACTTCAAAATAATGTGGAAGATGGAAGTAGATGGGGTGTGCATGGGGCAGGATGAGCCATTGTATGTTGATGGATATTAGGACTGGATAATGGGTGTATAGGGGTTCATTATACTGTTGAATATGTTTAAAAATCCTCTATAATAACTGTAATGTTTTTTATTGATTTAACCTGGGGCCTGATCTAAGATTCTAGTATTCAGTATCTTGTTTTAAGAGCATATGTTCTTCTGAATTTCTCTCTCTCAGGTGAATTCACCAAGTATGTCTGCCTTATCTGTTAAGTTGTTGGCCTGTATCAATCAACATGAGTTTGTCTCGGGGTTTGTCGTGTTTGTGCTCAACTATCTTTTTGCTTTCTCTTTAGGCCCCGCCTTGGAGTCACTCTTCATAAAGTTGTGGTAGCAGGAGCCCTTTACCTTTTGTTCTCCGGCATGGAAGGGGTCCTCAGAGTTACTGGGGTCAGTACTGCTTAATCCGCGACTTTGTGGTTAGTTCAGACACACTGTTTTTATCTTGAGAAGGTAAAATGGGAATGTTCATGGGCTTCTTCATGATTTTCTCTAAGTTACCTTTGTGTTCTGATTTTTAAAATGTATGTGTAATGAATTTTTTTAATCTACATTAGAGCTTTAAAATTCAATGTTATGCCAGAATGAATGCTTTCTCACCAGTCCCCAGATTACTACTTATTCACTTCTTCCTCTAGGACCATGGGTTCTATTCTGTGTAAGTGGCAAATGTAATCATGCACTTGCTGGTTAATCTAATTTCTGTTTTAAAGTGACAGTGCTATTTACTTAACCAGCACTTGAGTTTCAAAGTCTTTCTTAAAATATGACTAATTAAGTTTTACATAATTCATGAGAATTATATAATTATGCCCTTTTAGGGAAGGGAACCAAAGCAACTGAGATATGTGATAAAGAAATTTATGTTAAATCTCGATTAGTGTGAAAAACTGGGCCTCCCAAGATCATTGCAGTTATTTTCATATTTATTTAAAAATTACTGCAATAACCTGTTAGTTCTAAGGTGGTAAATGTTATAAAGTCCACTTTTCCTTTAAGTAAATTGGGCTCAATAAGTTTTGCAATAAATTGCATATTAAATAAAACACTCTTGGGTACAAATTAGGTGTTCAAATCACAGTGTCCTCTGTAATTTCCATAGACTTTTAGCAACCTTAACCTCTGTCAATTGCATTTTCTTTCTTCTGCTGTAGTACTTAGCTTATCCCTTGGCTTTGATAGTAAACCTGGCACTGTCAGCAATTGATGCCTGTATTATTTTATGGATATCCTTTCAATAATACCCTGATGATTGGAGAATTAGCATCTTATATATATATGAACTTATGAAAACAAGCAGCATAGTTTGGGGGACAGATACTTGTCTCAACATCTTATTTTGAGTTAAGCTTTTTTTTGTAAAATTACATTATATTACAATTTAGGAGATCAATAATTTTTAGTATGTTAACGATACAATAATTTTAAATATGACAAGGGTCTTTTTTTTTAGACTCCTAGCCAAAATCAAAATGATAGGAAACAGTAGAATGGGATGGAATCTTACACCACCAAAACTTTTTTGATGTGGTCACTTCTTAAAATGGATTTTAGCTTGCTAGGAACTCTGTGGTGGTCAGCAGTGTGTTGTATTGAGATTGTAATTTACAGTTTGCGTGAAATGCTTACAGGTTTATACTCTATATGATGGTTTGTCAGGAAGTGTTACTCCTTTTTATTTTGTTTCAGTTCAAATGAAAAACCATTCCAGATGATTATATAAATGCAGAACTGAGTGCTGGTTTCTTCTCTGTATGTCTCTAGAGACGTACACATCTCTTTTTCACCACCTCTTTTTCTTTGTCTGCAGGCCCACCCTGATCTTGCTTCCTTGGCCTTTATCCCCTTGGCTTTCCTAGACACTGCCCTGTGCTGGTGGATATCCTTCTCATTGGCTTGTTTGATGGCGGTCCATTTTCTCCCCTTGGATGATACGAGTTTCCATCTATCTTTCTGCAGAGGGTTTTTTAGGGTTTTCTGCACAATCAGCCAGTTTTGTTGATTACTTCTTAGTCTGGGGGTTAGGGTATTTTCGATCTAACAATCTTAGGGCTCAGTTAAAACAGTTTCTTTTTTCTTCCTTTAATTTAAAAATTATACCAGAAGCTTGTGACTGTGAACTAAGCAAAAAGATAAAAGTTCTGTTTTGTTTTTTTTTAATGAGTATTTTTGCCTCAACTTTGGACTTACTTGTATTTTCCACTTAGTGGTAAAATCACTGACTTCTCTGCTCCGGCTCTTTCTTTTAGCTGCTATGAATTATTCAGTGCTTTGAAAATGATGAAAAGATTTTGATTCTTAAAATGTGGTGTCAGGAACTACATAAGATTGTTTGACTCTCTGAAAATTCTACATAGGGTTAGCAGATTTTAACCCTTATACAGTGTTTTGTACCCTCATTCAAAAGCTGATGGGCAATTGTCTGAAGACTTCCACTCTGAAAGAAATATTGATTCATTTACAGGCAAAATTAGCCAGCAGGTAAACAAGTTTCTAGTTGAGTAATCTTTTTCTCCTCCTTAAAATTAAACATTTGTTTATTTAGGGGCTTGACCTGTGAAATAAAGGATTAAAGTTCTTAGACTTTTGGGGGGTTTTAAAATTTTGTTTTGGTTTTTGTATTTTTGGTCCCATGTGTAATTGAGCAATATTATTGCCTTGATAGACTGTGACTGTTATTTAAAAAGCTGAATGTAAACCAAATGATAATTTTGTGAATTTGAGTGGATTGTCATATATCAAAAATGTTTGAAATTAAAGTGTCTTGGTTCCGAATAGTCAAAGCTTTTCTAGGTCAATATCTTTCAAGTGTGCTTTATAAACCTCAGTGAGTATTGGAAAGAGTGGAGAGAAGGACTGGACCATACAATAAGATAACCCAATGGTTAGGGAGCAGTGGAGTCTGGGCAGACCGAGTTCTAACTCACTTACTGTAATATTGCCTGATTCTGAAAGTTGGACATGAAAGCACATACTGTCTTTAGTAGTAATCCCTTCCCCTCCTGTCTTTCTATGACAACTTCTACTTGGAAATAATGCTCTGAAAATGTAGAGTTTTACTTTTGGAGCGTAACTAGTTGCCTGGGGTTTTCAGCCAAATAATTGCATGATCCTTTTAATTCAGAATCAACCAGGCAGCTAATGGCAGGTTTTTTAACATGGCATAAGGGGACTGACTATAGAACTCTGGGAGGTTGTAGGCATGAGTGTATTTGTGACCCTAGACTAGATTAGCTGCGACAGGGATAGCTACCTGCTTCAAAGGAAGAGAGAAGATGATGCTAATTGCTGTTTCTGTGTCGGTTACTCATTTTCTTCCATTTGTCTTTTTCATCTTTGTTTCTCTAGAAAGTTCCTTCCTGTCTCTTTTATATTGTTCCTAGTCTCTTTTTTGCATCTTTATTTTATCCTGGTTCTGTCTTCTCTGTAGTGTCATTAAAAATGAAGACTTGATTAGTAATCATGGAGAGACTTCGGGTGTTTGTGAGATTGAGAATAAGAGAGCTGTAAGGCTCTGGGATCCATAGCTCTATCCTCAGATCCTCAAAGAATCTTGAGGATTAATTTAATATCTTATTGCTTTATCTGAATGTTGATTTCCTTGACCTGCAAACACATATTTATTAGCCTTACTCAAACAATGAAGCTGTTAAAACTTCGGAGGAACATTGTGAAACTCTCTCTGTACCGACATTTCACCAACACTCTTATCTTGGCAGTGGCAGGTAAGTTGGGGACTTTCTTCTTGCTGTTAAATGCCCTCCTTTTAAAACAGAGATTAACCTGAGAAGCCATAGATGGGCTCTTTACAATTACCTGGAAAGTTTTGTACATTTCACTTGAGGGGAAGGGTCTTTAGCTTTTGTCAAATTCTCAGAGGGATTTGTGGTCCAAAAAATATTGAGAACCACTTAATATTTTAAATATAATAGCTGAAAAGCAATTCTTTATAATTTCAATTTTTCATTCTTTTCTGAGACATTCTTTTTCTTGAGGCAACTTAGCTTGAGTGCCAAATAGCATCTAGATTCCTTTTTATGTTAATACTGGCTTATTTGGCTTTATTAAATATCTACAGGGTTCATTGCTATTACACTGTTTTTACATGTCATAAGCATGGATAAAACCCAGACAATGTGTAGACCAGAGTGGGCTGCTTGGCCTGTCTCTTGCCCCTTGTACCAGGCATATGAGGCTTGGCCTGTGATTGGAACCAACAACCCTTGTTTATCTTGCAGTCATTTTATCAACTTTTTCCCCCCCTGTGGCCAGCCAAAGAAAAGTTAGCATTACTATACCAAGGATAAAGGAAGGGGAGAAAAGTTATATTGTTGATAATGCAGGGAAAAGCCATATTTTCAATACCTTATTTTCTAATTAGGATTAGTGAAGTAGTCACATGGTAAACAAAATTATTCTTTAAGTGCAGAAAGGGTTGACAAGAGTATAGGCCTTGCTCATAGTAGTTGTGAGGTAAATTTGTATTGAATAGATTTGTTAAAATAACTTGATAAAAGAGTGATTGTGATATATTGGGTGTCAGGAATTGTGGAATTCCACTTACCCAGAAACAATATAATTGGGGATGCAAAGCAGTATTTATACTCTGACCAGTTTCTCATTTCCTGTTAGCATCTATCGTGTTTATTATCTGGACAACCATGAAGTTCAGGATGGTGACTTGTCAGTCGGTGAGTTATAAACGCATGCATTTGTGAATAGTGTACTGTTTTGTACACAGATGGGGATGTTGATGCCAATGCCAAGGTTTGCACCTTACTAGCAATTAGGGCTAGGACTCCACTCTGGAGGGCTAGAATGTGTCCTTCCTCCTAAGTATTCTGTTACTGTGGTTCTTGATGTGTTAGGGTTTTTGTTTTATTTTGTTTTGGGTGGTGGGGGATCTGATTATATATCCCAATAGTGGAAAAGAATTTTATAAGTGAGTCTGTCATAACCCAATCTTGTCCTAACTAAAAATTCTTTAAAAATCCCAAGTCCCAAACATTAAATATGTACGAATAATGCTCATCTGAGTAGAAATCATGGTCTTAAGATCCAAGCACAAAGATTATGGCCAGTAGCATTTCTAGAGGTACCTACAGCTCCATTTTGGTAAAAAATTATCAATTAAAACGAAAATTATAAAACGTTTTCATGTTACTTTCTCTTACTTGTGTAGAAACCCTTCCCCAGAGGTTCTCGGAGCTGTGATGAAGGACCTCCAGGTGCTCTGTTCAGTCACTTCCTTTTCTTTAACAACAGCAAACACCACAGAGGGAAGAAACTGTTTCTTCCCTTTGCATCCCCGGCACTTAGCATAGAATCTCGCTCATAGCAGGCTTTTAGTAAATACAAGTTGAATAAATAAGTGATTCTCATTCAATGGCATAGGGCTTGTGAGCAAAAGGATAAGATAACGTAATAAATGTACTTTTTTCCCCTTTTGGTAGGATTGGCGGGAACTGTGGGTAGATGATGCCATCTGGCGGTTGCTGTTCTCCATGATCCTCTTCGTCATCATGGTTCTCTGGCGACCATCTGCAAACAACCAGAGGTTCTTAGATGCTTCTACTGATGTTGCTAACTATTGAATGACCATGTTATCAAATAAGGGTGGTTCAGTGGGGGTCAGTGTTAGGGTCATGGCGTAAGGTGGAAGGAACACTCACTGGGTCTGGAGTCAGTACATTTAGGTTCCTGTCTCAGCTCTCCTATTAATTTGAATTGTGACTTTTGTCATAGGCTTCTACCAATCTGGGCCTTAGTTTCCCCTTTGTCTGAGAAGAAATCAAATCATTTGATAAGAAGTCTCTTTCAGCTGTGACATCTGACAACTTAAGTATTTGAGAAAATAAGGGAGGTAGATAGATTTGACACTTTTAAGGAGAGTTGCACCTGCCTTGCATCCAGAAGGAAAGAATAATTCCAGTAGCCCAGCCCCCTTTGTAACAATAGAGGGTAAATGAAAACTTATGTGAATGACTTGGGAATTAAAAATCCACATGTGAATTTGCTTTGTCCAACTATAGGCAAATCTCAGTTATTTAGGAATTGACTGTCTTTATTTTTGCCTATCTATGCCTTTGTTTCCCTTCTATTTTTTTCTCCCTTTTGTGCTTTTAGACAGTTAAGAGCATACATTACACAACCACATCACCAAAGAAGGAAACGCATGAGACAGTATAATTGAGCAACTAATTTTGTAACCAGATATGTCAGTAAAAGACTTAAAAAGTAAATGACATTCTTTTGCCCCGTGAAAATAACTGTCTTTTCATACTATGCATTTAACATTTGTGTTCTTTGAGAAAAATAGTTTAAAAAGAATGGTATGAAAGAAAATTAAAGATCTGAATTCATGCTATTCAGAAGGAACCTAGACATTCTGATGATCATCCTTTACGTTGATCTGTGCACTTGCTAGCTACATTTGTATATGGAGTGGGCAAAAGTAGGTTTATGTTTGTGAGTATGTGAAACATAAGAGTTTCTTCTTATATTATTATTTACTCACTATTCTATTATATATATATTAAACTATAAACCACTTCTGCCTACCCTGTATAAAATGTGTTGCTTTATTCAGTCTTTTAAAAAAATGTTTTGCTTTACCTCCCCTCTTCTTTTCTCTCTTGTCTGACATTGTGCCCACTCCCCATAACTCCATGTTATGGGTGGAGTTATGGCCTGATGTGATGTGTCCTTTCACAGTTTACTCCCTGTTCAAATGTGGATCTTCTTCTACTCAGTAGTGCATTGTGGAAATGCCTTGCAAGGCAACAGGCTTAAATTAAGCTTAACTATTTCCCAAATGGCATAATTTTACATGGCACAGGTGTAATACAATTAATAACTTATTTTTGTATTGATGGGCATTTGGACTATTTCCAGTTGGGGTGGTTCAGGGTCCCAAGACCAGCCATATGTTTAGGAGAACCTTTGGGACTCAGAATATAGTTGTACTTAGAGCAAAGGGTTTTTTTTACAGCAAAATGATATGACTAGCAAAGGGTAAAGACAAGGTGGGGTCTAGAAAAATCCATATTTTCCCCCTCCTCTGAGGAAGTACATCAAGCACGCTCTTTTCCTCAGTGACAAAAAGTGCAGTAGCAGTGTTTCTGCTCAGAGAAGCCCATTAGGAACTCAGCACTCAGGTTTTTATGGGGGCTTGGCACATATGCACCCTCTACTTAATATGGACCAAAGTCTGGATTCCCAGAAGGTAAGCAAAGTTTAATTTAGATTGTATTGTACAGAGAATCTAGGCACAGTGACCCATCCTTCTCAGTTAGGGAACAGGTCAAGTGCCGGGTTCCCAGACTCTAGCCGTGGGACATTCTTGTCAGTGTGCCTCTCTAAAGGCCTGCTATGTTACCTCTTATGCATAGGGGACATTAAAAATAGTAGTAAGCTACCCTTGTACATGTCTATTCTTATGCACTTGCGTAGTCCCTTTGTTCCATTTTTTCCCCCATCACACTCATTATCTATAACTATTAATTGTAACTAGAATTTGTTGATCATCTTAGAACTTTTTTATGGTGTTCTTGGTTATAGAAGAACTTAAATATGGAGTCAACTTTGTCAATTTTTTCTTCGCGAATTGTATATTTTCTGTCTTGTTTAAGACATCCTCCTCTAGTTCAAGGCAAAGTCATAGTGTTACTTTATAATATTTTTTAAATTTCAAAATTGAGATTCCATTGATGAAGAATTGACTACTTCTGGTCAAAATGGAGGCATAGGTAGACTCCTTCACCTCTTTGCACAACCATAAGAAGGATTACAACTAACCTCAAAACAAAAACACCCAGAACTGCCAGAAAATCGCACTGTATGGAAATCCAGCAACAAAGGATTTGAAGACGATGTATTCATCCAGACAGGTAGAAGGGGCGGAGATGGGGAGCCAGGGCAAAGAGGACATGGTGTGGTGGACGTCAGGTGGAACAGGCCTGTGTGGTGGATAAAATAGGATAGGATGTGTTAGGAGTGAGCGATCCCAGTCCCAGGCCAGACTGTGCAGCCCAGGGTTCTAGCGCTGAGAAGATAAAGACTCATAAATTCTGGTTGTAAAAACCAGTAGGGATTGGGGCAGCAGAAGAAACTTCCAGTTTCTCAGGAGAAGCTATTTAAAGGGACCACAAGGTCCTAGAATGAACACAAACCCATCTACTCTGGGAACCACCATGATGCAGCAGCTAGAGGGGCGCCAGTCACATACGGGAAAGAGGTGAAATAGGGTGAATGCCAAACAAGCCTCAGTGGCATTCTCCCCTCTCCAAACCCTCCCCCACATGCAGAGCCACGAATCAGAGAAGTGGGTTTCCCCACCCTGGCTAATACCTAAGACTCCGTCCTTAAACAGCATAACAGGTGTGCTACAAGGGAGTCAAAGCAGCTCTACCTAATACACAGAAACAAACACAAGGAGGCTCCCAAAATGAGGAGACAAAAAAACATGGCCCAAGTGAAAGAACAGACAAAACCCAGAAACAGGACTAAGCGAAATGGAGCTAGTCAACCTATCAGGTGCAGAGTTCAAAACACTAGTGATGAGGATGTTCAGAGAAATCATGGACCATGGTAAAATAATAAGGGAAGAAGTGAAAGCTACACAGAGTAAAATAAAGAAAAATCCACAGGGAACCAACAGTGAAAGGAAGCTGGGATTCAAATCAATGATTGGGAACATAAGGAATAAACAAACAACCAGAACAGAATGAAGAAACAAGAATTAAAAAAAAAAAAACGAGAAAATAAGAAATCTGGGACATCTCTAAACAAGCCAACATGTGAGTCATAGGGATGCCAGAGAAGAGGAAGAGCAAGAAATTGAAAACTTACTTGAAAAAAAAAATGAAAACACCCCTAATTTGGTGAAGGAAATGGACATACAACTGCAGGAAGCATAGAGAGTCCCAAACAAGTTGGACCCAAAGAGAACCACTCCAAGACACATCATAATTAAAATGTCCAAGGTTAAATAGAACCTTAAAAGCAGCAAGAGAAAAGCAGATATTGTCCTACAAAGGAGTTTCCATAAGACTCTCAGCTGACTTCTCAAAGGAAACTTTGCAGGCTAGAAAGGACTGGCAAGAGGTATTCAAGTGATGTAAGACAAGGACCTACAACATAGATTATTCTATCCAGCAAGCTATCATTTTAGAATGTAAGGGCAGATAAAGTGCTTTCCAGAGAAGGTCACGTAAAGACAGTGTTACTCCTTTCCAAATAATCTTGTTGCTTCATTTCTGAATATTGTGTTAGCTAGGCTATTGAATCAAGGCAGTGAGAGTGGGCCTCCTCATCTTAATTCTCACTTTAAAATAAATGCTTTTCAATTGTCATTAACTTTGACATCTACTCTGAAATTTTGTTAGTTACGTTAACAAGTTACAGGTATTTCTTATTATTCCTAGCTTACAGAGTATTCTTTTTTAAACACAGAAGGGAGATTCAAAAACTAGGTAGAATGAAAATAATATGCAACAGTAAGTACAAAGCAAGTTCAAAGCTAAAGCATTCTAGGAATGACCTGTCTGCAGAATCCCCTGGATTTAATGAGGGAAAGATATCTGCGCTGTACCAGATTAGGCCTTCATCTTTCCAGTTCCCCACTTGGAAAGAGATTGTGAATAACCTAAAACACACATGATCAGGACTTCATCTCAACTACCAAACTGAAGGCTGAGATTTTAAATTGTGTGAGAATTTACTTATATCTGCGTGGTACGTATGCTGGTAAATGAACATTTATTGCATGCTTACTTTGTGTCAGGTGTGACTCTAAGCACTGGGTTTTTTTTTTTTTTAAGATTTTATTTATATTTAGGGAGAGAGGAAGGGAGGGAGAGAAAGAAACATTGGTGTGAGAGAGAAACATCGACTGGTTCCCTCTCATACACACCCTGACCAGGAACCAAACCTGCAAGCCAGGCATGTGCCTTGGCCAGAAATCAAACCGGCTGCCTTGTGGAGGGGTGTCCACCAACTGAACCACACCAGCCAGCGCATTTTAAGCACTTTTTGAAATGACGCACTTACTTTTTGCAGAGCACCTCTGTGAGCAGTGTTCTGTTATCCCCATTTGCAGATGGGAAAACTGGGGTATAGAGACTAAGTAACTTGTCTAAAGTCACAGGTATTATACGTGGCCGAGCCTCCTCTTAGAAATATGGCACTGTCCTGCTTCTCCCTTGCTAATATAGGGAATTGAGAGCTTTCTGAAGGGGAAGAATTATTTTATTATTCAGTAAACTAATTTTATGAATGACTATAACTGGGAGCTTCAGTAATTAGTCCTGTAAAATCCAGATGGTAGAGCAGTTTTTGTAGTTTTCTCATTTTTTTTTCCTTAACATTTTCTCTTTGTTTCTCAGGTTTGCCTTCTCACCATTGTCTGAGGAAGAGGAAGAGGATGAACAAAAGGAGCCTATGCTGAAAGAAAGCTTTGGTAGTGATAAAATATACCATTTATTTGTCCTTTAAATATTCTTTTTGGGGTTTTAGAAATACAATAAAGTAAATGCAGTTGGCCCTGAACAATGTGAGGCTTGGGCTGCTGACTCCCCATGCAGTCGAAAATTCGTGTACATCTTTTGACTCTCCCAAAGCTTTACTACTAATAGCCAACTCTCAACTGGCAGGAAACCTTACTCATAACATAAACAGTCATTTAACACATATTTTCTATGTTATATGCTATATTCTTACAATAAAGTAGTAACCTACAGAAAAGACAGTATTATTAAAATCATAAGCTAAAGATACAGTTACTGTTTTTATTGAAAAAAAAATCCTTTTATAAGTGGACCCACACTGTTCAAACACATGTTGTTCAAGGGCTAACTACAACATTTTGAGTATAAAAATCGAGATACTTTGATATAATTACATTGTTTATTATTTAACAACTGTGTATGGGGTGAAGTTAGGGAGAAGCAAAAATAAGCGCATGAATCTCAAGACAAAGCTATGGTAAATTCTGCAAATAATTGAACATGCAGTGTTCAGGTTACTTATTAGAGATGAGCTGAGAATGTGGCTTTGAACTTCCCAGCATAAATCTAAAGGTAGAGAAACATCTGTTATGCAGTTCCATGTCAGTAAGCTTAAAATAAAACTCTGAATCCATTATTGCGATCATTGTTAGTATATTGACATTGCTAACCAATCAATCTCCTTTTTTTCCCTCCTACAGAGGGGATGAAAATGAGGAGTACCAAACAAGAACCAAATGGAAATACTAAAGTAAACAAAGCAGTAAGTATGACTTTTCTTGTGTACCCTGTCTCGTAGCCCTTGGTGGAACTCAGCAGTTATGTATAGGCCTTAATGACTTCTTTACCTGTGCTGTAATTAAGCTGCTTTGTAACTCTTTTCATATATTACATTTACATTTTTAAAAATGACACAGCAAGTGATTTGATCTAGGGCTTAGTAATCTTAAACTACATGGTTTACTTCTGTGTCCTGAAAAGAGACCAGACCAGTCTCATGGTTTTATGTAATTAATGGTTTTCATCAGTGAGGTCATAGCCCCATTAATAACAAAGTGTTTTTGTATTAAGGATCAGATTTTTTAGTCAGCATTTTTTGGTTTTCTCTTTTTGTAGAACTGTGCATTTGTTCTATTGGGTTGGCCAAAAAGTTTATTTAGTTTTTGCATAAAATGAAAGACATTTTTTATTTTCATCCATAACTTCATTAATTTGGATATTTTGAGTAAGGGGGCTATCTCTTACTCCCTTACATGTGGTAGAATGTTGATTGTTCTCAATGTCTCAGTTTGATTGCTGTCAACTCCAGCTCATCTACCTGACTGTAGCGCATCCTCTAGCAAGAGGCTCTCTTAGCACAAAACTTTGCAAACCACTTTGGACACATTTGATCAGTCACAGCACCTTCTCCATACACTGCACAAATCTTTTTTGCATTTCAGTTGTATTTTTACCTTTCTTGAAATAATAAAGTATAATATGCTGGAAATGTCACTTATTTTCTTCCATTTTCAATATTAAAATGGCTACACAAAAATTTAACAGTTTTGATGTTCTTTTTTAAATGCACACTGATATGAAAGCTGTCACAATACAGTCTAACAAAATTGTTTCAAATGAAGTTAAAGACAACTAAGTGCTTATTACAGCCATCTTACAGAAAAAAACAAACTTTTTGGCCAATCCAATACATTAAGCATTTTATTTCAGTTCTAAGGAGCAAAGCTTATATGAAATGTACACTAGTTATTAGACCCTTGAGCAGAAAACATTTAAGGATGTAGGGCATCATTTCATATTTCAGTTATATAGTTTTTTAAGCTATTTGACTTTGCTGTTAGCAACCCCATTTGTTATGAGAATGTACTACTTCAGAGTGACAACAGAATAAAGATTTTGAGACCTCTTTAGATTCTTATTCAAGATCTGTTATTTTATGCATTTTAGTAACAACTGGTACTTTTATGTTCCCAGCAGGAAGATGATTTAAAGTGGGTAGAAGAAAATGTTCCTTCTTCTGTGACGGATGTGTAAGTTTTGAACCATTGCTACAAGTGTACTATTTCAAAGTTCATATTACTTTTATGATGTTAATAAGGGAGGGGCAGAGTAAACTAGTGATCATGTTTGTAGGTAACATTAAAAGTCAAAGAAAAAATACTCAAAATAATTAAAAACATGAAAAAGATGTTTAAAAATAAAGATTAGGAATAGTATACAAACAAAAGTAATTGAGATTATTTGTTCAAGTGACATTTTTGCTTAGAAAGATTTTGGTCCAAAATCACTGGGATAATTCTTTTAGAATTAAAAAATAAATTTTTTAATTGCAGTTTTCTCATATTATTCTGTATTAGTTTCATATGTATGGCACAGTGGTCAGACAAGAGTTATACTTCACAAAGTGCTCCCCCTGATATTTCTGGTACCCACATGGCACCATACATAGTTATCACACTATTATTGACTGTATGCTTTATTGTGACACAGTAGTGCTGCACTTTATATCCCTGTGACTGCTTTGTAACTACCCACATGTACTTCTCAGTCCCTTCACCTTTATCACGCAGGCCCTCCAACTCCCTCCCTGTGTCAGCCATCAGTCTGTTCTCTGTATCTGAATCTGTTTCTATTTTCTTTGTTTATTTTGGGGATTTTTGAGTTCCTTTGCATGGCTATAAGTTTACTAAACATGGGTTCTATTGTGATACAGAACATGTTTTTTTTTCATATAATTTCACTAATTTTGATTCTTATTTTTGATTTGTTGTCCCTTCCCGACCCCCATGATGAACAGGCATTAATAAGATACAAATCTTAGTTATCCAAAAGAAAGCTTTTAATTGCATTCATTATTCCACTGTCCTTAATGAACCACTTATGGTTTTATTTTACGTTATTCAATTTGTTTTTTTTCTTTTTGCAGAGCACTTCCAGCCCTTCTGGATTCAGATGAGGTTGGTAATCAAATCATGCATGAAATGTGGGTCTGGTGACTTAATGGGGAGTCATAAGTTCTCTGTTCGGGGATATTTTATTTATTCGATGCAGTAACAGTATCATTGAAAAGGATAAGAATAGAAATAGTTTCATTAGAACTCAGATATTCAAAGGGTTCTGGACAAGATAGAAGTGTAGTTAGATATGCTGTGCTTCCTCACACAACCAAAAGGTTAACAACCAACTTAAAAACAAAAACCAACCAGAACTGCCTGAAAACTGAAATGTATATAAGTCCAAAAACCAAGGAGTTAAAGAAGAAACATTCATCCAGACTAGTGGAAATGGGTCAGGGCGGAGATAACACGAGGCGTGCAGGCTGCTGGTGGACCACGCAGTCCCACATTTGCTTGGGGAAAAGCCAGGAGGGACTGCTTGGGAGTGAGACAACCTTGCACAGTGCAGAGAGATAAAGCCTTAAAACCTGTGGCTGTAAAAACCTGTGGGGGTTGTGGCAGTGGGAGAAACTCCCAGTCTCACAGGGGAATCCACTGGAGGGACCCACGGGGTCCTAGAAGATACACAAGCCCACCTACCTGGAAATCGACACCTGAAAGGCCACAGTCCCTTTGTGGGAAATGAGGGAAGTGACTGAAAGTGGGGAGAGAGCTGAGCAAGTGGAATTATTCCTTCTCGGACCCCTCCCCAACGTATAGCACCACAGCCCATTGAAGTGGATTGCTTTGCCCTGGTGAATATCTAAAGCTCCGCCTCTTATAACTGGTGTGCTGAGACAAAGAAATATGGCCCAAATGAAAATAGAGACCAAAACTCTAGAAAGATAATAAAGTAACAAGGAGCTAGCCAGCCTATCAGATGCAGAGTTCAAAACACTGGTAATCAGGCTGCTCACAGAAATGATTTGAATATGGGCACAAAATAAAGGAAGAAATGAAGGCTCTACAAAGTGAAAAAGAAAAATATTCAGGGAACCAACAGTGAAGCAAGGAAACTGGGACTCAAATCAACAATTTGGAACAAAAGGAAGAAATAAATATCCAAGTGAAACAGGATGAAAAAACAAGAATTCAAAAAAAATGAGAAGCTTAGAATTTCTGGGACAATTTTAAATGTTCCAGCATCCAAATCATAGAGGTACCAGAAGGAGAAAAGGAAGAGTAAGAAATTGAAAACTTATTTGAACAAATAATGAAGGAAAACTTCTCCAGTCTGGCAAAGGAAGTAGACATGTCGATTCTTAATCTTTTTATATGCTTGCATACAGTTCATCTGGAAGGCTTCACAGTGAAGTCTTCTGTAGGGACTGCAGGCTGAGTACTGGGAAATAGTTCCAGACACGTTCTGAGTATTACACTTCAGAAAGCCTTTTTAGCACACCAAAAAATTAGGTTCAGAAACACATAAAATGACCTAACGATTCTCAGCTAAGTGTTAATTGTGTGCACTGTTGTGCAACAGGTCTCTAGAACTTCTTCATCAATGTAATTTTAATGAATGTATAATATCATTATAAGGATATAGCGTATTTGTTTACACAATTCTGTTTTGGGACACTTCTTTCTAGTATTATAATTTTGAATGTTGCAGTAGAAATACGTGTTTCTAAATTTTTACCCACATCCTTGACTATTTCTTCAAGTTAAATTCCTGAATCAGAGGAGGTACACATTTTTATTAGAGCTTAGTCTTAAGTATTTGTTTAATCATCTTGATTAATTCTAAAACCTTTTGATTTATTGTTTGGTGTACAAGACTAGAGATTTTTCTTTACTTTTAGAGAAATGAGAGGGAGGGAGGAAGAGGGAGAAAAACATCGATGTGCGAGAGAAACATTGACTGGTTGCCTCTTGCACACCCCCAACTGGGGACTTGGCCTGCCATGCAGGCATGCGCCCTGACCAGGAATTGAACCAGTGATGGTTTGGTTCGTAGGCTGATGCTTAATAAACTGAGCCACACCAGCCAGGGAAAAACTAGAGATTTTGATTCATTTAATCTTGGGTGGGACCTGAACATGTCTGTCTTTCAAAACCTTCATAGATGTTTAGGAGCTGTCTCTCTTAAGTGTTTAGTAAACATAAACAAGTACTTGCAGAAAATGTGTGTGTGCAACATCTGTGTAGAAGATATTTGGAATGTAGACCATTTACAATTAATGTATTTTGAATAAACCTTTTTTTCCCCCCCAAGGAACGAATGATCACACACTTTGAAAGGTCCAAAATGGAGTAAAGTGGAAAGGCGGTGCAGTGGAAGATGGCCAGTATCTGGGAAGAGATCAGCTTCTGTCACTCTACTGTACTGCGCCATGGGGTTAAAGAAGGGAATGACATCCTGATCTGTTCCTTGATCTTTGTGCGTTGGAGGTGGCCAGAGGTGTCAGAACTAGATCATCTGATTGAAAAACAAGTTCATAGGAAGAGAAAAAGCTACAAGTTTCTTATTTACAACATTGACGCCCCATTCTCTCCTACACCCTGACGTGGATGTTTATGCAACTTATGTGTTGTTGTTCCTGAGCCTTCTGTGATGTTTAAATTGTTTAATCTGTCAAACTAAAAAGTTTAACATCTTCTTGACATCAACACCATAATATGTAATCTCCAGGAGCAACTGCCTGTAATTTTTATTTATTTAGGGAGTTTTATAGGTGATGGGGGAAATTGTTAATTATCTTGCCATTTCCTGGGAAGCCAAGGTTACAGCTTGCAGAGGTAGTTTTGAGAAAAATATACCCTGACTTAAGGAGCCATGGTTCTTTCTATCAATGAATAAAAGGAAGAAAAAGGGGGGAGAGAAAGAAACTGTTACAGTGTAATTCAGATCATTTAAAAAGCAAAATCAAGTGCAATTTTGTTTACAAAAGGTGTATATTAAAGATTTTTCTATTTGAGATGTACTTTAGAGAGAAATATTAGGTTAATTCTTGACATCTGCTATTGTGACACATCCCATTGCTGGCAATGTGGTGCACACTCCAGAACTTTCAACTACTGTTTTGTAAGCCTCCAAGGCAGCACTGCAGAGTCGGAGACCGTGCTCTGTTGGCCTTCCTGCTGTTCACTGGGTGTTGCACTAGAGGCAGAGGCACTCCATCCAAGTGCTTGTGAGTGAGCACCCCACGTACTGTGATTTTTCAGAAGCAGGAGCTAATACAAAGGAAACAGGCCCTGATCCAGCTTAAAGTTTTCCTGCATGAGGTAGTATGGAGGCCCTGGACTGCTGCTCATTATTTAGGAATCAACAGTTCTTGTATCTGGTGTCGGTTGAGAGACTGTTTATAGGAGACATCACAAGGTGATGGGATTTATTTGATACACTATATTTCTGTTTGTCTACTTTTGCCTTCCCAAGAGTTTTGTTCTACATAGAAGTTCATGCCATTTTTTAATATAAAAAAACTTAACAAAATTAATATGTTTTTGTCTGTTTTCAGATTTTCTCTGAAAGACCCTTCTTTCTCCCAAACTCTCTTATGGGAATTTTCCTTCCATGGTTTTTATTCTGTATCATTTTGTCTGTTGGAACCAAGAACCGCACAACCATACTAACTCCTATTATAGTGAAAGTGTTTACATTTATGTAACTTTTCTCTATAGCTGTTTGCTGTGGTGATTTTTTTGTAAGTCACTTTGGCAATATCTCTAAGTAACCATATGAGGAACTGACTATATTCTCAGGTTAACCCATTAGCAAAGGGCTGTTGTAACTGTTGTATGCCTCTCTTTTTCCACAGTAAAACCCAGCAAGTGAGTAATAGACATAATGCTGCAGGACAGTTGATCACATGGTTTTTGAAGTTGGCTAGATGTCAACTTGAGACCAAGGCACCGGGTCAGGGAGGGGAGGAAGCTGTTGTGTTAAGCGGGAGTTTATAGTACAAATTGTGTAGCTTGGGGCTTGGTAATTCTGCTGTTTCTTAAGGCTTGTTATATTACTGTGATTGTATATAGTGTGTCACTTTTTAAAAAACAGGTTCAGAAGGAATTTATACTATTACATTGATGTGTTATTTTATAGTGACACATGTTATAGTAATGAAAACAATAATGTGTTTTCATTACTTTAGTCTTGGCCCTTCATCCTGGAGCTGCAAGGTGGTATTAAGCCTTCTTCCAACACAGCAGCTGGCAATTTTAAATTTTCAAGATGTCCTCTTTCTATGTTAAAAACTAGATATAACATAAGATTTGTTCAGCAATTTTTGTGTTTCTTACTACTTGAAAATACTTCATTTTATTATCAGAAACAGCACTTGGTAAAGATAGGACAATGTTCCTAATTTACAGGTGAAGAAGGGTTTTACCTGTAAAAGGGTTTTACAGGTGACATTGTGTAAGAAAAATTGTGATCAGGGCCATTTTTTACTATCATAGACTCACCCCATTTTTCTTTCACATTTTCTTTATGTAAACCAATATGCTTAATTTATGGCATATTTGCAAGTTTTTTTGTGGATAAATTGCCAGATACTGATCATTCTTGCAGTAGTTCTCACTTTAAAGTGCGTGGACTCCCCTTGGGAACTTAATAAAACAGGCTGCTGAAAAGAATTTCTGATTGAGTAGAGCTGGAATGAGGCCTGGGACTTCGCTTTTCTAACAAGTGTTGCTGATGATGATGGTCTAGAGTCCACCCTCTGAGAACTACTGGCTTGGAACAACCTTTAAAATCTAAGAGTAAGGCCATGATTATAATAGTAATACTAAAACTGCCATTTATGGAGTGCTGGGTGTGTCGGGCGTTGCAAAGCGCTCACAATGCTAGGTCGGTAAATGATACTGCCATCATTTGGGGGGTAAGGGTAAGTCCTAGGGAGATTAAGTTTCTTAAATGCTACAGCTAATTTCCTAAACAGCAGCTCTCCACCCCAGGTCCGACGCCAAAGCCCGAATTCATTCACCACCACACCACAGTTCCTAAGAGGGCTCTGAGATTAATATCTGTTTCCTTGTTAAACCCTCGGCTACGCCACAATGGAAAAGCTCCGGATTTTGGGCGAAATGGGAACTCAATCATTGCATTCCTCGGAGAAGTTCTAAGAGCCAGGCGGAAGGGGTGGGACTTTGCCTGCGGAAGGGGTGGGCTTAGGCCAGAAGGAAGTCCGGTATTGATGATGGCTCTGTTATTGAAGGGCCTGTAATTGGGTTCCCAGGCCAGATGCTGGTCGTTCCTTAGTGTGGTTCTCTGTTCACGAGCCCGTCCCGGCGCACTGAGGGCGCGACTGTCACAGCGACTCCGTGCTCGCCGCCATGCACGACGCATTCGAACCTGTGCCGATCCTAGAAAAGCTGCCTCTGCAGATCGACTGTTTGGCTGCCTGGGGTGAGCCAGAAAACCGAGGGGCCGCGGTGGGGCCCGGGAGCGCCGGAGCCCGGACTTACTAACAGGGCTGGCGAAGTGGGCTGGCGTCTGGCAGATAGGGAACCGGGATAAAGGAGTGCAGAGTATTGTAAATAGCGAGGGCGGTGGGGCTCTTTGGGCGATCCCAGGGACCCAAACATTTTAGGGACGTTCTACTTGTCTTTGCTCTTGGTGCAGAGTTGGAGGTTGAGCTTTCCTCATTAATTGTGCTCAGCTTTAGCTTATTTCGATTACAGAGGAGTCTTTAGTTTGGAGGCACAAGCAGTGGGAAGTTTTCAGCCTGCCAGGGACTTGAACTTACCCAGAAGAAGTGTGGTACTGGTTTGGCGGGGTTGGGGGTGGGCTTTAACAAGTTAACAACATATACCTTTTTTCCTTAGTGCTCACTCATTGTTCACTTGTTATCGTTGTAGCTAACTCACATTGTTACTCTAAACTCTTAATCTAGCCCAGAGATTTTCAGCTGGTGTGCTGCAAGAATTTCTAATATGCAATACCTGCTCAAGGGCACTGACCTCTTATCCCTTAGATTGTTTTAAAAAAAGAATGACAATAGCCATCCTGTGTGAATGAATCAAAATTATGCCTATTTTTTGGTCAGATTAGCAAAAAATACATTTTTTGCTGTGCTACAGAATTTTAGTAATTGGTTTATATGTGTCATGAGATGGAAAAGGTTGAAAATCACTCACTGGCCAAACAATTGATTGTCTTATATTCAAGTGCCAAAGTTACCTAGCTTGGTAGGTAGAAGAGTATCATTCCAGGCCGTCATGAAATGTAACCTGTACAAATTTACATAATCTTCTTGCAGGTGGCCAGGGTCAGACTTCTCTTATCTCTTGTATACTGTGGAATACAAAAGGGTTTGTTTTTATTTTAAGATTTTATTTATTTATTTTTAAACAGAGGGGAAGGGAGAGAAATATAAATGTGTGGTTGCCCCTCACACACCCCCTACTGGGGACCTAGCCCTCAACCCAGGCCCTGACTTTGAATTGAACCCACAACCCTTTGGTTCGCAGACTGGCACTTAGTCCTTTGGGTCACACCAGTCAGGGCACGAAAGGTTCTAAGGGTCTAAGTTTTAACTTTTACCTATGAACATTATGATCTTATCTATGACTGGTTATGTCTAACAGCCACCAAAGACCAAACAAATAATTTCAATCTTTCCTGTTAATGTCCAGATACTAGAAATCAAGGACCATAAAGAAAGTGGCCCAGGACACTTAACCCAGATCTTATACTGAACTAAGTCCTTGTGACGGATCTGGTGGAATCTTGGTGGTGGCTGGCATCGTGTGCATCATCTGTGGACAGTGCCATTCAGTCAGCCTTGCAGAGTTCGGTGCTTCCCTACAGATCTTCACGTTAATGTGTGCCCCTCCTGCCTCTAGCAGCCCTGAGCCTCTTTAAAATCATATCTTACATCACTAGTAAGCTGTCCTAGTTTTTTGGGTTAAAGAGAATCTTGCTTCCTTCAGATATCTCAAGCAGGTCTCCATTTTGTATCATTAAATGCTCTCACAATTAAAAATAGAGGAGAAAAAACTTTTTAAAAGACCCACACTATACAAAGGTAATCATTCTCCTATTTCTTCATCAAATATGTATCAAGTGCATATACAGATCAGTCTCTCTGCTAGGGACAGGAGTGTAAGGATGAGTAAGTCACAGTGCCAGGGCCTGTGCTTCTAGGACACACAACAAGAGACGAAGGCATATAAACAGATTATGATACAATGATACTAGAGACGTATGCTGCCTTTTAGGGAAACATGGAGGAAGGTGTCACACAAGCATATGTCCTAGGCAGGACAAAGGATGAGTGCAGCTACTTACCACACTCTACTTACCCTGTCACTTTGCTTCACTCAGATACGCTGTAGACCTAGTAGTACACAGGTCTCAGCCTCTCGCACCAACTCCACTTTGTCACAGTAAAGACTCCCTATACTTGTGTTTTTCAGGAAGACAGTTTTGTACTGCTAGGTAGCTTTTGACCTGCCTTGATCTCCCACCAAACAAGAGAAATGCCTGTTACCTACTAGGATGCTGTGATAGGTATTGGGCTACAAAAGGCCATTTACCACCTCCTGCCTCAAAAACGACTTTATTTTCAGACTTAAGCAGCAGTGAATATTGCTCTTCTAGTCCTTACCCTTTTCCTGACATTCATCAAGGAACCTCCAGGATCCGCTCATGCAGGGCCAGACAATATTTGAGCTGGAGGATGTCTTTGAGACACCATAATCTGTCTCTTGGGAATGGAAATGAGGAGGGTACTCATGATGATGACTTCTTCTCCCTGAACTCCAGAGAATCCAGCTGCCTTTTAAGCATCTTTGTTTTGGGTGTCTAGTAACATGGCCAGAACAGTTCTTGATGATTATACTCTCCTAAAACATGCCTGTCCCCCTGCATCCCATATCTCAGCAAATGGCATTTGTGTTCACCTGTTTGGCTAAGGTCAAAAGCCTTGGAATCATTCCTGACTTCTCTTTTTCTCTTATGCACCTCATCCAGTCCATCAGCAAATCTTGTTTGTTCCACCTCCAGAATAAGTCTAGAGTCCAGTCGTTGCTTTCCATCTCCACTTTTTCTATTCTTGATGAGCTTACCATGCTCTCTCTTCTGAATTACCACAGTGGTATTCTTACCGATCACCCTGTGTTTACCATTGCACCATTTTCAGATTTTTTACCTACACAGAGGTGGAGCGAGCCTTTGAAAAATTAATCTGCTCACATCTCTATTCTGTGCAGAGCCCTTCAGTAGCTTCCCATCACAACTAGAAGTTCCAAAGTCCTTCCCATGGCTGGCTACATCTGACATGATCAGGCCTCTGGTTACTTCCCTGACTTTATCTCCTATGCTCTTACCCCTTGCATCTATCTGGTACTAGTCACACAGTCTTTCTTCCGTGAAAACACAACACACATAGACACCTCAGGGCCTTTGCACTCACTGTTTCCTCTCCCTGGCACACTCTTGCCTTAGATATTTCACAGCTTGTTCCTCATCTCATTCAGGTCTCTGCTGAAAAGTCAGGTAAATCAGCAATATCTTCCGTAACTATTCTCACTCCCTGTTAGAGTATAAATTTCTTCAGGGTAGCAACTTTGTTTTGTATATTGCTCTATTTGTAGTTCCTAGAACAGTTCCAGAGTCCTAGTGGGTATCCATTGAATAGTTGTTTAATTAATGAATAATAACATTAATGGTAGTAGCTTCCATTTACTGAGTGCTAATCATATTGAACTTTTATAAAATAATAACCACATTTTGCAGAGGAAGAACATGAGAATTTAAGTAATTTTTCAAGGTCATGTACATTATGTCTGATCCTAGAGCCTGATTCCCAAACTTTAACGTATATTCAGATCATGTAAAAAAAAAAAGTGCAGATTTGTGTGTTATCTGTATATGCATATACACAATCATATTTGCGTATATTATCCCAAGAAACAATAGAAAGATAAATCACAGACTATTAAAACACCTGTAGCAGAAGGGAGAGGACAGGGTATATGGAAGCTAGATTTCTCACATTTTTAGCTTTGGAACTACATGAATGTGTCATGATTTTAAAATGCAGATTTCAGGGCACCACTGTAGAATCACTGACTCAGGATCTTTGGGAGCAGGGCTCAGAAATGTGCATTTTTAATTAGTCCTAGTGATTCTGATGTGGCTTATGCTTTGAGAAACACTGTTCTTTGCTCTATGGCCCAGTGAAGGGAAGTGACTACTAGCTTATTCCCTGCAGTGGCCAGCATCGGGCCAGGGATGGCATTGTTTATCACATAAAGTCGGACTGGGTGGTACTGTTGGGCAGAGCTTCAGCAGGGTAATTACGAACAAGAAGGGCCAGCCTCACTCACTTCCTAGGAGGGATCGAGTCCAATCATGTGTCTGAGTTAGGCTGTCAGGAGCTGTCTAGGGCTGGCTCTCATTTTTATGTGCGTGCTACTTTTATGCGCGTGCTACTTGTTGTGCAGCATGTCCCGCTTCCTGAGGTGCGGCATTGAGCCTCAGAAGGGACTGTTTACCCTGTGCTGCGCCTGCTCTGCAGGCGTCTCATTCTCTGTGTTGTGCACGTAGGGCTGTGTTGTATGATGACACGTCGTAGAACGAGAAGGCTGCATGTGGCTCGGGCCCCCTGAGCCCCCACTGATTCCGTAACCAAATCATGCCCCTTCCAGTTGGCATTGGTGGTATAGTGGTGAGCATAGCTGCCTTCCAAATCAAGCCTCTTCCAGGTTCTGGGCTGTTACTGCATTTTCCTTGTGACTTTGAAGGTTAGGAATGAGTATGTGTGCGGTGCTTTTACTATTTAAAGGGAAGTTGTTACTTGGCATATGTGATAAAGGCATGTTTTTTTTCTCAGCGCCCCCAAATAAAAGCTTGAAAAGGGTCAAATAAAATTTCAATTAAAAATTTAAAAAACACTTTCAATGAACATATCTGATTCCATTTTATGACCACTACAGTAGACATTTGAAAAGAGACATCTGTTGGCAAATACATATTTCAGTTAAAATGAAGAACAGGATCTCAAGTGTTGTGCTTATGAGTCTGACCTCATGTTGTGGCCAAGCAGCTTCATGAGAATTCAAGCCCCTGTGGAACCGCATCAGAGACCTACTGTACGGTAACTGACGCAAACCTGGAAGAACATGGGCTGAGAGCAAGCCAGCTCAGGGGGCCCTGCAGAGATATGGGAGAGGGCTGTTGGGAGGTACCCTGTAGGTAAAATTGGTAGGCCTTGCAGGCCCGGTGGAAGTTGAGGCTGTTAGATAAAGAAAAGCAGGAACTGGCAGAGGCTTGAGGGCACAGTTAAGAGGAAGGTGAGAGAGGATGGTGAACATTATGTCGGCCTTTTGGTTATAGATTTTTATGTATAAGAGAGTTTTTAAAAAATTCTTACTTCATTTTATCTGTATTTGAAATATCAGTGGGTATCCGAAAAAATCAACTTTAATATTGCCAGTTGCTTGATTCTGGGATATCTAAACAGTATCTTTTACAAAGCAAGCACTGTAGGCTGAATTCTTTTTTCCCTATGTTCTGCTCCAGCATAAATCTCCAGCATTTCACTAGAGTGAGTGTTATTTCTGATTTCCACTTGTGTCATTAAGAGCATACAATGCCTTATTTTCTGTATCTTGCCTTTGCTTTACAATGCAAAATAAAAGAAGACAATCACTATATTTTTCTGGACAGCTAAGGACATCAGCCCGGAGAAATGTGCCTGCGGTGGCTCCCAACTTGTTTTGCAACTATAGCCACTGCGGCCCCGACGCCCTGTGGCCCACACCCATCTTCTGACGGGGATGTCCTACTAAGTGCATCACAGCAGGTGGTTGGGTCCCGACTCTCCCACACACATCTTATCACATGTGAGACTCTGGACAAGTTACTTATCCCTGAGGCCCCAGCTCCCTCATCTATAAAATGGGGGTTTATGAAAACGACATATTTCAAAGGATAGTTGTGAGGATTAATGAAATAATGTGTGATATGTGCTTAGTATTGCCTCAAATACAACGCATGCTCAGTGTAGTTCATCTATTTGTACCACTACCTAATATTTTATTTTACAAAGGATCAAGGGAGTATGTGACTAACGTCTGTGTTACGGGATGAGAAAGCTGAGGAAGTATGTCTATGTGCTTAACTTCTCTTACTGGGTTCATATAGATTGGGCAGGTAGCTTAATTAAACTCCTTTGGAACCTCTTTCCCTTTAGTGTAGGCCAGTGTCTCCCAAAAGTGTGGCCACTGATCCAACAGCATCAGCACCACCTGGGCACTTGTTACAGATGCAAGTTCCGCGGCCCACGTCCGGACCTGGTGTGGAAGAAATGGGTCAGGGCCTGGCAGTCTGTTTTAACAAACTCCCAGATAATTCTGGTATACACCAAAGTTTAAGAACCATGGGATTCAACCCTTTTTTTTTCTTTTTTAGAGAGAGAGAAACATCTATTTGTTGTTTCACTTTTTATCATTCCTTGGTCGATTCTTGCACGTGCCCCCACCAGGGATTGAACCTGCATCCTTGACATATGGGGACAGTGCTCTACCCAACCGAGTTACCCATCCAGAACCTCAACCGTCCGTTTTTAATAAGAGCTTTATTGACATGTAATTCACATACCATATAATTCATCCATTTAAAATGTGAAATTCAGTGGTTTTAGTACATTCACAGAGTTGTGCAAGTATAGCCACAGTTGATTTTAGCACATTTTTATTACCCTGAAAAGAAACCCCGAACCCGTTAGCGTTCACTCCCCATTTCCCCCCAACCTACCAGCCCTAGCCAACCACTAATCTCTCCATCTTTATAGATTTGCCCATTCTGGGCATTTCGTAAAGCTGGAATCATACAATATGCAGCCTCTTTTGTTTGGCTTGTTGCATTTAGCATAATGTCAGGATTCATCCCTGCTATAGCAGCGCTTCAGTTTTTTTAATAGCTGGCTAATGTCCCATCCTACAGGTATGCCACATTTTGTTTATCTGTCCATCAGTTGATGGACATTTGGGTTGTTTCCATTCTTTGACTGTTACAAATGATGCTGCTATGAACGTTTGTGTACAAGCTTTTGTGTGGACATAAGTATATACCCAGGGATGGAATTGTTAGGCCAGGTAGCAACCCTGTGTTTGATCTTGAGGAACTGCCGGGCTGTTTTCCAAAGTGACTGTATGACTTTATATTCCTGCCAACAGTGTATGCGGGTTCTAGTTTATTCCCATCTTCATCAACACTTGTTATTATCTGCTAGACCATATTGTGAGATAATGAATTCTATAAACTTAATACACTATTTTCCCAAAAGTTAAATCATCGACTTTCCGAGGTTGTCTTTTAGTTGTTATTCCTGAGATTAGATACCTGGTCTCATGTTTGTACTACCCATTTTATGACTTTACAAACTTCCATGATATTTTTTTGGTCAGTTTAATTTTGAAACAATGAAGCCAGGGATTTTTTAATTCTCTAATATGGCTAGTCTAGTAATTGTTGAATAAATGCATTTTTGATTAGTCGATTCCCAAATATTTCTCGACCATAAACATTCTTTAGCTTTGCAGAACACCTGTTATAAAAAAGAACTCACTTTATTGACCTCGAGATTCTGATGGAAACCCCGAGATAACGAACAGGGGGCCTGCCTAAAGCTGATGTTCCTCACAGCTCTCTTCTTTTCCAGAGGAATGGCTTCTTGTTGGAACCAAACAAGGACACCTTCTTCTCTATAGGATTCGGAAGGACGTTGGTAAGTGGTGACTTTCCAAAATTGAGAAAGAAATGGCCTACTATCTATGCCAAAAAAACGTTTAGATAGTCGGCTAGTATACAAGTATGAGATCAGTGGTTTCTGGACAACTGAGGAGTGACTGGGGGCCTGGGAGCAGCCCAGCAGGAAAGTGGGGAGGAGCCTGAGAGACTCTCCGGGGCTTCGTGGTTTTTTTCCTGATGATACACCCATATGCCCATGAGGATGGGGTGGGGGGGCAGTTGTGGGGGACTAGATGTTCCTCCCCTCCTCATTTTTTGGAAACTCACTGCCAGATATAAGAAATATTACTTATGGGAAGAAGATTTTTCTGTAAATAATATGTAGTTAAAAAAAATTAGGAATCATTGGTTTAAAAGACCTCACCAACTTAGGAGGGGTGGACCAGGAGGAAAAAGACCTGGGTTTGAGTCCAGCTTCACTTCTCTTTGACCACTTGACGGACGGAGTTGGTCCTTTCCAATGTCATTTTTCTATCCAGTGGACTATCTGTTTTCCTTACAAATTGGTTGGGGTCAGATGCAATAAAATGTTTGAAAGGACTTTTAAAAACTACAGTTCTAATCAAATGTGACTTTGTCAGTAAAAATGTAGAATAGCAACTAAAAAAAGTATGTGAACTGTATTCTGTTTGAGTACCATCTAGCACAAAAAAGCACCTCATGTCCTTTTCCCAATTTCATTTCTATGCTCTCTTGGTGGAAAATTGATATGTTTGGATATGATGCCCTGGAGCTTCAAGTGAAATCTGCTGTTAATGCCACAGTAGGTTGAACCATGTGAAATTGTCATTATTTAACCATATTAGAAAAAAAGATTTCATCGCTTTCACCCTAATAAATAACTTTCTGTAGTGAATAGCTTAAGGAAAAGTGGAAATAGAGCCTTCTCTTTAGATCCTGGAGCAAAGAATGGTAACATTGGGAGGGAAGAATACCTTACTAGTGTAGGGAAGGAGAAAAATTCTTTCCCTCTACTCATTTTAGGTTCATTGGCTAGTGTAAATTAGACCAAAGAAAGACAAAGTAACAAGAGAAAAACAAGTAGGGGTTTATTAACTTGAGCACTCAGGAGGGATTAGGACTTGGGCCTGTGCGTCACCCTAATAAGCAAACTATAAATGTTTAGAGAAGTGACCAAAGGAAAAGACCTTTGAGTTTTTAGAGTGGCAGATTGTGGGAAGGCAAACATACGGGGGAGCTGATTGGAGACAAGTTTGTTACGCAGATTCCTCTGCCGCCATCTCTGGGCGGGTGCGGGTCATCCTGTAACTGTAGGGACGGAGAAAACTTCTGTCCTTCCTGATGGAGAGGAGAGGAAAGACAGTTTTGTAAATTTATGTCCTGCTTTTAGGCAAATAGGAGGAGAGCAGAGAGAGCTTTTCTTATATCTGCTTCTTCTCAGTTGCCTTGAGCTCAAAATAATTCTTAAGCCAAAGTGCAATAGGAAGAGGAAGACACCTGGCCCAGGGCTGTGGTAAGGTAAGAAGAGAAGCCAGAAGTTCAAAACAGAGCATTTATTTCATTTCTAAGTGTTTCGGCTTTCCTTTAAATCAGGAATCAGCAGACTTGTTCCCAAAAGGACCAAAAGTAAATATTTTAGGCTTTGCAGGCTGTAAAATCTCTGCTGTGATCACTCAGCTCTGCTGTTGTAGCTAAAGGGCAGCCAGATAATGTTAATGAGGGGGGTGTGGCTATGTTCCAGTGAAACCTCGTTTACAGAAACGAGTCAAGGGCTGGCTTGGACCCTTGCTGGATTGGGCAGTACTGGATTGGGCAGTACTTTGCTGGCCCTCGCTTTAAATTTTTGTCCTCACAGCCAGGATATTTCTATTCTATGACATCTACCCAGTCTGCAATTCGAAAATTAAACTTGCCTTGGATTTTATTCAGCACTCAACAGCTGTGTTTGACTATATACTTAGAGCTTGGATACTGTGCAGGACACGAATATAAGATCCTGATATTCTTTTCCCCTGATTAATAATCAGTTCTTTGTACCATCAAATACTAAATACTATAATAAAGCGACTTGTTTATGTACCATTTCTGTAAAAGTGGTGAGAAGTTGAAAATTAGACTGTAAAAACAACTTGTTCAACCAAGTGTAGACTCACACTGATGCGTTGGTGCCGATCTAACTGGGAACACTCGCTGGCGGGGCCTGTTCCTTGCTCTGTGATCAGTCCACCGTGTCACCTTCAACAAGTCCGTTAATCTTCCTGGGCCTCAGTTTCCCCATAGGCAACTCGAATACCAGTTGTAACCTGCCTTAGACTATTAGGAAATCAAACCCTGATTAGAAACTTTACATCTTCCTGTATTTTTAGAGAACAGTTCAATTCTGGCCCAGCTGTGGTCTGTTTATGGGCCAGAAATAGACGTGGGCCTCCGTGAATCAGCCATAGAACTAACTTGGCTTCTAAATTTGAGATATTCCAAACTGGGTAGGTCTGCAACTAGCCTGTCTTTCTGAGGAAAGGGAGTGGGTAATAAGATCTCATGGAAAGACCAGGGTCAAGGGCACCCGCTCCTCATCTGACCTGAGCCACCTCCTGTGAGCTCAGAAAAGTCTCTCAGCCTCGCTCTGCTCGTGTTTGAAAACAAAGGGGTTAGATTAGTTCAGACCATCTTTACGGCTTTAGGTTGGCCTTTCAGAGGATCCACCAGGTAGAAACTAAGTTTATGGCAACACTAAAACATTATTTTTTTTCACTGACAATTATTGACATTTGCACCAAAGGTGCAAAAGTAATGGCCGCTGAAACTGCTGGCCCCTCAGCACAAGGTCAAGACGATGGTCAGCAAATGTGTTTGCACCAAACTGCGCTGGGGGTCCTGTTCTCCAGCATGCACCACAGGTGGTTTGGTTTTGTGAAAGCCAGTTCACTTAGCAGTGTTCTTTGTGAGGCAGTAAAAATTATTAATTTTATTATATCTTGACCTATGAGAACACATATTTTTTATAATCTGCAATGTAATAGGAAGTTCACATGAAGTTCTTCTGCCGGGCACCAAGGCACGGGGCACAGTAGCTGCTCAGTTTGGAAAAGTGGTTTGTGTGTCTGAGTTCTGAGCTGAACTGGCCACTTTTTTTCATGGAGCATCGTTCCTGCTTAGAATGACTGACAGGTAGACTGTGGTTTCTCAGACCACTTGGGTATTTGGTAGATATTTTCTCAAAGATGAGCAATGGGAACCTGTCACTTCAAAAAAAAAGAACTGGCAGTTTTTATTGCTAATGATAAAGTTAGGGCCTTTGAGAGAAAATTAGAATTGTGGAAAACTCATATCTGCCCCCATGAGTTTGACAGCTTCTCGATACTAAGGATTTTTCTGATGGGATTGTGGAGGGGTGATGAGTGTGAGTTTGCTGCATATGCGTCTTGTGAAGAAGTGTGCCGGCACTGGGAGGTCTGCATCACTCAGGGAACCAGTGTTTTCCAGGGCATGAAGCTTCTCAGTCATGAGGGAGAGATCCATTCAAAGAGATCCGCTGGTAAGGTAGACCAGTGGGCTTTAGCAGAAAAGTTCATTAATAGGTTTTGGGTTTCACATTGTGAGAAACTTCATGTGTCAAGTTTTGGTATAGTCTCAAAAAAGATGATCCGCAGTTATCTGGAAGAGCTGTGAAACTATTCCTCCCTGTCCGACTCCTTGCCCGGGTGAGGACTGACGTGTGGCCTATGCTTCAGCCAAACAAATGTGTCGAAACAGACTCAGTGCAGAGGCAGATGTGAGAGTCCAGCTGTCTTCTTATGATCCAGATGTGCAGAAATGTAAAACTGGGTTTTTTTAATTTGGAAAAACAGTTTTTTCCATTGAAATATGTTATTTATGCTAAATGTAATGGGTTTATTGCTGTTATTTTTGAGTTGATAAATATATATTTTTTTAATTTCAGTTTTAATTTCTAGTATGGTAAGCATTGGTAGCTATAACCCACATAAAAGCTTTAGGGTCCTCAGTAATTTTTAAGATTATGAAGGGTCCTGCGAACACTGAGAATCTTTGCCCTGGAACATTATGCTTATAAAGAAAATCGTTAGAAGTAATTTTTTTTAAGAAGTAAGAATAAAGCCTTTTTCAAATAGAGAACACTTTATCAAGTAGGAAGTGGTTGGATTATTTTTTTTCTTGTGAAATACAATGGCAGAAATACACAGCATGTTTCTGAATCTCCCAGAACTTTTGGGCCCCTTCTTCTCTTCTCTGCTGAGTCCCCATGGAGGAAGTATGACCAACTTTAGTGGCGTGGGCCCTGGGAGCTGCCTCAAAGAATCTCCACCGATTCTTTGAGTGGGCAGGAAATCAGCCGGGTGTGGGGAGCAGCGGGGATCAGCGCTGTGAACAGTTTCTCCTCGTGCTGGGAGGAGCGGCCTCCCGCCCCAGCTTTCCAGGCAGCTCCAAGCGTGTTTCTGGGCTGTCTTTTCACCTGCTTGACCCATCAGATGCCTCAGATGTGAAATTAGAATAGTAATACCACCTATTTTGGGGGGGTAGCTGTGAGGTTACAGAAAACATATTTTTAAACCCAATTAATGATAGCTTCTATTATTCCTTATTTTCTGTTTGTACTTTCTGGTGATTTTTGAGGCTGAACATTTTTTTTATCCCAGCAAGGCTGGCTTCATACGTTATTATGGTATATAACTTTCCCCCCTTTTTTGCAACAGTGCCAGCAGATGTGGCAGCACCTGAAAGTGGCAGTAAGTGTAGATGCATTAAGCTGCTTTAGCTCTGGGGAAGGTGTTGAGTGTGTTTGCTCTGTCCCAGGACCTCAGGCAGCGGCTGGGATTTCGCTGGGTCTGGATCTAAGGATGCTTTGGGCTGGATTTCATTGCTTGGGCTCTTACATTTGACTGTTACTTTTTACACTCTTTTTTTGTGAAATACTTTGCCAAGGTACTGTTTAGTAGGATAGGATCTTCAGACTCACAAGTACCTTGCAGCTTCAGTAAACTTCTGTGGCGTGATACTCTCTGCTAATGCCAAGTGCATGAAATCCTCTGTTCTGAAATTGGAGTTGAAAGCAACTTATTATACGCAATCAAGACAGACAGCTGGCTCTCCTACCTCTCCCACTTCTTGTCCTTTAGGAATTTTTAAAGATTCATGTAGGAGAGCAGTTTGGAGCGGCATTTTTTGTTGCAGTTATTCATATTGTATTCCTGTGTTTGGAACTGTGAATGTTTCTCTTCCGTAGGCTGCAACAGGTTTGAAGTGACACTAGAGAAATCCAATAAGAACTTCTCCAAAAAGATTCAGCAGGTAGGCAGAGATGGTGGTTGCTGCATTTATATTTGACTTCTAGGAGACCCTCTCAAAACTAGAACTTTGGTAACATTGTTTAACTCTGAATCCTCTGCTCTGTTTATGCAGGGATCTCTGTCCATCCATCATGTGCCTGAGATCCTTTCACAGGCAGAAGTTGTGATTGCTCATAAGTATAAGTCAGATCCCTGTCGTTGGTGTGGGCCCTTCCGTCTCTTTTTAGTCCCGCAGTGAAGTGAACGTCTGAGCTGAACCTTGCCAGGAACGTGTAACTGAGTGTAATGATTTGCTGTTTTTCAGATCCATGTGGTTTCCCAGTTTAAGATTCTAGTCAGCTTGTTAGGTAAGAAAAGGGGTTATGATTGTATTTTATGTGTGAAAAAATATAAGGTACAACCTAATTAAATCTTTCATGGCTAATTTGATAGGCATTACTTAACAACGAAACTGACATGTTCCAAACCAGATATAACAGGGTACACAGGTCACTCAGGCAGCAACATCCCCGATAAAATCGAGCTCTGTTTTCCAGGGAATGTCACTTCATTCATTCACTTATTCATTCATGTGGTAATCAAGCAAATATTCTTTGAGCCCCGCTCTAGGCACTGGGAGTACTGAGTTCAATGAGATGGTTTTTATCCTGTGCTCTGATTGTGAAGACTGAAATGATAGAAAGTACCATATTTTTCCATGTGTAATGCACACTTTTTCTACCCACATTTTTTAGGAAAAATTAAGGATGCACATTATACATAAGTATAATGAATATGTAATCCTGTGTGTAGCGTGCACTGAAAATGAGAGTGCACATCATACACAGAAAAATATGGTAATCATGGACCAGTGCAGAAAGTTACAGTGGTAGGTTAATAAAAAGTGCTGTGGTATATAGTAATGGGAGGGACAGCGTTATCCAGTGGATGATTAGGATTTTGACAGAAAGGAAGAGATAGGCAGAACATTATAGGCAGAGGGAACAGCTTCAGCAAAGGCCCTGGGTTATGTGGTGGAGAGTGACGAGAGACAGGTGAAAGACAGATCAGGGCCAGGCCATTCAGGGCCTGTGTGAAAGCCACACTTTGGCGGAAGGCAGCCAGTGAGGACTTTTCTTGACAAGCAGATGACTGGGAACTTGAGTACTGCACACTCAGCACTGTCCGGCCCAGGGCCCAAATGGTACAATCATTTTAAACTTAGGTTCTAGGTTGATAGAGGAACATTTAAAGTAACTAAATCTTATGACAAAAGTTAGCTACAAGGCCCTAGTGAAATTATTTTTCTTGCTTTGCTAGAAAAGAAATCCTTGTGGTGGATTTGCACAAAGTCCGCAGGGGATTTCCTTTCTCTTACTAGTGCCTCCTAATGTAAGTAGCTTTGAAAACCACTTCTTGTACAAATATTACATCACAAATTTCCAGACTTGAGAAAGAGTATAAGAGTGCTTTTGAAGTGAAAGAGCCCTCTTATTCAAGCCAGCCCAAATTTAAAGGGATAGCATACCCAAGTCCAAAAGACTGAGTGGCGTCCGAAATGTTCTGTAGTGTAATTCTGGTGATAGACCAGAATAAACCAAGTTAGTGAAACCGAAGGTACATCTTCAACCTTGCCATTTGGTTCTTGTGGTTGTTATAGTTATTATTATTTTTTTTGTCTTGAAGGTGGCTATACTAGAGAATTGTTATAATTTATTGTGATGTTTTGCCTCCTTCTGAACAGAAAATAATATTTATGTCCATGATCTACTAACATTTCAACAAATCACTACGGTTTCAAAGGCGAAGGGAGCCTCTCTGTTCACATGTGACCTCCAGGTAAGTGTGGGCAGGACAGAGTTCGACTTTGCACTTTAACAAGCACAGTCTGACCTGTATCATTTCTGCCATTAAATGGGAAGAATAACATTGATATCCAAACCCAGCAGGGACTTCAAAGAGAGTATTTGATTTTGGATTGTATTAGAGCAGTTTCCCCTGTAGCATGTAGTCTGAGGTTGAAACATTGCGTTCCTGGTCCATGCACGCCTGATGTCTGTGTGGCAGGAGGCAACTCGCTGAGGGTACAGCACCTGTCAGGGACAAACTGTGACTGGGGAATCAAACCTGTGACCCTACCATGAAAATGATTATGAGACATTAGACTGACTCGTTCTCAGCATATCATCTCGGTCTTTGTCTTTAGAGAGTTTTTGTTTTTCAGGAAAGACATTTCTCCATATTTTTGACAATTCATCACCCCTACATTCTTCAAAATCTGCCTTACCTCCAGCATTGAACACTGTTTAGCATTTATGGCCTGCATCAAAATGGCATTGTTTGACATGTAGACATTTCTTTCCCCAAGTCTCCTTTAAAGGATTGAAAGTGGCCGTTGGTGCATGCTGATCTCTGTCCCAGCGTGTATGACCAGCCATGAGTGAGAAACATTTAAGGAGAAAAAGGAGGAAGCTGTTACGTATTGTAGGTGAAGGCCTGCCCGGGGATTTTCTCCTCTGAATTATAAATATCCTCAGGATTCGAGGGCCTTCCAGCTCCCGTAGGGGGAAGAAGGCTCCTCGGCCTGTTGTTTCTGAGTGCATCTTAGAGGGTGGTATTCAGCTCAGCTTGCCTGGCAGCATGATTTAATACTTCAGGGGATTTTCAGATTAGTGGCCATTTTAAGGTAGAAAATCTCTGATCTAGTTGTCATTCAGTTATAGAGTCATTGTGTGTGCATCCTCATTTGCTCTGGGTGTGTCTTCCCAGCACTCGGACACTGGGGAGGAGGTGTTACGGATGTGTGTGGCCGTGAAAAAGAAGCTGCAGCTCTATTTCTGGAAGGACAGGGAGTTTCATGAATTGCAGGTAAAGTCCCCTGTCAATTGGTCCATGGGTTCGGTAGGAGGTTCTGCTGTGGTTGACTAACAGCTTGAAAGACTAATGGTTTAGTTGTAGTGAAGGTCAGGAGCTCAGGCTTGCAGTTCTGTCCAGATGGGCACTCTGCTATGAACGCCTCGTGTGTCCATGGGAGCGTGTTTGTGCCCACTGGTCAAAGCCTCGTGGTCTTCAAAATCAGCAGCAATAAAATTGTACAGTGTCTACACAGATCGTACAGTGTCTGCACGGATTGATTTATTTCAGAGTGGGTTTTCACCTTTTCCAAATGCACGTTGTCCAATACTTGGGTGACTTACAGTAAGTCCTCACTTAACATCGATAAATTCTGCAACTTCAAGCAAAATGACATGGAACCAAATAGGCTAATTGATATAAACAAGAGTTAAATTCCTACACCATCTCATCACATTATAATAAAATGATATTGAAGGAAATGATGCTATTCAAGGTCTGGCTATATTTTTATTTTGGGTGGTTTCCAGGTCTTGTGCTTCTAGAATTGAATTCAGACGAGGATGAGGGTGATTTTGCAGAATAGGGCAGAAAAACAGGAAGGTCGTGGCTTTTTTCTTTTAACATCTTCCCAATTCTTTCTTCAGGGGGATTTTAGTGTACCAGATGTGCCCAAGTCCATGGCATGGTGTGAAAATTCTATCTGTGTGGGTTTCAAGAGAGACTACTACCTGATAAGGGTAAAAATGGTTATTTTGCCAATATCATCCGTTTGTCTTGGGGGAGATGACTGTGTGCTTCCGAAGTGTGAGTCAGGATACGGCCTTGAGTGGGGTGTTGGCATAACAGATTTGTGTTCACATGTTTGCTTATTTTTCATGCTCTCAGCATCTTCCACAAATAAGATGCCCGTGAATCTTAAGCCAGGCAGTCAACTCTCAGTTTTCTGCCTAATGAATCATCCACGTGCTGTGTCTCATTTGGAACAGATCGTTAGGGCTGCTGCCGGTGTCCAACAGCATTATCGTGACCGCTGTCTTCAGGCCTCAGTGCTCAGGAGTTGTAAACTAATTTTAATGGTCATTTAAGTATGTTGAAGACTTGGAGATTTCTTCACCCCCCCAAAAAAATTATTTTAGTGTATTCGTTTTAAAAATTATTTTCACTGTTTTTTTTCTGAAGTTTAAAAGCCACATATGTTTATTATAGAAAATAAGAAAATATAAAGAAAATAAAAAGTGTAAATCATCCATAATTCCCCCCACTCAAAAAATAATCACTGTCAGTAAGTGGGCTTCCACCTTATTTATAAAAATCCCATGTTATACACGTATATGTATTATATTTATAACCTGCTTTTTCTTTTAACCTAAGCAGTAAATATCCACAACTTTGGTCTTTTTTCTCCAACATGCACACTATACGCACACAACTATAGGAAAAGCTTGGTGTACCATTCATTTCATAGAATACTGCAAATTCCTTCGCTTCATACCCCCTTACAATCCAGACTTGGTGTTCCAGATCCTGCCTTCCCACCTCCCTGCTTCCCTACCCCTCACTGTGTTAGCTCTTCATTGTTTATCTAGTTAGTACATTTGTTCTATGTCTGTATTGTTGGAATATCCAGATTCCACCAGCATCACAGCTGCAAACTCATAGAGGAGTCGCTTGTGCAGTTGGCTGAGTGACGAGGCGTAAAGGTGCTGCGAGAGCCCGTGAGGGCGGGAGACCGCCAAATGTCGGGGCACTTCCATGACCTGACAACCCTGGGTGTTTCCCTCACCTTCCTGAGGGTCGAGTCATTTGAGGGTGGGAAGTCTTGCTATGGGACCAGGATATTCAAAAGTCATTCGTGTATTTGCGTACTGTAGAATTAATTTTTTTCATAATACAGTTCTGAATTCTGACAAATTGCCTAGAGTTCTGTAACCACCAACACAATCAACAGCACAGTTTCATCACCTCCAGAATTTCCTCATGCTGCCCCTTTGAGGTCAACTCCTGCTCACCCACTCCAACCTCTAATAATCTGTTCTTCATCTCCCGTAGTTTTGCTTTTGCCGCAGTGTCATATAAGTGGAATCATAGTATGGGGCCTTTTGAGCCTGGCTTCTTTCACTTAGCATAATGCATTTGACATCCATCTGTGTGGTGTCAGTTTATTCTTTTTTATGGCTGAGTAGTGTCTGTGGTGTGAAAGGACTACACTTTGTTTATTCATGCACCAGCTGACGGGCAGTTGTTTCCAATTTTTAGCCATCTGATAAAGCTGCTATAAATGTTTGCATTTAAGTTTTCTGTGTAACAAAATTAACTTCGTTTCTCGGGCAAATGCCTAGTGATGAGATTGCTAGGTTGCATCTGAAGTGTCTATGTACCTTTAAAAGAAACTAACAACAACCATACCATTCTGCACTCTCACCAGCAGTGTGTGAGTTCTAGTTACTCTTTATCCTGGCCGGCACTTGACATTGTCTCCGTGTTAGAGAAGAAGGGAGCTGGTTCTGCAGAGTGATGACAAAATATTTCATAATAAATTGTATTTGTTATCTAGCTCCTTATGCCACACAAGGACTGTTATTGGCTTCTGTAGGTTTTGAGTTTTATTTTGATTTTTCCAGACTATGTTCATGCCTCTGGCCAGAGAATGCTGGGTGACTCACTTTATGTCTTCCTGTAGGTGGATGGAAAGGGGGCTATCAAAGAGCTCTTTCCAACAGGAAAACAGTTGGAGCCCTTAGTTGCACCGCTGGCAGACAGAAAGGTGGCCGTGGGCCAGGATGATCTCACCGTGGTGCTCAACGAGGAGGGGATCTGCACACAGAAGTGTGCCCTGAACTGGACGGATATACCAGTGGCCATGGGTGAGACCAGCAGTGGCTGCCATTGCCCACCCGGGCTGGGTTGGAAACCACCTTCAAAGAAGGGAATCCCGTTCATAGCTACAGCAGGCTGTGGTTTACGGTTGCATTCACTCTTGGTTCCCCTTCTTATAAGTAGATGACTGTTGTAGGGTTATGAAAAATGGGATTCTGTTTTTTGTAGGAAGCTGATTTTGTCTCCCCAAATGGGGAAAAAATCTAAACAGAATTATGCGTTTTAGAAGTACCGTAATTGTCTACCACTATTTTTACTACTTAGTTCCTTTTTACTGTGTCCTCTGCCATATAGTGGAAACTTGTAGGACTTCCTTATTTCTTCCTGTCATGCACGTAACTCAGGTTTGGAGGCATTTTATATGGTGATTATTGCTGTTGTTTTTGTAGCTTAGAGGTGCAGGCTGCATGTATTCGGGTGTCCGACTCTGCCCTGTGCATTAGGCGTTTCTGCATTACGCCTGCCTCGGGCTCCCCGCTCCCTGAAGACATTGACGTTGGGAGAATGAGTATGCAGATGATAGTCGTTGCTGTGGAGTGGGGCACGTTGACTATAAGGACTCCAAATCTGGAGATGAAAATTAACTTTTGGACAAAGAGGAAAAACAGCTTAAGGCACTGCTTAACACATTAAATTGGATAAATTGAGATTCAGTAGTTCTGAAAGGGGATGTTCATTGTTCACTAGTCAGGATGTAGTTTCATAACATCAGTAAGATTGGACTAGACTGGGCAGGGGGTGTAGGATCTGGCTTACAGAAGAATTACCTTTCACTCTAGGTAGAGAAAATGCTTTGAAGCATGAGTAGGAATGTAGAAGACGTGCTGACTTGTGAGAGGGCGTGGCGAGACTGCGCTGGCTGAACCCGGTGGTCTGAATTATGGAGCAGTAAGGCTGGGCCAGAGGCCCACGTGACGATGGAGAGGCCAGTAGATTCCCCAGTGGTAGAATGTGTCCATAAAAGCATCAGGTTCTAGGGTGGTTATTCTGATGGTGGTTAGAGATTAGGAAACCAGAAGGAGGATCAATGGAAAGGATAGTATTTCATAAGAGCCGAGATTGTGTGTATTAATGAGTTTGAGGGGCTAAGAGCTTCACAAGAAGCTTTTCCAATGTTCTGAGGGTCCTTGTTTTCCTTTCAGAATTTTGGTAGATTAGATGAAGATGTGTGTAATATGCTCAAAGTATTTTTCTCATTCCCCAGTGCGAGAGTTTCTGTGTTAAAACCTTTGTTAGCGCCCAGCGCCTTCAGCAGTGTTTCTCAGAGCTGTTGCTGTGCTGAACCTATTGCAGGAGAGGACACTTTCTAGGTAGGGTGGGAGAATCACCATCTGACAGGAGGAAGACGACTTCTTAGAATGGGGTCCTTTTTAAACTTTGTTTGTATTTCTGCTCTCATCTTGACTACTTCAGCCAGGCCCCAGCATTTTGGGCTCCCCCCTCACTGCCATTGCCTGTGCTGGTGCAATTTCCTCTCTTCTCACCCAGCAGCGTCCTGCTCTGTGACTAGGCCCCGGGCAGGGACGCTTCATCTATGGAGTCTTCTCCAAGCTGCAGGCAGGATTAGTCACTTCCCCCTTGTTGCTTCCAGCGCCCTTTCGGGTTTCTGCCCGGCACCCACACTGTCCCACTGTGCTCACTGAGCCCCGTCTCTGCATGTGTAGGAGCTCTGTGAGCTCCAGGCTCGTGTCCTGATCCACTCTGGGTAGTGCTTGAAACGTGGCCTTTTAGTAAATGCTTGTGGACGCGAACAATCCCTGTCACTGTCAGCCAGGTGTCGGATGCCTGCTGTACCACCCACTCGGCTGAGTTCTGAAAGTGCAGAGATCCAGAGCATCTTTTTTGCTTTTGAAAAACACCTGAAAAGGTGTTTCTTCAGTGTTTGAGGACACTGAACAAATCAGATATGACAACCAACAGGGTTTCTATTACAGATGACCTTTTTAAATAAAATTAGGCCTTTTTAAAGATTAAAAGGGGACAGAGGAATTTTACATATTTATGCAAACTAACACTAAGGAAAATTGTACAAGCTTTTTTAAATGAGCCCAACCTTAAAAGAAAATTTTAAAATCCAATACAAAACAACATTTAAAAAAATTTTTTATGATTATTTATTTATTTGTTTATTTTTAGAGAGAGGGGAAGGGAGGGAGAAAGAAAGGGAGAGAAACATCAATATGTGGTTGCCTCTTGCGTGCCCCCTCCCCCGACCAGGGACCTGGCCCAAAACCCAGGCATGTGCCCTGATTAGGAATCAAACCAGCAGCCCTTTGGTTTCCAAGCTGGTGCTCAATCCACTGACCCACACCTACCAGGGCCAAAACAACAGTTTTTTAATTTTACTTTTTTTGGTAAGATGAAACAGCAGCACTGAAATTGTTAGAAATATTACTTAGGCTTCACTTTGCTCATTTCTGAGTTCCTTTCTGGCCTTACATTTTTTTTTTTTTTTTTTTACTATTCATTTAGAGTATAAATTTCAAAAATAAAACAAAAAGCTTTTTATCAGGAAACAGATAATGAGGAAAATTAATTCATAGCAAGTTAGCTGACTAGAAAACTATTCTTATGAATATATTCTTTTTCAAGTTTTCTTTTTCATTAAATTATTTTTTATTGTCACTCTATCACAGTTGTCCCAGTTTTCCCCCGTTTGCCTTCCTCTTCCCATCGCACCCTCCAGCTCCCCGTCAACTCCCGTCTCGTCCCTGCCCCTTCTTTCCACCATCGTCCCCCGGCCCCTCCCCTCTGGTCACTGTTGGCCTGCTCAATGTTTCCGTGCCTGTGGTATATTCTTTGAGGTTAAATTTCCATATGACAATTAAGTCATCTCATGGTTCTTTTTTGCTAACTTTTTAAATATTATTTTTAATTATAGTAAAAAAAACATAAAATCTCCCTCCTTAACCATTTTTAAGTATGTAGTTAAGTAGCGTTAACATATATTCACATTGTCATGCAACAGATTTGAGAATTTTTTCATCTTGCAAAACTGAAAGAAACTCTGCACCTATTAAGCAGCAACACGTTGGCCCTTTTGCCCAGCCCTTGGCAACAGTCGTTCTACTTCCTGTCTGTGAATTGGACACTCCAGACGCCTCACAGCAGTAGTAGAAAACACCTGCACTGAGAACATTAAATCCAGCTGCCTTCTCTGAGCTATTGAACATCAAGTAGAGTTTTGCATTTCTTCCCTGTGAAAATCTCAAGCAGAGACAACACTGGCCAGAAATGTTTCTTTAGCATAATTTTAGGGAAAAAAGAAGTTGCCCTCCTCTTGCCTCGCTTTGTGACCGTTGAGAAAGGAGAAAGTGAAGTCTCCACCCAGTTCAATGGTAGGAGTGGGACTGGGCACTCTCAGCAAAGCTGGGAGCATCCTTTTTGTGCAAGAGATTTCTCTAAGTGTCACTCAGGCGAACGATCTTTTTGTCTTTGTGTCATATTGTAGGGTCCTGGCTTGGTATTTGACCAGTGGGCTTTTGGGAGATCCCACTTGAATACAACTTAGAAATGGGCAGCTGAGAGTAGAGAACCTAAACCCTTAGATCAGAACCACACTCAGGATGTTCTCCTTTGCACAGAGCACCAGCCTCCCTACATCATTGCAGTGTTGCCGAGATACGTGGAAATCCGAACACTGGAGCCGAGGCTTCTAGTCCAGAGCATTGAATTGCAAAGGCCCCGTTTCATCACTTCAGGAGGGTGAGGAATTTCTTTCTTTACTGCAGCTATTATATTATTGCAACATTTGACAGTCACCTATATCCTCATAAAGCCTGTGCTGTTTTGCTGATATTCTTATTCCTGCCTCCAGATCAAACATTATCTATGTGGCCAGCAATCATTTTGTTTGGAGACTCATTCCTGTCCCCATGGCAACCCAAATCCAACAGCTGCTCCAGGACAAACAGTTTGAATTGGCTTTGCAGCTTGCCGTAAGTCTTGTTCCTCAGATTTGGGTGTGAGTCTGCCTTTCTCGTTGTTCTCCAAATAGGCAGTTCAGGTTTAGTTTTCATATTTGGTTTCAAGTGGTAGAAAAGCACAGAGCCAAAAGTCTGAGGGTTTGGAATTCAGGGTCTGACTCCCACCACTATGTGTCCATGTAACTTTGAGTGATTTCACTCTTTCGGAGTACGCATATAGTAGGAGTGTCAATTATAATTATAGTACCTCATACAATGAATAGAATAAAGGAATTTAATAGATTTGGTCTGGCCTTGAACAATTACAGTGCGTGCATTGGAGTAAAGTGATAGTTGTAAACGTTAGTTGTAAGTCTGGGTGGGTGCAGCCACCAGAGAGCCTCCTGGCGTCCCTTTCAACTCGGCTGCTGTTTGGAAAAGCAGGCCTGCCCTCGGTGCCCTGCTGCCACCTGCAGTTGCTGCATTCCGCAGGGCAGCGCTTTTATACTTACCACCGTCACTGTGTGTTTGGGTGGGACGATGTTACCAGCAAGGAAGGTAGTGACCGTGCTCTGGTTCCAGCCGGGCTCCTGCCACCAGCTGACTTCTTGGACAGACTTTTGAGGTTCGTCTGGTTCTTTTAAACATCACCAGTGATGATTATTGTCATCTGTAGAGGATGGGCTTGATTTTAGGAAGCAGCCAAAGGTCATTCTGAGCCTTTCCTAGCCATTAAACCAGGTGGTAGTAATTTGGTAAAATAGAAGAAATGTGTATGAAGACAATAGTAGGAAAACTTATAATTTCTAGAGTGTCTTGTAAATTATTTCTGAGAGGAATGCAAAAGTCACAAATTGTGGTGTACATGTGCTTATAGTCACATGGTGAATACTTTTGAATAGCAACATTATTTTGGATGTATGAGTTCTGTATTTGAAACAAAATTCAATCCTAATAATTGAACATGTTTAATATCCCATAAAAGTTACTTCTTTCTTGGGACAGTTAATTTCCAGCATCTTATTTTATTTTCCACTCCTGCATTGCCCTATATTTTTTGTTTAGATCTTATTTTTAGATGAATGAATACCTATGAACTCACCATCCTACCCAAGAAATAGGACTTAAAAAAGAACTTTACATATGTGTATGTAAAAGGTTAAACAAAAGATTTACATGTATGCTAGAATACGTATTTAGTTTTGAATTTAATGCAAAAGGGTATCATGCAGTACAGAGCTTCTTTAGTATCTGTGTCTTTCTTCATGTAAAGGAAGGTCTCCGATCTTTGCAGTGACCTTCCTGACACAGGTTTTCTGTGTAATCTTCGGTGGGGAAGGTACACGTGGGTTCCCACTCTTCCTTCTCTTTCCTAGGCTTGTACCTACAAGGTTGGTCGACAACACCTTAGCTCTTGAGGAAGCTCTTTTATTTAAGTAAATCAAAGAATATCTATGCAACTTTGAGAGGGCAATAACATACTAAACTTCAGCGCTGACAAAATGTGGAGCAAAATGTTAGAGAAGGGACGGTTTTCTGAGGGCTGGAAAGGCATCTTAATGTTGGACCCTTGAAGGATCAGGAGCAGCCAACAGGGAACATTGAAGAGCCCAGGAAGTTAAAGAGGTGGGAACAAGTCTCTCCAGGCTGTTGGGAGCTCATCCTGCCTGGAGTGGAGGGCATGGCCGGAGTGTCTGGGAACAAGCCCGATAAGGAAGCCGCACCAGGTTTTCAGAGCCTTTCAGCGCCAGTCCAGAGAGCGGAGACCAGGGGCTGCCACATGACGATGATCTGGACCAGGGGGAAGGTGATAGAAAAGGAGGGCGAAGGAAGCGAACAATGGAAAGGCATTTTGAAGGAAGAATTTAAATCTACTAAAGATTGGTTAAAAGGAAGATAAGGGATAGGGGGAAGGTTGTAAGGAAGACACAGAGATAATGCAATAACTGAGAACAGGACCTTTGCCAACCACAGCTCTGTTAGGTGTCTTTTATTCCTTGAGCACGCCGTGTTCTCTCGGGCATTTTAGGGCCTTGCCCACGTGCCATCCTCTGCTTGGCACACACTCTGTGCCTGCCCTGCCATCTGTCACCCGCCTGGCCTCGCCTGGCGAAGCCCAGCTCATTCTTTATGCCTCCATTTCATTCACACAGGAACGCTTCTCAGACCCACTGCTCAGACCAGGTTGCATGCCCCTCCCAGGTGCTTGTCATTACTCTCACCCTGTTTTATTTTTGTTTTGATTGGGAGGGGGGGTTGTTTGTTTTAAAACTAAATTTTAGACTTTACTCATATTGTACCAGTTTTTTAATTAATGTTCCTGTTTTTTAGGTTTAAATCCAGAAATCACATTGCATTTAGTTGACACGTGCCCTTCGAGTCCTCTGATCTGTGACGGTCCCCTAGTCTTTCTCTGCATTTTATGACTTCCGTAGTTTTCAGGATTACTGGTCGGGCACACTGTGCGGAGACCTTGTTGCATTTCCGTTGCATTTCAGTTGCATGGTTGCCTGTCAGTCTTTTGGTCAGACAGTAAAGGCGGTCCGAGGACGGATGCCAGGGGGCCGTCTGTACACGCTGGCGTCTGTGCCTCCTGGGACGTTGTTTAATAAGTAGTGTGTACTGAATAAATATTTGTTGAGTGAGTGAGCTCTCACCTGTTCTACTCTTATTAGGAAATGAAAGATGATTCCGACAGTGAAAAGCAACAACAGATCCATCATATCAAGAACTTGTATGCCTTCAACCTCTTCTGCCAGAAGCGTTTTGATGAGTCCATGCAGGTCTTCGCTAAGCTTGGCACAGGTAACAGGTGGGTGCGGCCTGGGATGAGGAACTAAAGGAGGGAGAGGGAACTGGGAAGGGCGGGTAGAATGACACCGGACTTCTGAGAAAGGGGAAAGTTTACGCTCAGCTAAAGGGACCCTCATACCTAACAGGCGTGAGGGGGACCATGGTGGTTACCTGCTTACAGTCCTGATCTTGTGAATCTGGTCTCACGCATAAATGCAGACAGACCTCCAGTTTTCTGGGCCGATTTGCCCCTGCCATTAGAGAAAGGTAACAGAAAAGTCACTCCGTTTAACAGATGTGTATTTGGTCACCTGGTATTGAATGCTGTGCTGGGCATAAGTCCCTGGCTTGAGCTTAGTAGACTGAGCAGCAGGTCACTGTGGGAGCCAGCACAGGGCAGAGCTGTGAAGCCCTTCCCTTCCCCAGCATCTCAGAGACACTGAGCTTGTGGCGACAAGCCGGGCGCTGGGGTCAGACTGCCTGGCCGCAGGCAGGATTTTCTTCTCTGGGCCTCTCTGGCCTTCAGTTTTCTTTGCAAAACGGGGCAAATAATAATACAGTGTTGCTGTGGAGATGAAGTGTGTGGTACTTAATTAAGTGTCTGCTGTTAAACTGTTCATTTTTGTATTACTTCATTTTTTGCTTAGTTAGGGTTAATCTGTATGCACTTGGTGAGACTGTATATGATATTATCCCTTTTTTCCTCCCCTTTGTGTTGCCTTTCTTCACCTCCCATCAGCCCTGGCCCATAATGGTCTGTGGTGACTCCCTGTGTCAGTTAAGGTTCTCGGTTATGAGCAATGGAGACCAGTTCTGGATAAATTAAGCATGGTTTATTGGATTATAATGGGAGTGGCAAGTAGAGGGGCCCACAGAATTAATAGGGAACCAGGCTCAGGAGTGATAGGAGCCAAAGGAGCTCTGGAGGACCCCCAGCAGGACTCAGGGGGCTGAATAGCGGTCCCGTGGTGCATGGACAGGCTGGACAGTCCTTGGCTGGCCTAGCCACGTCCTTAGCTGTCGCCACCACCACCTCCCCTGCTGTTGCACCTCAATAAAAATTGGTCCTTACCAGCTTATATTACTGTCTAATGCCATGTAACAAACCACCCCAAAACTTAGTGGCTTAAAATAACAAGTTACCTGTTATCTGTCTTGGTATCTGTCAGTTAGGAATTTGGAAAAGGCTCAGCCAGGCAGTTCTTGCTCGGGTTTCTCTCATGTGTTTGCATTTGTTTGTCTGCTGGGCAAGAGGATCTGCCCAAGGTGGCTCACTGTTGTAGCTGCCAAGTTGGCACTGGCTGGGGCTGGGGGCCCCAGTTCTGATCCAAGTGGGCTTTTCCACAAGACTGCTTGAGTGTCCTCACGCAGAGTGACTGGCGCTTCCCAGAGTGAGCCATTCAGCAGACTTAGGTGGAAGCCTTACTGCCCTCTGTGACTGTCACTTCTGCTGCATTGTATCAATCTGCAAAGGTCCTTCCAGATTTAAGGCAAGGGAACACACCCCTCTCGATGGATGAGTGTGCACGCCACAAGAGGAGCATGTAGGATGGGGAGTGTGTCGGTGTGTGCTACACTGCTTGTCCTCCTTAAACCACTTTCTCAAGATCAAGGAGGCCTGATTATCCAGGATTAGGGTGTAGTCTCACTCCCTGCAACTACGGGGGGTGGGAAAAAAGTGTGTGGCCCTCCTCTGCTCCTGAAGGCAAAGGTAGGTTTCTAGAACTACTCTCTCACCAAGACTACACCTGGTGTAAAAGACAGAGCTTGCCACAAGGAAACAAGTTGCTGTTAAGAAGGGACATGGAAGCTGGGCGACTAAGATCCATGAATATCTACTGCGCTTCCTCCAAGTGAACTCAGCAGAGGCACTGATTTTCAGTGCACTGCCAGCGCTGTGGAAGGACGCTGGACCAAGGTAGAACTTCTGTAGTAACCTGACTTTTTCCATATAACAGTGATATTTAAACCCTAATCCCAAAGGCTTAAATTCAATCCTCATGAAGCTTAGTACCTTTTAATTTATTCATCCTGCAAATGTAGGCTGAGCTCCTGGAGAGTTCAGTACACTCTATTGGGCCCAAGCAGATATGAGCAGACAGGAAATCTGCTTTCAAAGAACAGTCTAGCGGCAAAGATAAAGCACAGGTGGATCCTTTCCAGTGGCAGGAAGATGTATGTTGGTGGCAGTGTTGTCTCTGGGTCAGCTGACCGCTGACTGGACCTGTCGGGCAGCACCTCCGTTGACTGACCTTGGTCTCAGGTCTGGCCCTCTGCTCCAGTGGTGGGTGTTACTACTGGTACTCGCTGAGATCATTGTACTAACGGTGACAGGCTGGCCCTGACCAAACCACATGAGACCAATATACTGGGTTGGCCAAAAACTTTGTTTTCCATAAGATGGCTCTCGTAACACTTAATTGTTTTTAACTTCATTCAAAACAGTTTTGTTAGATTGCATTGCAGTCTGTTAGATTACATGTCATATCACTATGCATTTTTTTAAAACTTACCAAAATTGGTGAATTTTCATGTAGCCATTTTAATATTGAAGACAGAAGAAAATATACATTTTCAGCATATTATGCTTTATTATTTCAAGAGAGATAAAAACGCAACTGAAACACAAAAAAAGATTTGTGCAGTGTATGGAGAGGTGCTGTGACTGATGGAACATGTCATAAGTGGTTTGCAAAGTTCTGTGCTGGAGATTCTCACTGGACGATGCTCCATGGTCAGGTAGACCAGTTGAAGTTGACAGCAATCAAATCAAGACATTAATTAAGAACAATCAACATTCTACCACATGGAAGATGGCTGACATACTCAAAATATCCAAATCAATAAAGTTATTGATTAAAATGAAAAATGTGTCTTTTATTTTACAGAAAAAAACTAAACAGACTTTTTGTCTAACCCAGTATTAACAGAGTATTTAAGTAGGAAGGTTAGACGCCTCTCCAATGGCCATTTATTCATACAGGGCACATTTTTTATGTGTGTTGAACCACAGGCATTTTTGGTATAAATGCCTTAAGTATATGTCTGCAAAACCTTATATTCTGTAACAAATATTGATGGAAGATAACAGGCTTTATGGGAAGAGTAAGGTTATAATGGACCATTCTAAATCTAGGCAACTTTATAAGTGGAACACTGATAAAAACAACAGTCCTACTAATACTACATTTTCACTGGTGTTGGCACCGAGCGCGATAGTCCTCTGCAGTCTTAAACCCTGGGACTGCTCTTTCTCTTTGATACACAGATCTTTACGAACATTTGATTGTAATGGAAACTGGTTTCATCAAAGTAAAAAGTCTGATTCTGGGTATAGGCTTCTTTATGAGACTTCCAAAAATTGACGTGGGTGAACATCTTTGCTTCATTTTTACTCCCAGCTTCCCCAGGGGGCTTAATAGAGAAGTGGTTTTCGAAGCCACTTACAAGCCGCTATTTGCACTAAAAGAAGGCACTTCTGTAGGATTTTTTTTTTTTTTTTTTTTTTTATGAGAAAGGATCACTTCTATAGGATTTTAAGCTCCTTTCTTTAAGTCTCCCTGTGACGTTAAGGCTTTCTCTTTGTAATTGTGAGGATGCTTGCTCCGGTCACTTTAAAACATCAGCAAGCTGGGGGAAATCGCACACAAACCAACACAACTCCAGCCTCACACCGACACCATTCTCCCCTTCCCAGCTGCCTGTGTGCTCATCCATGCTAAAGAAACATAGGTTGTAGCGGAACAGAATGTACCTGGGATGCCAAGTCAGAAGACTGCTTTGGGGGCACAGAAACTCTATGGGGCGTACTTCTTCTGAGCCAGAGAACAGTCTCAGGTGGCTGGAACTTTGTACCACCAGGCCCAGTGTCCCCTCCTCCCCCAGTGCAGGGTGGGTGGGTTTGCTTCCTGCCCCTCCCTTGGCTGTGTCCCACAGAGAACCCTCATAAGGGGATCCTGTTTCTGCCCCCTGTGAATCAGGATGATGCTCTGTCTCCTCCACTGGGGACTTTAACAAGTTTGTGAACCATCCTAGACTCCATGTGACATTTTGTTCATATGTGGGTTTTCCTAGAGAGAGGATAAATACCTTTCATCAAATTCTTTAAGATAGCTAAGATCCTAAAAATGTTTAAGAATCACTAGAGCTATTTCCTGTGGCAGCCTACGACTTGTACATAAAAAGCCCTAGTGCAAGGTGGAAGGGGAAGTGCCGCAGATGTTTGCAGGAGGGCTCGCTGTGGCGTTCTCGGGTGTGGGCAGTCGAGTGTAATGGTGTGCAACGGCGACAGTGGGAGTGAGACAGTTCTTCTGTTTCTCAAAACCAATACTTACATCTTGAATTTGTTCAAACACTGTGTTCCTTATTTACTCATTCTTTCACTCAACAAAAGTTTGATCAAGCTACTACTATAACTGGAAAAGACACTGGCATTCAGGCTGACTCACTACCAAATCCAATAAGCAATGATAGCGACTGAATCTTGTATGGGCGCTTTATTATTCAGATGGCTGGTGTTCAGAGAAGATGGCAGGTTCACACCCTAACAAACCATCTTGTCTTTTCTTCCCAGGCCAGACATTTTTATAAGGTGGGGGTGGGTGGATAAACAAGGTGTGGTGAGGGCTTTGAAATTCTCGGGGATTAGGTGAGCGAGGCTGCTGCATTCCTGTTCTGGGCAGTTAGGTTCCCAGGAACAGCAGTCATCCATATCTTCCTGGAGCAGAAAAGGTAATCTTCCATCAGTGCCCCAGGGGGTCGGCTGTTTTCCCAGGAGCCCCGATGGGCCTTATCTGTAGTTTCTGAAACAAAAGCTTTAATTTACACATTACTTGCTAGACTTACAACTTTTTACCTTAAACTGAAATTTTCCAAGTCTTGATTCCCCTATCACTACCACATGCTAAAAACTATTCTAGGTGTCAAGTATTCTGATGGGGAGGGGACAGGAAGCGAAACAAATAAGATAAATTATAATATGTTGGAAAGTGAAGAGTACTAAGAAAAGTAAAGCGGGGGAAGGGGATGAGAAGTACTGAAGATAGGAGTTAGGATTGCAATTTAAGATAAAACAGCTAGTAGAGGCATCTCTGGGAAGGAGACGTTTCATTTCTGACCCTAAGAAGACCATTTAAGGAGCCTTGCACAAGTCCAGGGAAGAACATTCCAGGCAGAGGGAACAGCTAATGCACATGCAGTGAGGTTGGAAGATGGCCGCCAGTGTGAAGGCAACCGCCAGGTCCGTGTGGCTAGAGCAGAGTCGATCTGTGTCTTCTGTCCTGCACGAGGGGCATCATTCCGTTGTTAACTACCTGTGTGTTGAACTGGGGGTTCAGCTGGACTCAGACAACATGCTGCCCCAAAGCCAGATCAGATAGGCATTGTCAGGGTGCCAGCTCTGCCTTTGTTCCTGGGGACGAGTAAGACACATCATGTGACCACAAAGAGCTTGCACATGAAGCTGCTAAGGAAAACATTGGGGGTAAACATGACGTTTCCCACACCTAGAGCAGAGAGAAGCGAGGAGGTCTTCTCAGGAGGAAGGGGCAGAGCCAGGCCCTGGAGGGTGAGGAGTGGAGGACCCAGTGGAGTGTCGGAGGGCCTGTGAACCAGAGCCCAAAATGACGTGGTGGTGCTTGCTACATCACACCAGAGAGAGACATCGGGGCTGCTTTCAGAGCACTGCAGGGGAATACTGCAGGGGAATTTGGACCTTGTTTAGTAGGCTCTGGATGATATCACAAGGTTTTAAGTTAGAAAATCACATTGTAGATGCAAACCTTGGTGGCAGGATGTGGACAAGGCCCCAGTGAGGGCCACACAGTCAGCCAGGTCCCCAGCAGCCATCTTCTGTCCTCAGACCGTTCTTCCGCGGGGCTGGCACACAGCTGCCAAGTGTTCTGTTCCGTTGCCCCTTCCGGTGTCTTTTTCATATCATCACAATTCTCTTACCTTGACCAACAGAGATCTCCTGGCTTGACAGAAATAGTGTGGCCAGTCACAGGTGACTTGGGGATGGTGTGAATTCTGGGGGGTTCCAGGCAAGGCTGTGGAGCTTTTCTGGTCTGGTCAGCTTACATAGGGCGCCGGTCCATTTTGTAGGATGCTCCTGCAACATTATTTTTTAAATGAAAATAAAGTAATGCTAGTACAGAAAGTTTATTAAAATGTGAAGGAAAAACTTGACCTCCGATCTTGCCTCATTTATCTCTTCCTCCTCCAAGCTTCTTTTCATGCATATATTTTAACATAGTTACAGTACACTTCCATAGCTTTTGTTACTTAAAACTTATTATAGTATTTTCTCACGTTGGTGCTTTTCATAATTGTAATTTGTCATGATTGCATAATATTCTATCAGTTGAATGAAAAATGCATTATTTTGCTGTTGAAGCAACTGTTTCCAAAATCACATAGTTACAAATAATGCTTGTAGCATTACCTGTCCATACAGATGTTGCTTCCCCCATCTTTGTATTTGGGGGGGGGGATTAACTCCTAGAAGTAGGGTTTGAGGCTGTGAGTGCTTTTTCCCTTTAGAGGTGGCGCTGTGCTTTGCCCTAAGAGTGGACAGGTGATTCAGTTTCACAGCATGGCAAGCATTGGGCAACATCATATAAAAATACTCTTTATGCTAATTAAATGAATATGAAAATGTTACCTGACATTTTTTTATTGTTTTACAATATTTTTATTGGTTTCTGCTTTATGGAAATATAATTGACAAATAAAAGTCATAGTATATTTAACAATTACACCATGATGTTCTGGTATACCTACACATTTTGAAAAGATTTCCACAATCAAGTTAATGTATCACCTCACAAATTCGCTTTTTTAAAATTTTTTTGAGACTGCTTAAATTTTAGTCTCTTAGGAAAGTCAAATACCCTGTGATTTTACTTATATGTGAAATCTACAGAAACAAACAAAATGGAAACAGACTCATAGATACAGGGACAGGGACAGACAATCAGGCTGGGGGGTGGTGGTGAAAGGTGAAGGCATTAGAAGCACGAACTGGCAGTTACAGGATAGTCACAGGGATGTAAGGTGCAGCACAGGGATATAGTCGGCACTACTGTAACAGCTCTGCGTGGCTGTAACAGCTCTGCGTGGCACCAGGGGGGCGCTAGACCTTACCAGGAGATCACTTCTTAAATCATATAAATGTTTAACACTATGCTGTACCCCTGAAAACAATATAAAATAATTGAATCACCTAACTGAATCACCTGACATTGTTAATGGATACTGCTTTGATAAAGTAGTGAACATTTTCCCACTTATATTTTTCTTTTATCAGTTATGTTTTATGCCCTTTTATCAAATGAAATCTTATTTCCTTAACCAATTTGTGGGAATTTGTTTAATGCAATCAACCTATTAGCCTTTTGCCATATATGCTGCAGAATTTTAACCGTAGTCTGTTGTCTGGTCTCTGTTTTAGTAATACTCCTTTTTTGACGTATAGTTTTTTATTTTTCACTTTATTGATCTTCTCAACTTCGGTGCCTTATATCACTTTTCCCTTGAAAATTGTTTTCTCCTGTGCTTTTAGAGACTTAATAAATTTTCATTTCTAATTCTGCATGCATGTATGTGCCTATGTCTTGGAATATAGAGTCATACCATTTTTGTAATGTTTTAGTGAAATATATATATAAATAGTGCTCAAATAATGAATTTAGTCATTCCTCAAAAAAAAAAATGCAATCTGGAACTTGGCCAAAAAGTCTATCTAGTTTTTTCTGTAAAATAAATGACACATTTTTCCTTTTCACCAATAACTTTATTGATTTGGATATTTTTAATATATTGGCTATTTCCCATATTGTTTAATGTTGATTGTCCTCAATTAATGTCTCATTTGATTGCTGTCAACTTCAGCTGGTCTGCCAGCCATGGAGCATCATCCAGTGAGAAATTCCCAGCACAAAACTTTGCAAACCACTTTTGACACATTCGATCAGTCACAGCACCTTCTCCATACACTGCACAAATCTTTTTTTCCGTTTCAGTGGTGCTTTTTACCTTTCTTGAAATAATAAAGCACAATATGCCCAAAATGTTGTCTATTTTCTTCCATCTTCAATATTAAAATGGCTACACAAAAGTTCACCCATTTTTATATATTTTTTAAAATGCATATTGATATGACAGCTGTCACAATACAATCTAACAAAATTTTTTCTAATGAAGTTAAAAACAACGAAGTGCTACTAGAACCATCTAATGGGGGGGGAAAGCTTTTTGGCCAACTCAGTACTTAATCTTTCCGTTGCTGTGCTTTTTTCTGGGCAATCATGTGTTTACCTTCTGTGTAGATCCTACCCATGTGATGGGCCTCTACCCAGACCTGCTGCCCACAGACTATAGGAAACAGCTGCAGTATCCAAACCCCCTGCCTATGCTCTCCGGGGCTGAATTGGAGAAGGCTCACTTAGCTCTGATTGACTACCTGACACAGGTAGGTGCAAGAGAGAAGTGTATGAAAGAGTTGACTTGGGAGTCCAGTACCTGCTTCTTTATGGCAGGGAATCGAGGGCCCCCCATAATGCCACAGGCATTTCACAGATGAGCTCTGCAGAAGTCTGGGTGGGCAAAGGACCTTCCTGCTGCTCCTTCCTGCTTGCTAGTACCATTGAGGTGCTTTTTGCCAAATTTTGATACCAGGAAACACACCTTGTTTCCTGCTAAATTCACACAAAGTTGTCCAGGAACTAAAAAGAATAAATTTTATTTATTTTTATTTTTTAAAGATTTTATTTTTTTTATTTTTAGAGGGGAAGGGAGGGAGAAATGGAGGGAGAGAAGCATCAATGTATGGTTGCCTCTTTTGTGCCCCCTACCGGGGACCTGGCCCACAACCCAGGCATGTGTACTGACTGGGAATCAAACCAGTGACCCTTTGGTTCGTAGGCCGTCACTCAGTCCACTGAGCCACACCAGCCAGAGCTAAAAAGAATAAATTTTAGATGATAGAAAATAAGTTTTTTAAAACAAAGTTCTTTGTCACATACGTAATTTTGGAAAAAATACCTGCCCTATGCAGAAAACTTAGAAAACACAGAAAAGTATAAAGCAAAAATACAGATCACCTATAATTCTACCTAGAACCCAGAGAAAAGTTGTCACATTTTAGTGTTGTTCTTTAGACTTATGTATGTATTTATGAATTAGGCTTTATTTATTTATTGGTTTATTTATTACAAAGGGACATCAAACTACCTCAGTATATGGCTTACTTTAAAAAAGTTAGGGCCTGGCCAGGTAGCTTAGTTGGTTGAGCATCATCCTGATACGCCAAGGTTGCAGGTTTGATCCCCAGGTCAGGGCACATACAAGAATCAGTCAATAGGTGTAATAACAAAGTGATGTTTCTCTCCTCTCTCTCAAATCAAATTTAAAAAATTATCTATATAATGAGAAAGTCTGTTCTTGTCAATAAATAAATATATAATCTTCTATAACATGTTTTTTTAGGTGAAATATTTCCATTTAATTTTTTTAAATGTGTTGTTATGGACAGATAAGTGAAACTTTAAAGTCAACACTAAAACTCACATCTTCACTGAAGCTTCTTAACCCAGAGTTCACTCCCACAAGGCTATCATTTATTTTTTGTGTACCCACTCAGAATCAGAGAACTTAGTATATTCTGCAGGCCTTTGTAAAGGGTCCCAGGATAGGCAGTGGGAAGTATTGCTAGAAACACTGTAAGCCTCCCTCAGGTCTGATCGAGCATGCATAGCCTTGGCACTTCCTTGACATTGGGCCCCAGGCGTGCCCAGCTGTGGCTGAAGCCTCAGGGAGCACACTAACTGGCACGCTTGTCTGCACACTGCACAGCCTGCGTGCCATCAGAAGGGCCCCTGGGGCAGAATGTCTCCCCAGCCTGTGGCTTTAGAGAAGGCCTTTGATTCAGGGCCCCGGGGAACACATCGTTCTCTGGCCTTCTGCACTGATGTTGGGGATGCTTGACGCTGGCTGACGCTAGCGTTGTGCCAGAGAGATGGCAGAGCATATAAGACAATGGGCACTGCCAGGCACAAAGTAGTGCATGATTGGATGATTCCATCGTATAACGTTGTAGAGAAGGTAAAACTAAACCCTAGTGAGAGAGATTGGATCAGAGGGGTAGGGGTGTGTGGGATTGTTTGGGAAGGGATGATGGAAATCTGTTCCCTGACTAAGGTGGTGGTTACAGTCATGTAGGTATCTGTCAGAATGCATCTGATAGTGCACTTAAAAGGAATGCATTTTACTGTATGTAACTTACAACATTGATATAAAAAAAGTAAATAAAAGAACATGGGCTTTAGGATTAGACCCTAATTTGAAACCCACCTGTGCCACTTACAAGGTGTCTGACATCTGCACTGGGGGCTCTCTGCTTGTAAAATGGGGATAGTAACACCTGCATTCATTTCAGGTTTAAAATGGGATCATGTATAAGGTGCTTGACACGGTGCTGGTGTGTAGTAAATTCTCAACAAAGAATTGGCATTGTATGTGGCAACTTGGCGGTCATCTGTTTCGGTCCCTGACGGAAATGCAGTGCTGCCCCAGCGGGTCTGTGGGGGTTAAATGAGGACAGTCTGTGTCGGGGAAAATCTTAGCCTGTATGTGGTCCATTGAAAATGTCCTGTGGGTTTCACTTATTTTTAAAAGCATTTTCTCAAAACAGAAAAAGAATTTAACATCGTTTCTTTTACTCCTTGAATCTTAAGTTTTATTCCACTTCCTCCACTGACTTTTATCCCAGTATGTCAGTACGTTTTGTGCTTGGAGATCTTTCATTGCACATTCTGTCATGCCTCTGTACAAAAATGCCATTTTTATTTTTAATTTCCTGCAACCAAATGATTTTGTGTTTTAAAATGTCATCTGAGTTGAATCACAACAATTACTATTAACGTACAGTTGAGCGATACATCATAAACATACTTAAGTTTTAAAGAATCATTAATTATTTAAACTTCTGAAAAAATCATATGCTGTTGTGAGATCGGGGTGTGGGTGGGTGTGGGCTGACGTAGAGGTATCTGGGATCACCCAGCAGATGAGCGATACAGGAAGGTTTAGTCCTGGCCTTGATCCCACATTCTCGGCCTCGGCAGAAACGCAGCCAGCTGGTGAAGAAGCTGAATGACTCTGACCACCAGTCCAGCACGTCCCCGCTCATGGAAGGCACGCCCACCATCAAGTCCAAGAAGAAGCTGTTGCAAATCATCGACACCACCCTGCTCAAATGCTACCTCCACGTGAGTTCTCTGAGAACCCGGGTACCCACAGTCCCCGGGCTGCTGAAACTGGAAAACTGCCACTTTGGGATACCTGCTGTTAGCAACAGTGGAATCTTTGATGATGGGAATGCCTAGTCTTTGCCTGATACTTGTGAGCTTCTTGGAGTTAAGAGTTTTGAGTCAAGACGTTGGCCCAGAGTCTTTATAGTAGGCTCATCTTTGGTAAGATTGGAGTTAGTGATGCAACATGAACAGTTATTTCCTCAAGGAACGACTCCCTTTTTCCACTGCCTCTCCCCACCAAAAATAAAACAAAACATTAAAACATGTGTAAAAGAGTATATGCTATTAAAAGCCACTACCTGTAGTCCTAAAAAAGCATTGTTTGTTTTAGCCCGGAGCAGGTGTGTCTGGGTAGGGTGGGCCCCCAGGAAGCAGTCTCTGCTGAAGTCCTGCTTCCTCTGCAGACGAATGTGGCCCTCGTGGCCCCACTGCTGCGCCTGGAGAACAATCACTGCCACATCGAAGAGAGCGAGCATGTGCTGAAGAAGGCTCACAAGTACAGCGAGCTGATAATCCTGTATGAGAAGAAGGGGCTCCATGAGAAAGGTGACCAGAGGCAGGGAGGGGACACTGAGGTGTGATGAATCTGCGGGGATGAGCCTTCTGGAAGAGGCTCATGACCTTGTTCTTGGGCTTCGTGGCCAGCTCTGCAGGTGCTGGTGGACCAGTCCAAGAAAGCGAACTCCCCTCTGAAAGGCCATGAGAGGACAGTGCAGTATCTGCAGCATCTGGGTAAGTCCAGCTTCTAGAAGGGGAGGCACAAAGGGGTTCAAACAGACCTGCTCTCCCCCCGTCTCTGATTCTGGCCAGTCAGTGCCCTTCCTCCTGTTCCACCACCTGGGTTCATAGTCCCCCAGTGGGGGATCCATGACAGCCCCTGGTATGTAGCCATCCCAGGCCAAACAGCCCTGAGTGACTCTTGCTTGAACAGAGTATCTCCTCCAGAAAATAAATCCTGGGGCAGCCTGGGTACCAGCCTTCGCAGACCTGTGGGCAATGTAGGCTTCACCCGCAGACAAGCCTTACTTTTTCTCTAGGCACAGAAAACCTGCATTTGATTTTTTCCTACTCAGTGTGGGTGCTGAGAGACTTCCCAGAGGATGGCCTGAAGGTAGGTCCTGAGAGGTCTTTGGATTTACCCAACACCACGTTTGGTCCTGATTCTGCGTGGGAGATGGGTGGATGGCGTGGGAGGAAGGGTACATGCAGTGTCACTGGTGTCCAAACGCGAGATGCCAGTGCGGGGGGAGAGCCTTACACAGGCACTCGGGACACCTGCGGCCCCATCTGTCACACACTGACTGGCTACAGAAGGCTTGCACGCCCTTCCGCCTCCCAAGCTTCCCGTCCGCGTGCCTGTGCACATGGCAGCTTCGCAGTTGGTGGCTCTGCAGCTGGAGCTCGGGTTTGTTTCGACAGATATTTACCGAAGACCTCCCAGAGGTGGAGTCTCTGCCCCGAGACCGAGTGCTTGGCTTCTTAGTGGAGAATTTTAAGGGTCTGGCTATTCCTTACCTGGTAAGATATTGTTTGGTCTAAATAAAGAACTTCGAACTCAGGATCCAGGGCCTCGCAGGGTAGTTATTAGGTGGTTCAGGTTGGGGTTTGTGTTGCGTAGGATTGGTGGAAATGTGAGGAAGAGAGTTATGTCGGCGTGCTCAGAGTGACTCCAGTGGGCCGGGCTGGGAATGTCGCTTTTTGTCGGTGCCTTCTAAACCTAGGTAAAGTGCAGAGGGGTGAAAGAGAAGGGTGTCCGAGAAAGACATTTCAGAGCCACGACTGTACAACCTAACAGCTGTGACCACAGGACAACCAGATCGGTTTTAAGTACCAGAATGCAAATGTTCACCCTTAATTACATGGGCTGATTTGGCAGATTATGAGACAAAATTAATCAAGGAGCTTAGATTGGAAATCAAGAAAAGAATTCCTGATGTTGCTGGGTTGTGTTGCAAAATTTCCCACAGTTTCAGAAGAGCTATCCCTTGGTAATCTTTGCAGCTTAATTAGGGGACAATCTGGATGTGGCTTGTTGGGCCTTGCAAGCGTGAGGGAGGGACACAGGGTGACTGGGCCGGGTCACAGTGTTGAGGGCACCAGGCAGACCTGTGTCTCGCCGCAGGAACATGTCATCCACGTTTGGGAGGAGACGGGCTCCCGGTTCCACAACTGCCTGATCCAGCTGTACTGCGAGAAGGTGCAAGGGCTGATGAAGGCCTATCTCCTGTCCTTCCCCGCAGGTACCAGTGCTCATAGAAAGTCACGTGGCCCCTGTCCTTAGAGACAGGTGGGGACCTGAGGGTGCTGCGTGTGGTGGAGGGAAGCAGAACCCTCTGTGGTGGGCCCCAGGGGGGCAGGAAGTTCCTCAGAGGAACCAGGGCAGCTAAGTGACTCAGCAGCTCGTCTGGATCCCAGCGTCTCTGAGCATCTCTGGGTGTCAGCCCTGGGGGAGGGAAGGAACAGATCTGTCTTCAGGATAAGAAACAGGTTTGCCTACCAGAGCATTTCTCTGTGCAGACTTTTATTTTTATTTTTTACCTCAAGCTGATGTTTGGGGGCTGTGTAGACAGACAGTAAACTAAAAGAAGGCCACTGGAAACCACTCTGGAGGCCCTTTCGGGTGGTTGTGGTGACCGTGCCAGCCCCCAGCCCCCTCTTTTTCCTTGACGGGCCGTGGGCTGCCCCACAGCATCTTTTCATGCCGAGACTTGTCTCCCTCAAAGGCAAAGCTCCAGTTCCTGCCGGAGAGGAAGAGGGTGAGCTAGGAGAGTATCGTCGGAAGCTCCTTATGTTCTTGGAAATTTCCAGCTACTACGACCCAAGCCGACTCATCTGCGATTTTCCTTTTGATGGTGAATATTGGGGTTGGGGCAAAAGCCCCTTCAGCTGCTCCTAAAGCAGAAATCAATCCAGCTCCCCAGCCCTCTGAAAAGTTGGGCCAGGAAAGACCACATGTTTGAGGGGGATGTTCCTCTCTCGTCCCCTCTGAGGACTCACTTTTGTGCTGTGACTGGGAGGCATCTCTGGGGTGTGAGCCACATGCTGACTGACAGCCAGGTTGGAACCTGTTTGTTGCTGCAGTGCATGTTCTTGGCCACATGTATCATTTAGTGACTTTTGTGAGTTGGCATAATTTACCTTGAAAAGACACATAACTGTTTGATGCGTAAGCTCAGGGAGGACAGAGGCCAAGTGTTTACCTTATTTGAAGTGCCTGGCCCTGCGTAGGCGCTGACTGTGTGCCTGGCTGCTGAGTGAGTGTTCTTGCCCCATTGGTAAGTGGTCACGAAGAGATCGTATAAAACACCTCCTAAAATACTGCCCTCCCCCCTTTTAAAAATTTTAATAATTTTCTCCTTGACTAAATCCCAAGTAATAAAAATACTATGTCCCAGTTTATATTGCTCCAGTACCCACTTCTCTCGTAGCTCAGCCCCCGGCCCGTGCCTGCGCCGTGGTGGCGGCGGTGGCTACTTACATGCCTTTCTCCCCCCACAGGCCTCTTAGAAGAGCGCGCTCTCCTGCTGGGACGTATGGGGAAACATGAGCAAGCCCTCTTCATCTACGTCCACATCCTGAAGGACACAAAGATGGCCGAGGAGTACGTTGACCCTGTCACCCCACCTCCCTCGGGGTCTAAAAGCAGGCCTCCCAGAGAGATGAGACTCGGGAGAGACTAAGAAAGCCACAGCGCCTCCCCTCTGCAGCTGGGGGAGAGTCTCCCCTGTGCCAGCCTCTGCTGCAGGCTCCTAGGAGGCCGCTCGGGTGGCGTAGATGCTCTGTCCCCACACGTGGTCCCTCGGCCTCGTCTGAGACTCTCTCCCTTGCAGGTACTGCCACAAGAATTATGACCAGAACAAAGATGGCAACAAAGATGTGAGTAGTGACCCTGGCCCCAGGGGGCACACGCATTCCACTGTCTCTCTCGGCTTTCCCGCACACCTCGGGTTTCACCACAGGTGGCACTTGTGGGACTTGAAGACATGACAGGGCACGGGTCAGCGCAGTGATTGAATCAGCGCAGTGTAGTGAGGGAGGGGCGGGCAGCCCTGGGTCCTGGTTTGCTTGGCAGAGTTCTGGCCTGCGTCCTTGTCATCATGTGATTATGAGTGATATCCGTGCTCCGTTGCTCTCAAACAGTCCTGACTCATATTATAATTCTGTGGTCAGCCTGTGGAGAGGAGCACGGATAAAGTGCACGGTGAGCTCTGTCCAGATCGCACATGGATCTGTCAGTGTCTGGAGATGTCTTTCATTGCCGTGACCGGCGAGTGGGGTGCTCCTGGAACCTAGGAGCTAGAGGCCAGAGTTGCTCCTAAACAATGCACAGGACAGTCCCAGGAAAGAATCCTCTGGCCCGAAATGTTGGGTGCTGAGGTTGAGATCCGTGTGGTACTGATACTGGTAGGAAATGCAGCACCTCCTCTCACTTGAATCCTTACCTGTCAAAACAAGACAGGGTCTCGGCCTCCAGAGCCAAAGGAAATGAGGGAGCAGAGCCAATCTTTCTACAGGGCTGGCATTTTGCCAGTGGGTGGTTAACAAATACAAGGCATTTGGTTTTTTCTCTCAAGGAAAGCACAATCCTTAATTTTTATACCTTCAGTTGACTCTTTACCAGAATCTGTTAAAGGGTGAAAATGGTGAGTGTGAAGTGCTCCATGGCCGTTACTGTAGACCAGGGGTGTCCATCCCGCCCCCCCGTGCGCCACATGCGGCCGGTGGTGGCTGTGAATGTGGCCTAACACAAAATCGTAAATTTACTCAAAACGTTATGAGGTTTTTTTGTTTGGTTGGTTTCGTTAGTGTTTGTGTATTTAATATGTGGCCCAAGACAATTCTTCCAGTGTGGCCCAGAGATGCCAAAGGTTGAACACCCCTGCTAGACCAACCCTGTTAACTTTAGGGGCAGTCATGCTGGGCGTTCTAGGGCCGGGGAGGGGTTGCTGCCCATCTGATGTACGTGGCTTGTACCTGTGAGACAGGTGTATCTGTCCCTGCTCCGGATGTACCTGTCGCCCCCCAGTGTTCACTGCCTGGGGCCAATCAAGCTGGAACTGCTGGAGCCACAAGCCAACCTCCAGGCGGCCCTGCAGGTCCTTGAGCTGCACCACAGCAAACTGGACACCACCAAGGTCGGCGCTTCCCAGGAGGATGGGGCGCTTGCTTGCAGGGGCACTGAGTGGGGAGAGGAGGGAGGGAGGGATGTGGTGTGGAGCTCTGGGGCTTTGGCTATTCCCTTAGTCTCTCCTGCCCTGCCTTACTCTGTCCCCATCTCCGTCCCCATCTCTGTCCCTGTCCCTAGGCCCTCAACCTTCTGCCAGCAAACACTCAGATTAATGACATACGCATCTTTCTGGAAAAAGTCTTAGAGGAAAATGCACAAAAGAAACGGTTCAACCAGGTGCTCAAGAACCTTCTCCACGCCGAGTTTCTGCGGGTATGAGCCTTGCAAACCCTGGGGTGGGGTAGTGCTTTTTAGCACGAGATGGTTACACATACTCCTTGGGACAAAAGCAGACCTCTGTGTTCCTTGAACGCAGCTTTAACCAACTTACATTTAGTTGCAAGTGTTTCAGGTGGAGGGATCTCTCTCCCAATCTCTGCCCTCCCAGGTCCAAGAAGAGCGGATTTTACACCAGCAGGTGAAATGCATCATCACGGAGGAGAAGGTGTGCATGGTGTGTAAGAAGAAGATTGGAAACAGGTGAGCCCGCTCCGTACTGCTGAAGGGTCTGTCCCCGGGTGGCTCAAGCTCAGGATGGAGTCTGCCCTCCAACCCAAGGGGGAAGCCAGCCCCGCTGCCAACTGTCCTGAGCACATTCAGTTCCAGAGGCCCGAGAGGGCAGTGCGAGCTGTTGGGGTGGGCTTCGGGGACTTAAAAAGCTGAAGTGTGTGGTGTGGGACTGTTGACATCTTGCCCATAAAGTCTCTCCCTCTGGCAGCTAGAAATTGTGATACAGCCAGTGGGTGTGGGAAAGTTCGTACATGGGGGAAAGTCCTTAACCCTTAAGGTTGTACCTTTGAAAGAAGAAAAAGATCCGTCAACCTGCTGCCTCACGATTTGAGTACAATCCTGAGCCAGGATCATACTGTCTTAAGGCATATACTTGGAAGAATTTTTTTCTTTAGAAATACCCAAACCTTTGTCCTTCATTAGAATTAGCCTGGAACTTGTTTTGAGGAGCACTGTTGGCTCTCAGGAAGCCAGCATACAGCCCTGTCTGCCTGTATTTCATGTTGCTTTCTTAGCAAGAAGTATCCCTGAGCACGTGGACCTCCTGCTGTGCTCGGTCACTGGACAGAGATAATGGCCACGTGAACCCAGAGACCCCAGGCGGGGGCATCCAACCTTCTGGCATCTCTGGGTCACACTGGAAGAAAAAGAGTTGTCTCGGGCCACACATTAAATACATTGCAACGTGTAATCACACAAAAATTTTATAATGTTTGAAGTAAATTTACGATTTTGTGTTGGGCCAAGTTCACAGCCACCCTGGGCCGCATGTGGCCCGCGGGCTGCAGGTCGGAGAGCCCTGCTTGGGCCAGGCTGCTCTGTGTGGTGAGGCGGCTGCCGCTGCTGGGATGGCTCCCGGCTGAGATGCCTTTTCCAGGTAGGAAGCAGGCTCGAGGGGCAGTCCTCATTCCCGGTCACTTGTCTTCCCTGCAGTGCATTTGCGAGATATCCCAACGGAGTGGTCGTGCACTACTTCTGTTCCAAAGAGGTGAACCCGGCGGACACCTGAGCCCAGCGTGCCCAGGACTCAGCAGATGGACAGTTGGCCATCCCAGTGAGGGAAAAGGACACCGGCCTTAGGAATCGGGGGCTACAGCCACCAGCAAGGTCTCCGCATTTGGACACTACTGGCTACCTTGTGTCCTGGAATGTCTCTGAGTTAATCTGACTTGTGGTCTGGTGTCACCGGCTTTTTAATAGAAAAAGAGATTAGTTAATACTTTATATGCCATTATGTTGCAGGCAGTTCCAGAGAATTTAATGCCTGCTTGGACTGGAGGAGGTAGCAGTGGGCAGGCCTTGCCTTTGCATACCAGTCACCTGAGTAAGGGGACCGTGTCGAGCTTCTGTAGCCCCAGAGTGGTTACTCCGTTTTCTATTAAGACACGTGCAGGACTTCACGGGGAGCCCTGGGCCTGGCTGCCAGAGCCCGTGAGAAGGGAGCAATTTCAGAGCTCTAGCTGCAAAGGCCAAACGCTGTCCTCTAGGAAACGACAGTGGCTGTCCCGTGGGCCCCATGCCCCATGCGCCCCCAGGAGCCTCCCCACTCATCTCTTTAGTTTTTGGTCTCCTTTCCTCAGTGTTTTCTTCCTGTATCTCTCCCCTCACTGCTCCACTCAGACTTTCTTCCCCATTTTTCTGACATTGGGAGTAACTAATATTTAATCAAGGCAAAGAGAGAAGCAAAAGGAAGTCCCATCTTCTAGGGGTACATGGATAATTGACTGTTAGGCATCTTGTAAATAGGCCCTCCTTGGACCCTTTACTCTCCCTGGAAGCTTAAGAGAGTGTCACTCTGGGCTGAGGAAAGGCTTTGTGCACCTGCCCTCTGGCTGAGTGTGGTAGCAGCTCTGAGGACAAAGCACTGCACTCGGGGTGTGGCCGTCCCCATCTTCAGGCTGCCGTCTGCAGAGGCCCAGGGCAGGTTGGGTTAGTCCTGCTGGGTGAGCGCTTTGTGCTTGGGGCTCCTTTCTCTTTCCAGCCAGTGCTGTCCACTTACAGCTCAGCCTGGCCACCGTTCCCCAGCTCCGCTTGGCGGGGGCTGCGGGGCCGCACTGGGATGTCATAGGCAGGTGGATCTCTGCTGCACACAGGAACAGCAGATTGGACAGTGACAGTGACGTGATGGCGGCACACCTGTGGGAGTGCTGCGGTCCAGGAACAGCAGCGCGTGGGCTTATAAAATCTCTCTCCACCAAACCCGCTGAGCACTGACCGGTGTGCGGGGCAGACCTGCCTGCATCGGGCAGCCTCGAGGCACAGGGGAGTCTGGCACTGCCAGCCGAGGACCGGGGGAGAGAGGCCCTGCATCCCGTCCTCCCGGGGTTTTGCAGCCTTGCCGTCTTGGTTCCTCAATGCCTTTAATGGTAGCAAGGGTGCCCAACACTGACCCCGGTTGGTGGCCTGTCCTTGACATGCTGTGCCGTTTTTGGCGCGTGCTGTAGACGGACTTGCTGGTGTTGTAGACGGGGCTTCTCCCAGGCACGTGCTCTCTGGAGGGACAGCCAGTGCCGTCAACACTTGTCCTCGGAGGGGGGATTCTGCTCACGATTTGGAGGTCCGGCAGCATCCACAAGGCCCACCGCCCCAACTGGCCACTCCCACCCGCAGGAAGCACTGCTGCCCTTGGCCCCGTGAGCGCCACGAAACCAGGCTTCCTCCTGGAGCCCCGGTGAAATCGTGGTGCTGTGGAAACTTGCCCGCCTCACAAGCCCCGCCTTCCCGGCCTGTTGTGTTTGTGTCTTCCTGTCCCGCTGCCTGTGCGGTATGTGTGCTTAGAATAGAACAAAGGCTGCGTTTCCTGCCCTCGTGGAATACGTAAACGACCCAGCCTCCCAATGCCAGTCTTCCTTCCCTAGACTCTGCCTTCGGCGGTGGTGTGGAGGAGGCTGGAGGTGAAAGCCCTGTAATGAGGACTGATGAAGGTCTTTCATAATAAACATCATAAAATAAGAAACCAAGCCTATTTGGGCCTCTTTTCTTCCCCTTCCTGTGGAGTTTGATGTAAAGAACGAGTATCTTAATTTAGCCAAGGATGGAGAAGAGTAAGCCAGGTAGTGACCGCACGTGTTGGAAGACCTGCCGTCCAGCACAGCAGCATGGCCGGTGTAGTGGCTGAGGGATGAAGAACGTCCCCAGCACCATAAGTGGAACTCAGGCTCATCCCAGGGCCTCCTGCCTCTTCCTGCAGCTCATGGTGGCTGGGAGGGGCTCGAGAGCTATGGAACTGGTAGGACTGACAGACCCACTGATGTTTGAGAAGTGCAGAAATGTTGGTCCACTTTGGCCAACTAAAAAGGTCCTTCGGTTCTTTATTAGCCCCTTTGGGCTTTCTGTGGCCATCCTGAGTTTTCTCCGGGAGTGAAAAACACCCGGAAATAAGAGGCACGACCTCCCCGAGGCACCGCAGGCGACTTCCAGGGGCGTGTAGTGCGGCCCGAGGGCACACTGATCAGTCAGGTGCCCGTTTGCCAGGCCAGCTCACTCACACCCCTCCCTCAGGCTCCTCTGTGGGTCTGCGGGTTTTCACAGGCTTCATGTACAGGTCAACGGGGCTTGGACTGCAGCATTTCTGAGACCCCAGCACAGGTCTTGGCTTCAAGCTCCAAATGAGGCAGAAATGGGCCCTTCCCTTGGGGTTTAGCCAACAACACCATATCCTCTTGTTCTGGAAGTTTCTGGTCTGAACTTGCCTACTGAGCTTGTTTTGAAGTTGAATCACCTGGTTTTTAGGTCTTTTTTCCAGTTTCCACCTCGGGCCTTGGGGAGGAGTGTGGACATGGCCTGGTCTCGGTTCAGGAACAGAAACAAGTCCTCCAACAGCACACTGCCCGGAGAGGTTTTCCTCTGCCGGGTACAGTGCTGAGTCCTGGCCACCGAGGTGGTTGAGGTCCGCAGAAAACGGGGGCATCCCATACCATCTGCAGCCTAAGGCTTCCCTGGGTCGACAGGACTGTAAAGCCTTCATCTCTAGTAGCTTGAGGACTGGAAGACCTGTTTCCTACCTGCCTCCGTTGATATCGTTTGACCATAACTCTACCTGTACAGCCACGTACTTACACTGACCCAGGAAGGGGGCCTGGGCCTAAGCTACAGGTGTGAGGGGCAGGGCTCCCCGCTCCCGCTGGCCACCACAGTTGAGAATAAGTCTACCAGGACATGATCTGCTTGGGGAGGATAGGTGGCCAATCTCTCAAAGGAGGGCCAGGAGCCTTTTCCTCAGCGGGCTTTTATTGAGTTTATTTTGCACAGGAATACAGGTAAAGCTCATCAGTCATTGTCAGGCGGTAAGGATCAAACAATAGATAACATACAAAGGACTATGAGGGCTTATTCTGAGTCAGGGTCTGTTAGCTAAAGGGCTACAAAACTTTGGGAAACAAACTCATTTCCTGCTCGGATCCTTATCATTTAACTGAGGGCATTTTAGCAAAGCAGGTTTCACGGGATTTTATGTATTCTTTCTTAGGCCAGATTGCCTAGGGAACCCACCCTTTGCATCACAGGGTCAAAACACCCTCTGTCATTGTTTCAGGCGTAAGTCAGGCAGGGGAAGCAAGGCAGCCAAGAGATTAGAACTCTCGCAGACAGAATGAGGACTCAGGCTATGTCAAAGCCGAGGAGCGAGGGTCCATCACCCCCTTTTGCTATAGCCCCCCAAGTCCTTACCCAGGGACACCCCATCATCCTGCCTGTCTTAGGCCATCCCTCCCTTGAGGAATCTACCCGTCATTGGCTAACCAGTCACGCATTGGGGACCAGGCAGGGTGAAGTAAAAGCAGGAGAGGCAATGCCCCTGCCAGGGAAATAAGCTTTGTCTCTTTGGTGGCTTATGGTCCGAAGGTCACTCACTCAGCCTTACCCATGGGGGAGGGCGGGGAGGTGAGTTACAGCTTCTGAAACCAGACAGGGCGGTGCCCAGCACACAGGGAGTCACGAGGTTGGGAATTTCTTCAGGATGTGGACGGGCTCTCCTTACCTTTGGTTCCGCGCCTGGTGTTGCAGGTCCTGCGTACAGCAGCCTCTCTTCAGAGAACCAGTGAGGGAGGCGAGGAGAAATCAGGAACACCTCTGAGTCCAAATCAATCACTGAACCAGAGACTTCTGTGCTTTTCCTTTGGCTTTGTGGGGGAGGTGGGACTTGTATTGGTTTTAGGCTTGTTTTGTTGGCTGGAGGGGACTGAGCATCTGATGCAGCACCTCCTAGCTGCTGTTCCCTGGGGTGGTCAGCATCCCCTAGAAGGCTGAACGCTTCGGTGGGCTCAGGTATGTTTTCCATAAACAGCTCAATGATAATCAGGGGCTGAGGTTGGGAACCAGAGCATCTCCTGCCTGAAGCAATTGGGCTCCAGTCACTTCCTGGAGCCCTCAAACCCCACCTCCAGCCTCAGGGCCCTGAGTCCTCAGCAGAGCAGCCAGCTCCACCCTCTCCACCCCAGCACCACCCTTCAGACCTGAACAGGCAGTGAGCGTGTGCAGAAGAGAGCAAGGCGGCTCTGGAAAGCAGGCGGCTTCTTGCAGGGAAGGGAGCTGCCAGCCATGCTCTGGGCACTCTGGCCAAGGTGGCCAGCAAGCAAGGGGCTGCCCCTCCTGGGCGTGGTGTGTCTGCGAAAGAGAGAGAACAGGGCACCTCAGTGGAGTCACTGGCAGGTAAAGTACCTGATCTTCCCAGAACGGGGACTGGAGGAGTGCTAGGAGCACAGTCCCCTGGGAAGCCTGAGGCCAGCCCAGGAATTGGATCTTGATCTGGGGTGGGACCAATTTGCTCCAGACAACCTGAGGGAGTTTAAATCCGAGAGGTTGGCCAAGACCTTGGCTCTTGAAAATAATCCCCCCAGTTAGGAATGGAGGGCTAGATCATGTGGTCCTCGCAGCCAGCTGGGTTTGCCTGGGATGCCCCGGCCTGGCTGTTGGGTTTTGAGGAGATGGTTTCACCCCCAAGGGCCCACAGTCTGTTCTCTCCCCTGGGCTTCAGCTGCGGTCTCCCTAGCGACTCGTCTGACCAGTGCAAGCTGGGTGGTGGTTCGTGGCTTCCCTTCAGCTGCCCTCAGCCTCCCAGGCCTTCTAGCCTCTGTCAGGGAGCAAGTAGGTGGGGATGATCACAATTTTCTCTTCTAATATTTAATCTCCATAAGCATATCACTTCACCTCTCATGCTACAACAGTGCCGTGTGGTCTTAGGGGAGTGCCAAGTATGTGGTGCATGATAAACACAACTAGTGAAATGGGATACATGTATTAAGTACTTAGGCCAAGCACTTAATACGGCTTATTGAAAACTCACCGCCACTCTGTGAGAGTATCATCATAAGCCCTGCTTTGTGGATGGGAAAACGGAAGCATACAGAATCCAAGCAACTTGCCAAGGCCACTCCTCTAGTCCATGGTGGAGCTTAGATTTGAAGCCAGCCTGAGTGATTCTGAGGTCCAGGCTTGGCACCAACATGCTGAACTTCCAACACCTGCCCTCCCAAGGCCTCCCGGGTCCCAGGCACTGCAACATCAGTGATCCTGGGCCAGGCCGCTGCTGCCTGACAGGACCAGGGAAACCCGAGCTGGATATCACTGCAAGGAGATCAGGCCGCACACCTGGCTTCCTGAAACTGAGTCCCCTGACTTATATTGTTTCAGCGGGAAACCCACCCATACTATGACCTCCAGGTGAAGGTGCTGAGGGCCAGAAATATCCGGGGCTCAGACCTGTGTGAGTGACCCCTACTTCCAAGCTTTCTCTCCCTTCCTGGAACACTTGGCAGAGCTCAGCCGGGGCGGGCTTGAAATGTTTGTGTTAGGAGGAGGCTGAGGGTTGGTGCTGCCCATGGAGGGAGGCGAAGGAGCCCAGGCTGCAGCCCCAGGGCTGGCAGGCAGGAGCTGGAGGGGGCACTGTGCAGACCCGACTCCTCCCTGAGGCTTGCAGGCAGAGTGGTGACAGCCTGGGAGAGCTCCCTTGCTGCTGCCAGAAGTCAGCGCCCACCTTCCATGAACTCTCCATGCCAGTGCTCACACTGGAGGGGAGTCTGTCACCCAAATCAAGTCCTCTCTGGGAATTAGTTATGCAACGGTCTGTGCTGCCACGTGACCTTTCCAACTGGCCACTGCAGGATTTCCACTCAGGCCAATGGGAGGTGTGACTGGTGGAGATGGAGCCCAGGACAAGGGCTCTCCCTTCATCCCCCCATCCCTGCAACGTGGACAGCCTCCTCTCCTAGTTCTGCACCTTCCCCTCCCACCCCAGCCTCCTTCGGGCACCCTTCTCAGCAATAAGAGCTTGAAGCCAGGATCCCTCCCCGTCCTACTCACAGTGTCCAAAGCTGACTGCTACGTGCAGCTGTGGCTGCCCACAGCCTCTCCCAGCCGCGCCCAGACAAGGGTGATAGCCAACTGCAGTGACCCCGAGTGGAATGAGACCTTCCATTACCAGATACACGGCGCTGTGAAGGTGAGGGCTGGCGAGGGGCCGGGGTGGCGGAAGGAGAGGGCTCCTTCAAGGTGCCTGCCCTGCCTCAGGCTCTCGCTTCCTGCCTGCCCTGTCTCCAGAATGTCCTGGAGCTCACCCTCTATGACAAGGACGTGGTGGGCAGTGACGAACTCTCCGTGCTGCTGTTTGACCTGAAGAGCCTCAAGCCCGGCCAACCCCACAGGCACACCTTCTCACTCAACCAGCAGGTGAGCCGCCCCATCCGCCAGCAACGAGCCGAGCTCAAGTAGAGGGCGGCCAGCACGGGGCACGGAGGGGGCTGCCAGTCGGCAGACCAGGCCTCCAAGACAGAGCCTCCCCCGCCCTGCACCACCGACCCTGCTGCGGGGCTCCTCACACACTTCTTCCCTAAGTAGAACCGACATGTGAGCTCCTTGAGGGCAGAACAGTTTGTCTGTCCTGATCGTTGCTAAATCCTCAGTGCCCAAAACAGCATTCACACAGTCCCGAATGGATGAAACTTCTCATGGAGATGCCACTTCCTTTCCTGTGCCCAAAGAAGCCACAACAGTCTCCTCTTCTAGTCCCTGGAGCTGAGCAGGGCTGGGGGGCAGGGATGACCCCTGAGGCTTCCTGAGCTCTTTGAAAACTGGTGCTTCCTTGCTCCCTCCATTAGGATTCACAAGAGCTACAGGTGGAGTTTGTTCTGGAGAAGAGGTGAGTCCCATTTACTCTGAAACCACGACAGCTCCCAGCCATCAATCGCCAGGTCCTGGGCTGGCCTGGCTCGAGAGGGGATGTCCTGGCCTTGACACCCATTTGAGTGTTGGCCAACCCCCACCACTACCCCCTACCCCTGCCTTGTTCCCCAGGCTCTTCCAACTGCTTTGATCACATTATTATAGTAATAGCCGCCTTGAGGGGCCCAGGTATCCAATGAGCCCTTCCTCCTTTGCAGCCAGGTGCCTGCATCTGAAGTCATCACCAACGGTGTCCTGGTGGTGAGTAGGGAAGACCCCAGTGTGGGGCTGCCCAGGGCTGGGGGTCATTGAGGAGCCCACGATTGAGCCCATCCCACCCACTTGCCTCTCTGAAGGACACTCAACCCCTCCTCAGAGAGGAGGTGTGCTGGGTAGGCTTCTCCAGTGACGAGGGAGAAAGAAACTACCTCCCAGCTGAGTGGACAGCCTTCTGCCCGGTGTGCAGCACAGTGCTCTCGTGGGGCCCAGACTTCTGCCAAATAGGCCACGGTTGGGGGCGGAAGCTCCTCACCTCCTGCCCCTCTCCCGCCAGGGGCCACTCCTGAGTCCTAGGAGGGCAGGCTGCTACAGAAGACCCCTGCCTGCAAGGCACAGGCCCTGGGAAGATTGCTGTGTGGACATTGCCCCCAATACCTCTCCCTTTTACCTCCCCCCACCCCAGTTTGGGCCTTGTGACTGTCTGGCTCCCATGGTCCTCTGCTTTCCTCAGGCTCAGCCCTGTCTGAGGATCCAGGGTGCCCTCAAGGGAGGTGAGACGGCTCCACACAGAAAGTATGGCGGTGAGTCTGACCGGCGGCCTTGGGTCTTTCCTTCTCCCCCAGGGTGTTCAGCCAGCTGCTGATTTCAAGTTGGGTCTGGGTAGAAAGTATTTAACTTTTCACTGCTTAAAGCTGACCAAGGATGAAAAGGATTGTCCTTGAAAATATGCAAGCACAAAGGCTGTATCAGTCCAGCCCCATGGCAGACAGCAGGAAGCACTGACTTGGCTCACACACCGGGTGGTCGGCTGGGGCTGGGCTGATCAAGGTTGGGTGGGCTGGAGTGACCTGGCTCTGTACCGTGTGTCCCTTGTCCACCTTTGTGACTAGTGGACCAGCTTAGGGCAGAGGCACCAGAGAGCAAGCAAGCGCTCAAGCCTTTGGATAATGGCTACCAACATTATGTTATCAAAACAAGTCCCAAGGCTGACCCTAAAGGTGGAGGGCAGGGAATTTAGTCAGTCTTTCCTTGGGAGGAAGTGAAGTCACGTGGCAAAGAGTGAGAACTGCGGGAGACGTGAAGAGCTGGGCCCACACGCAGCTGCCGCAGAGGGCAGCGGCTCTCGAGGAGGGGCCAGGAGGCCAGCGGAGCAGAGGCTGTGAGACAGCCGAGGTCCCCTCCAATGCCGAGTGGCTGAGAGGCTGAGCCTGTAGGATGAGTCCCGCGCGGGTGACAGCAACCCATACTGTGAGTCAGACACCAAACTAAGCATTTAATATGTGTTTTATTGTTTGATCCTCGTAACAGCCCTGTAAAGTAGGTACAATCATTATCCTCTCTTAATTGATGAGACTGAGTCTCGAAGAAGAAACTTGCTTAAGGCCACACAGCCAGCCAGTGAGTGGTGGAGCCAGGGTGAAACCCAGGTCGGGGACCCTGCGGGGTGCCTGCCCTCGCCACCAGAATTGGTTTTTTCTCACCGTGAACAGCACATGCATACCAACCTCGAAACCATGGTGTGAAAAAACTGTATTTTTCTTGTTTTCTCTAATTTCCCCCCACCCCATCCCGGTTCATGTCAAGTCTCCAGGTCTCATTTAATGCCAAGGACTGTGTGTGAGGAGAGGAATTCCACTTGGACCTCTTCTCCTGAGGTGTTTGCCGTCCCCTCTGCCTGGGTGTCATGCTCAGCCATTTCTCTGGGGCCTTCCCTCCTCCCCAGAATGCTGCTAGGAAGAGCGCAGGCCCTGCTGCTCCGGGGCCACAGGCCTCTCTTAGCCTCCTCCCTGCCTGGACTCACCTTCAAGCCTGGGCTGGCTGTCCCTGCTTCTCCCAGCCACCTATTCTCTCTGTGCTCAGGAGCTCACTTCTTTCTTTCACCTCCTCTGCAAACCATCTGTGTTCTCCCAAGATCTTACCCTTTGGGAGCCAAGGGCTGAGATGCTTGCAGTCTGGCCACAAACCTCCTCCAAGGTGATGAGCAAAGAGGTTGAATGGGCAAAAGGGAGGGGAACTATGAGTTGAAAACTGGTAATCAATGTAATAATTAACATGACAGTTACAATCCAATTTTTGTAAAATTGTATATGTATTTTTAAAGATTCTATTTATTTATTTTTAGGCAGAGGGGAAGGGAGAGAAACATCAATGTACAATTGCCTCTTGTGCGCCCCCTACTTGGCCTGCAACCCAGGCATGTGCCCTGACTGGGAATCAAACCAGAGAACCTTTGGTTCACAGGCCAGCACTCAATCCACTGAGCCACGCCAGCCAGGGCTAAAAAGAATAAATTTTAGACGATAGAAAATAATAAGTTTTTTAAAACAAACTTCCTTGTCACTATGATTTTGGAAAAAATACCTGCCCTATGCAGAAAACACAGAAAAGTATAAAGCAAAAAATACAGATCACCTATAATTCTATCTAGAACCCAGAGAAAAGTAACTACATTATAATGTTTAAATTTTCTGTAAAATTATATTTTATATACTTAATATAATAATCTCAAAATCATCAGCCCCATTAGCTCTCCCTCCCTGCCTTTCCCCCTCTCCTAGACAGTGTGTGTTTCCCCCTCACCCCCGGGTTCCCAGTTCTGGCCAGGAGGGCACGTTATAGGGCCCTGAATACCCTTCGTGGTGCCTTTGCTATGGGCCACAGAGCCAGAGTGAGCAGGGTGATGGGTCAATATTCCCAAGAGGAAGAAAACGGGAGTTGCTACTGGGGGCGCTAATGTCAATGAGACACACACCCTGCTCTCTCCTGCTCACCCGGGCCCTCTGCTCCCAGGCTCTAGGCAGGTTCGGCTGGCAGTGCCTGGGGCCTACGAGAAACCACAGCCCTTGCCCCTGCAGCCTCCCGTGGAGGCAAGCCCCCCAGCCACCTTTACCTTCCATGTGAATCCGGTGCTTCGCTCCAGGCTGGATGTGGAGCTGGCGGAGAAGCTCACAGTCCTGGAGGTGAGTGAGCCCAGAGCCTGGAGGAGGCGGGTGATGGAATTAGTCCGAGCAGTGCTCCAGGGCTGCCATGTGGGCACACGCACATTTCCTTCACCCTGGGGGCTCCACAGTGTTCACTTCTCTGCAGAGTGGCCCGAGTGCTGAGTTGGAGGCTCAGAATAGCAACCTGGGTGAGGGGAGCATCCTGCTCTCCTCGCTGACCCTGGGTCAGGAGGAACAGCGCTTGGTGACTCTCGGGGAGGTAAGGCTCAGACTGGGTAGCTGAGGGACGCTGGCCTGCTTTGTGACCCCCAAAAAAGGTCTGGGGGAGGGGGCCTGCGAGGGAGGGTAAGATCAGACCAGCCATGGTTCACATCTGGGCCAGAGTTACTGGAGCAAGAGTGGCGTCAGGTGGGAGAATCCTACCCAGTGTGCTTGCGATGGCTGCTCTCTTTCAGGGCCAGGAGGTGGCTCTGAGTGTGCAGGCAGAAATGAGGTGAGAAAGGCTTGCTTCAGGAGGAAGGCTCTTGGACTGGGCCGGACATGTCAGGGGCTCTCCCGCCTACTCTGCTCAGCTGGGGGTCGGGGGAGGGTTGGGCGTGTCTGGTGCTGGTGGGATCTTCCTGAGGGATTCCACAGAGTGCGGGTCCGCTCCCGTGAAAAAGTGGCTGGGCCCAAGGCTCTCCTCCACCAGTCATTCAGGACCCCAACCCCACCCCACCTGAGGCAGCTCTGGGGACCTTGACCTACGCCTTGGCTTTGACCTCTGTGATGGGGAGCGAGAGTTTCTGGACAAGAGGAAGCAGATCGTGTCCAAGGCCCTGCAGCAGGTGCTGGGATTGAGCCAGGCTCCTGACAGTGGCCAGGTAAGGAATGGAGGAGACCCCAGTGTCCTGAGAACCAAATCCAGTTTCTTCCCTTGAGAGGACTGTGTGGCTAAGATGTGACAGGAAGCCTAGAGGAAGAAGTGTGGGGAGCAGAGGGGGGAGAGGGCGGGCCTGTTCACCTGAGCCGGTTGGAAGAGTCAGGCCCCCATATGTTGTGAGGGCTGAATAGTCTGGCCAAGGGAGGTGAATTAGTCAGCTCCCCTGTCCGACCGGCACACCACAGACTGGGCGGCTTAAACAACGATGTATACTTTCACCTGGAGGCCCGGAGTTCAAGCTCAAGGTGCCATCAGGGCTGGTTTCCAGTGATGCCTCTCCCCCTGACTTGTAGATGGCCACTTTCTTGCTGTGTCCTTAGGAGGCCTCTCCTCCGCGCATGTGCAGGGGGTGGAGCTCCTGTCTCTCCCTCCCACTAGGACCCAGGGCTGTCAGATCGGGCCCCACCTGACGCCCCTTCCTGGCGCTTTCTCCAAATATGCTGTCGGTGTAATCAAAAAGAGAAGTCTCTGGCTAGAAATACACGTAAATGGCAGAATATTCAAGGCTCTCAGAGTTTGCACACTATAAACATAACTAGAAATAAACCTAGAAATGCTCCTAGGAGCAGAGAAAAATCATTTGTTTTGTGATGTAACTGGATCACAAAAGAGACAGTGGCCCTGCATTCTTAGCTATTGGATCAGTCCGTTGTGGTGTAGGAACTACCTAGATCAGCGATCGTGATCATGGATTTCGGGCGGTCAGGTGGGGTGCCGGGCGGTCTGGCCACACGGGAGGTTTAGCCGAGGAGGTCACGTGTCGGACTGGAGGCGGCCAGCCAGTGTGCCGTGCTGACGACAATCTGTACAATGTCTGACGAAGGACTGAGAGGTTTAGTCAAGTTTAAGAGTTTAATCGTCAAGGATGGATTTATTGTTTTTCCTCAAGCTTCAGGTTCTGTGGATAATTTAGCCGTAAGGCTGAGAAGAGACCCCATTAATTTTTCCTTTATTTTTTCTTCAGTAATCACATTGGGCTTCTACATTGGGACTGGGGTGGGGAGGTGAGGAAACAGCAGACAGAAGGAAAGGCAGGGCTGAGGTGAGGCCAGTGGGGAATCAGGGACAAGCTGTGGCCTTTCCCAGGCTGCGCATGTTGTCGGGGGTGAAGCCCGCGCCCCGTGCCCCGCACTGACCAGCCAAGCAAGCCTGGGGCATCTGTGAGGGCAGTACCACTCCGTGCTGGGCTCCGTTCTGCAGGGGGTGGGTCAGGCGGGCACAGACCCTGCCTGCAGGAGCTCTGTCTCCTCCAGTTCTCTAAAGCAGTGGTGCCCTTGCTGTACAGTGGCCAGGGAACATTTTCCTTTTAAGACAGGAGAATAAAGGGCAGAGAAAGGAACCCAAAATCTGGGTGAAAGGAGTGACACCCACGTGGAAAAGCTAAGCAGCTAAAACACTTCCAGTCAGACCCACAGGCACCTCTCCTGTGGGTGGAGGCCCAGGCTGCTTGGTGGTTTCTGTGACCTTAGCTTAGTGGTTCTCAACTGGGGGCAATTCAGCCCCCCAGTCCCATCCCACCCAGGGGACATTTGTCAGTGTCTAGAGACACGTTTTATTGTGACAGCTGTGTGGGGGGAGAGGGATGATATTGGCATCTGCTGGGTAAAGGCCAGGGGTGCCGCGAAATAGCTCTAACACAGAGGACAGACCCTCACAAGAGAGTTATCTGGACCACAATTATCAGTGGTGCCAGGACTGAGGAGCCCCACTGTAGCTGTTTGGGGTGAGTCCGCTACACCTTGCAGGCACATCCTTCCCTGGTGTGATGGTCTGGAGCTGTCCCTGGAGTCGCACTGCTATAGATTGCTAGCCCATCACTTACCACCTGCATGACTGGGGGCACATTCTCTCACCTGCCTGTGCCTCCCAGTCCCCTCCTCTGTACAACTGGGGTCTCACTGGGCTGCTGGGAGGGTTCAGTGCAGTAATACATGTGAGGCGCTTGGATAGAAGCCCGGCATTCCGGGCAGTGCTGCACGAATGAGCGGCAGTGGTGGAAGATGTGGCTGTCTCTGTTACTGCCGTGCCCAGGTGCCTGTGGTGGCTGTGCTGGGCTCTGGAGGTGGGACCCGTGCCATGTCTTCTCTGTATGGCAGCCTGGCAGCGCTGCAGGAACTCAGCCTCCTGGACACTGTGACCTACCTGAGTGGGGTCTCTGGGTCCACCTGGTGAGTGAGGTGGGAGCAGGGCACAGAGTAAAGAAGAGCTCTCAAGGGACAGGGGTGTGACCAGGTGATTTGGTGGAGTCCCAGGTGGGGGCTGCCCCGAAGGGGGCCTGAAGGGGCAGGAAGGGACTGAGTCCCCAGGGACCCCCTGAGCGGGTGATGCAGGGCAGTGAGTATCAGTGATGGGGAAGAGGGGTCACTCACAGACACCTGCCTTCCTCTCTCCCTTTGCTGTGTTCCCCTGCCCTTAACTGCCCCCAATTCCCTTCATGTCCAGGTGCATCTCCACACTGTACAAGGACCCAGCTTGGTCCCAGGTGGCTTTGCAGGGCCCCATGGAGCATGCCCGGGCCCGGGTCTGCAGCAGTAAGGTGGGCGCAGTGTCCACGGAGCGCCTACAATACTACGCTCAGGAACTGCAGAACCTGGAAAGCAATGGCCACAGCGTTTCCTTCATTGACCTCTGGGGCCTCCTCATTGAGTATTTCCTATACGAGGAGGTAAGAGAGGAGCAGGTGACAAACATGGCTCCCCTCCACCTCTGTCCCTCTAGCACCTGATTCTGCCTTAGCCACTAGGCTAAGATCTGAGATTTGCAAAGCTATCCCTTAGGTCTGAGCTCCCTGGGGGCAAAGGGTCAGATTCCAGGGTGGGGGGCAAAGTGGGGGGCGAGGGTTGACACCCCTTTATCTTTCCTGGCTCCTAATCCCTGGGGAGGGAGAGGCTGGTCTGCAGTTCTCAGGTCTGTTTGCATATTAGAATCACATGTGCATCTTTTCAATAACGCCCCATGCCCGAGCCGCACGTCCAGAGTCACTGATTTTCACAGGGCCTGGGGCAGAGCACTGGCACACGTGTGTTTTGAAAGTGTTGCAAGTGATTCCAAAATGCCCTCTGAGGGAGGCAGACCACCTCTCTCACCCACTGGCCGAGAGACCACCTGGTGGCTTCTCCTGGAACTGCAAACCCAGAAGCCCTGGGGGATGAGCGATTCAGAGTGGGTGAGGGGCGAACCTTGGGTGCCTGGCCCCCTGGCGGGTTCCTATTCGTTGTGGATGTATATCACAGGTTATTTCTAACTCCTAAGAAAAGAATTGATGTTTTCCAGTGATTGGCTTCTTAAAGAAAGCAGACTGGATTTTCAGTTATTCCCTTAAAAGTGTCACCCTGACTCTCTGTGGTTTTGATATACTTTCTTGAATGGGAAAGAAGGTGGAAGGGTGTTCCCAGTGCCTCTGGAACGACACAAAACTCGCATCGGCCTTACCTCTGCTGCAGCCTAAAGCCTGCCCCTGAGAGAGCTGTCTCTGGACCACCGGCCTTGGCGGACCACCACGAGTCGCCACACCCTGCAGGGTGCCGGCCTCAGGCTGTGGGGGCAGAAGAAGAGAATGCCCACAAAGCCTATCAGCTTCCCTTCTTTTCTGCCCAGGAAAACCCTGCCAAGCTCTCCGACCAGCAGGAGGCTGTGAGCCAGGGCCAGAACCCTTATCCCATCTACGCGGGTGTCAACGTCCACCCCAACATCAGCGGGGAAGACTTCGCAGGTGCCTGGGTGTGCAGACACAAGAAGTGGGCGGGGGCAACGGCAGGTCAGAGGGCAAGAGAGGCCAGGCTCTCAAGGATACAGATGGGAGCCTTGGAGCACAGCACAGATGCTGTGTCCTGCTGCAGGCAAGGCACAGCTTCTCGCTCGGTGGTGAGGGCGAGGGGGAACGCTGGCATCCTGGTGGGAAGCCCCTGGTAACATTCCCTGTACTCTGGGTCCCCAGAGTGGTGCGAGTTCACCCCCTACGAGGTTGGCTTCCCCAAATATGGGGCTTACGTTCCCACCAAGCTCTTTGGCTCAGAGTTCTTCATGGGGCAACTGCTGAGGCCCTGGCCGGAGCCCCGGATATGCTACCTGCAGGGTGAGTCCAAGGTGGAGGGTTGGGGATAGGGCAGGCGCCGGGCCAGGCCCCGAAGTGGATGTGGGTGGAGGAGTCATGGGGACCAGGGCCCTGTCTGTCTCCTAAGGTATGTGGGGCAGCGCCTTTGCAGCCAGCCTGGACGAGATCTTCCAGAAGACCGCTGGCTCCAGCCTCGGCTTCCTGAACTGGTACCGAGGCTGTGTGAACGTCACAGGTGAGGGTTCAGACCTGACCCCCAATCCCCTCCATTCTTTCCAGCACTAGGGCCCTGGCAGAGGCATAGAGAGTGAGGGAGGGGATGGTAAAGGACCAGCTGTCCCACTGGATTCAGAGGAGTCCTGAGGAAAGGAGGTCCCCGGGGAGGCAGTGTGGGAGGGGCCGGGGAGGGCGCAAGTCAGAAATCCCGGTGGGGTGATATAATCAGGCGACACCTTTGAATTCTCTGCTTGGGCTCCAGTGAGGTCAGCTTGGTCCAGGATCCCTGGGCACCTGGTTTGATACTCTGTCCCCGCACCTAAAGGCTCCTCTTCGGCCCGCTCCTTGTGTGGCCTATGAGCTCCCCACTTTGAGGAATACCTTTCCCACCTTTCTCCCCTGGATAACTTTGCCCAACTCTTTCATTTATTTTTATTTATTTATTTTAGACAGAGGGGAAGGGAGGGAGAAAGAGGGAGAGAAACATCAATGTGCAGTTGCCTCTCATGCACCCCCTACTGGAGACCTGACTTGGCCAACAACCCAGGCATGTGCCCTGACTGGGAATTGAACCGGCAACCCTTTGGTTCACAGGCTGGTGCTCAGCTCACTGAGCCACACCAGCCAGGGCTGCCCAACTCTTAAAAGATTTAGCTGAGTCATCATTTTGTCAGGGAGTTTCTCTGCTCCACTCCATCCCTCTCATCTGATAAGGGTGTGGCCACCAAGGTCCCTGCAATGCTGCAAGCACAGCCCTCACTGTCCCCCACCCCCGCCAGGGCCTTGTTAGGGCTCATTTTCTCCCTAGGACTCTCCCCTAAGTGGGTGCAAGCCCTGGGGGCTGGGCCCTGGCCACCTTCGCGTCCCTCCTGCCCAGCGCAGTGCCCGGCATGTAGCAACTGCTCAGTAGGCGTTTACGGGATGAAATTCTGGTTAGAAGTTGTATATACAACTGTATTTTCAGAAGGGTGGGAAATAAATTATTATTTAATAAATGCAATGTCATAGACAACTTTGAAAAACATGGGAAACATTAAAGAAAAATGTCATTTAAAAGGGATTCTGGGCAGCAGTGGTCAGAGGCCTGGGGGGCCGAGCAGGGGAGGGGGGAGGAGGAGGGGTGTCAGGAGGAGACGGGGGTGGGGGGCTCCCCAGAGCCATAAAGGCCACTGGACAAAGGATGGCACCACCCTCACTAGATGACTGCCAGAAGCTTCAGCGGCACGACCCCACGAGGCTGCGAACGAGGCTCTTCACCCCCCAGGGGCCCTTCTCCCAGGCAGTGCTAGACTTATTCACCTCGAGATTCACCTCTGCGGAGAACTTCAACTTCACCCGGGGCCTCTGTCTGCACAAGGACTATGTGGCCTGCAGGGATTTCGTGGCCTGGAAAGGTGGGTGCTCCCCTGGGGGAGGGGCCTCTTTCTGGCTCTGGCTCTGGCTCATTTGTTTGACCTGGGGTTTGGGTGTGGCCTCCTGCTGTCCAGAGGCTGATGGGGGACGACTGTGCTGGGCTGGGACGGGCTGGAACACCTCAGAGTGGTGGTCCGAGAGAGGGGCAGGAGCCGAGATCTCTAAGAGAGGGGTGCTCCCAATGGTAAGAGAAGAGGGCTGCTCAGAAAAGACGTATTTGTGCCCGCGCAGACTCTCACCCAGACGCCTTCCCCAACTGGCTCACTCCCATGCGGGACTGCCTGTCGCTGGTGGACGGGGGCTTCGCCATCAACTCTCCCTTCCCGCTGAGCCTGCCGCCGCAGAGAGCGGTGGACCTCTTCGTGTCCTTCGACTACTCCCTGGATGCGCCTTTTGAGGTGCGAGTGGGTGTCTTCTATTCAGGTGGCCCAAGCGGGTGTTCGGGGACTCCCCTAGAGGAGGGCCTGGGTCCCCATCTGCAGGGGATGCCCTGTGCACACTGTGCGTGGCGCTGGTGTCCCCGGTCAGAGGATGGGGTTGCTGAGGTCCTGGGAGCATGTGGGAGTTGGGAGAGGAGGCGAAAGAGGGTCCGGTCCGCAGGTGTCTTCTCTCCTGGTGAAGAGAAGACCCCGGGTGTGAGCCCTGCCTGTTCCTGATGTCATTCCTTGCTCCCGTCAGGGCTTGCTGTCCCTTTGTTACTATGACGATAGCAGAGCCCTCAGGGTCCCCTCGGGCATCTCTCAAACCCTGTGTGGTGGTGAACAGGTTTCACCACCCGGGTGTGGGTTCTCACCGTGCTGTTGGCCAGCTCTTCCCTCTTTGATCTCTTCTTCCTCCCCCTCCTCTTGGGTCCAGTGAGACCTCTATAACCACCCAGTCTCAACCCTGTGAGAGTGGAGTCAGCCCCCTAAGAGGGAGCGGGGAGGGTCAGAGAAGGGCAGGGGTGGGGAGTCACAGGGAGGGATGACCGTGAGCATGCCGGTGATGACCGTCAATCTGCAACACCGCCCCACTGGAGAGCGATTCCCATTTTTAGTTTAGAAACGGAGAAGTGGGCTCCAAAAGGTTATGCCACCTGCCTAAAGTCACAGCCAGAAGGAGGCAGAGCTGGCCTCGAAACCTGGGCGTGTGTGAGTCCATCTAGGTGCAGGGCCGGCCAGGTCAGAAGCCTGCCTCCCCACCCAGGTCTTACAGACGACAGAGAAGTACTGCCTGGACCGAGGCATCCCCTTCCCCAAAATCGAGGTGCTCCCTGAGGACCTGGAGGAGCCCCGTGAGTGCTACCTGTTTGCCACGGATGAGGACCCCCGGTCACCCATTGTGCTACACTTCCCCCTGGTCAACCGTACCTTCCGTACACACCTGGCCCCAGGTGAGGGGAAGCCCTGGGCCTGAGTCTGGCCCACAGAGCCCTGGGAGGGTGACAGGGTGCTGTTCTGAGAGTGGGTCCCCTTAATGAGGTAGCCTGGTGTGCTTCCTGAAGAGCCCGAGCCGGCCACTGCGGCCCAATGCATGCTGGACCGCAGCACTGGCACTGGCCTGGCTCCTCCTGATGGGCGAGAGGGCAGAGATGGCCCCAGCTGTTCTGGGGAAAGGGGCTCCTGGGCTGGCAGCTCCTAGCCGCAGAGGAGCTGCAGCCTGGTCTCTCCTCCCCTCCCCTCCCACAGGTGTGGAGCGACAGACAGCTGAGGAGAAGGCTTTTGGGGACTTTGACATCAACGGGCCAGACACACCCTACGGCATGATGAACTTTACCTATGAGCCCGAGGAGTTTGATCGGCTGGTGGCCCTGAGTCGATACAATGTTCTGAATAATGTAGAGACCATCAAGCAGGCCCTCCAGCTGGCTCTGGACCGGCGGCAGGCGGGGGCTGGGGCCGGAGACTGACCCAGTCTGCAGCTGGGAGACTGGGACACAGGAGGGACTGTGAGGCTCCAGCCCAGAACGTGGTAGAGGGAGGGGCGGGCTCTGCGGGGCTTCTGCTTCGCATCGTGCTGGGACCTGCCTTAAGGTGCCCCAGGCCCCAGAATTGTCTTGCAGAATTACAGCTTGGACATGGGGCAGAGACCTTCTGGTGTGTGTTTCTGGGGCAAGATGGGGCAGTATGTCTCTGCGGGGGCTCTTGGGCAGAAGCAAGCCACGCTCACTTTGCAGTGGAGTGTGTAGAGGGGATGGAGGTAATGGTCTAGCCCCACGGCCCACCCCACACGCAGAAGGACCTCAGACCCTCACCAGAATGGGAGCTGTGAGAGCTGGGGTGGAGGTTACTCTGCTTAAACTGGGACCAGAAGCGAAGATGCATCCACTCAATCCACACTTGCGCCCGTGGCCGAATCCCTGACCCCCTCTCCTCCATGGCCCAGCCCTGGCCCCATCCCTGTCCTTGTTCCCAGCTCCTGGCTGCAGTGTTAGTGCAATTGAGAATGAAGGGGGACCACGTGGGTTGCCAGTCTGGGTCACCAACTCCATCGTCCTTTTTGCTAACCTTTCTTCACTCTCCAGCCTCCCCCATCCCTCCTCGTAGCCCACCACCCTTCTCTGCTCAGCCTCCTGAAGGCTGTGCGGTGATGACCCACCCAGGCCAGACTCCATTTCAAGGTGTGCATGTTGTCTGCCTGCTGCCTCCTTAACTCAGGTCGCGTTCCCTTGTCACATGTCCAGCTCCCACCTCACACAGGTGGGCTCACCACTCCCAGCAGGGTGTGTCTAGAGGGCGTGTCCACTAATCAAGGGGCAGAGTGAATGTGTACCTGCAAGTGTGTGCGTGTTCCTAGTGAAGGCAGGCTGGGGAGCACCTGCCTGTCGGCCAGGGATGGGCAGTGGAGGAAGGAGTCTGGCTGGGAGCCCCGGCACCTGGGTTCCTGCCCCTTTCGCAGACACAGCCGATGATCCCAGCAATCTCTCTCACTCCCTGCTCCTCATTTCTCCGGACCCACCTGGGACCCTTCAAACACCTGGAGCCTCTCCAGCTTGGGTAGATTTTAGGTCTATGAAGAGGAGGTCGCTCCAACCAGGTTTGGTCTGGGGGACCCCCAGGCCCGCTGCTTCTGGCCCTCAGCCTCTGCAGCCTCATAGGCCTGTTCTCCTCAGCCCTGCCCCAGGCTCCCTGGGGCCCTTTTGGGGGGCCCAGCTGGCATGCTCACTGGGACACTTGCCCCCCATTGCCCTCCACCAGGAGCGCACTCCCTGGCTGCACCTCCTGCCTCACTCTCTCACAAGCATATTCTCCAGGACCAAAGTCACACTTCCCTTTTCAAGCAGGGACACCTCTCCAAGGAAGCCTCACACATCCTGACTCTGGGAAGAAGACCCTAGTTTGGGTTTCCAGCTGAGAGGAAGGTGGCTCAGCCTGTGTCTCTGGCCTGGGACCCCCCAAGCCTCTTGCTGGACATGAGCTGGGGAGCCTGTAAGAGCCGGGCCTCAAAAGGGCCAGTGCTGTTGGCTTGGGGGGGGGGTGTGCTTGGTTCCCTCCTGCCTCCTGACCATCGCTGCCCATGGCAGGCCACTGCCACCACAGCCTCTGGGGCTCAGCAGTAACAGGTTCCCTTTGGGGCAGCTCCAGGCTAGTCCCTAAGCTCCTGTGATGGCAACTGTCCTCACCGCTGCCCAGCATCATCGATAACAGCTTTATTAGGACCTCCAAAAACCTCGCAACCTAGAGCTTCGTAGATTTCTTAGGACTAGGAACTCATGGAGTCCACAGAGTTCTTACACCTTCACAGAGGTCAAAACTTAGAATCTTTAGTCTGTTTTATTTAACGTTTCATACAGTCTCAGGCTATCTCTGACGCCGGAAAATAAACCCCCAAGGGAAGAAATTCTTGTCTGTTTTGTCTGCTGCTGTATCCCCAGTGCTTAGAACAGTGGCTGGCACAGAGAGAGTGCTCAGTGAGTGTTGGACATATAAATGAGTGGGACACTACAGTCTGAAGAGATGGGTCATAGCCTACCAGCCATGCAAAGGTGTCGAACATTCTACGCCAGTGGTTCTTAACCCCCTTGGATCTTCTTGAAAAGCTTCTGAAACCCATGGGCCCGCTCCTCCCCCCAATGCAAAGATTCATGAAAAGTTTCATACAACAAAGTCTCTGCCTCATGAGACAGTCGCCATCCCTGGGGCAGAGGGAGCCGGTGCCTGCCCTCCCAGGGCAGCAAGTCTGGTGAAGAAAGCAGGCGTGTGGGCTTGTGCAGAGCTGGCAGGCACCTTAGTTCTCTCAGATGTATAGGAAAGGCTGCATTGGCTCCGATTAGATCTGGGAAGACATAATGAGACAAGCTGGGAGGGCAGGGAGGAGGAGGCAGGTCTGGTGCTCCAGCCAAGAAACTGGTCAGCAGCTGGAGAATGATGAAACGTCTCCAGGATCCAATGTGGGAGCCAATAGCAGTGAGGAGTTGGGGGTCAAAGATGACCTGCCGGTTTGGCTCCTGCTCCCAGGTGAGGAGGAGTTTGAGTCCACGTCTACTCCATTTCTATTCCCATTTCCAGCATGTTCCCATAATGGTGAACGTAAGTTTCAGGGTCCTGAAGGTGACTAGGGTGAACTTGGCCGGAAGAATGCAGAGGTAAGCTTGGTGCCCTCTGAGACCGGGTAGAAACCCAAGGGTGCGGCATCATTCTTTAGCTGGTCAGAGTTTTTCATCTTGCAAAGGGAGAGAAAGTGCAGCCACCGAGGCTGTGATGCGTGGCTGCACAGGCTGCACACGGCACAACTCTGCAGGTGCCACTCCTGTGAACTGACAATGTGAACTTGCCGCGCGCGGTCCAGCCGCAGCGGGTCAAAGGGTCCCCTCGAGGTGAAGGTAGGAGTCGGCTTGGAAATCAGGCAACTACACAGCTCAAGGCAGGTGATGCTCTGAAGACGTTTATTGAGAATCAAGCAGGGTTTTTATAATTTTTTACTTGGTTAGCAGTTCTGGTTTCATGGGTTTTGTGGTTTCTCAAAGTTCCTGAAACAGGAACTTGGCTGTCTGATCTAAGCTTGTTGACGCAGGTATCCTATTCTTTGTTCTGTGTCTGGGTTAATATTAGAAATGGGTTGGTGGGTAATTATGCCCTCTAGGTTGACCTGTATACTTGTCTATGCCTTTTCTTATTTCCTCTTCTGCTAAGGGCTGTAATTCTTTGAGTTCTTCTAAAATCTCTTTATATCTAGTTGGCCATATTCTAGAGTAGTATCTTAAGAGACTTTTCTTACTCCTATTTTTCTTTGAGCAGTCATACATTTTTCTGGGGTGTTGTCTGATCTTGCTAGTCTTTCTGCCCAGGGTAGGCTTTTTACTGTTATATTTTTCCTATTCTTTGAAACCTACTTTACCCTATTTTTACCCCAGACCCCATAGTACGGAAGTGTGGGTCTGGGGGGTGTAGGGACTACTTGAAGGCCCTTAGCTCCCTTAGGTGGGTACCACGGCCTTCCCTTAAGGAGATACGCTGGTCCCCATGGAGTTTTTACGGTTGGTGGAATACTCCTGGGTCTATTCTTAGGTTTTGGAGGGGCTTTTGCCCCATAGGGCTATTCCTACGTTGCAGGGGGCTTTCAAGGGTACTTCTTTCAAGTTTCTCTAGGAGTTCTTCTATAGACATGTTTTGTACTTTGATTCCCTCTAAGAAAGCAGTGAGATCATCTCCTGATTTCCCAGAGTTTTCTAACTTATCTTGGGTGTTTTTCCGATGATCTGTTACTGATTAAGCTTGAATTCTCAGAATGTTCTGGTTGTTTCTTTGTACCTACATTCCCTGACGTTTCTAGTATGGTGTCATTATTCTGTTCATTGAGCAGGGAAAGGTCTAAGCGCACTATCTGAATCACTGCAAGGGTATTCATAATGATTAAAGCAGAAAAGGGTCATGATCCCCAAAGCAAGCACAATCACAATAGGTATTGCAGGGCCTTCCATGCCACGTCCCCCAGGTTGGAAAATGCTTCTTTGAAGTCTTACACCCCCTCTCAGGACCTTGTCACGGAGAGAGGGATCCAACAGTGGACGCGGCAGTGGACGTGGCATGAACTGGCCCCACGGAGTCACCCCACACGCCACCCCTGGGACCACAGACTTAGCTAAGGGACATGAGGACAGATGCTGGCCCAAATATCAGTACCCCCTGGCTTCTTCAGATGCGTCTCCAGCCATTCATAACAGTCTCCTGCAGAAAACAGAAACGGGGGTGGTGGAGAGAAGGGCGGGAGGGAGGGAAGGTAGGAAGGAATAAAGTGTACAAATTTATATACACTTGTGATCCTCACTGCAATCAAGATGTAGAGCATTTCCACCACCCCCAAATTCTCTTGTGCTCCGCCCCAATCAGCATCTCATTCCTGGTCCTGGAGACCACCGACCTGGACCACAGTGCTATCGTGAGTACTCTTCAGTGTCTGGCTTCTCTCACTCAATGTAATGCTTTTGAGCTTCCTGCATGTTATGTATGTTCATTTCTTTTCACAGCTGGGTGGGAATTGTATGGGCACACCACAGTTTGTTTATCTATTCACCTTCTGATGGAAATTTAAGTTATCTCCAGCTTAGGGCTCTCATTTGGCTTTTAAAAGGTTCTTTTTTAAATTTGAGAGAAAGAGACATCGATTTGTCATTTTACTTATTTATGCATTCATTGGTTGATTCTTATATGTACCCTGACTAGAATGATGCTCTAACTCACTGAGCTACCCGGCCAGGGCTCTCATTAAGCTTTTTTAAAATATATATATTTTATTGATTATGCTATTACAGTTTGTCACATTTTTTCTTCGCTTTATTCCCCTCCACCCTGTAATCTCCTCCCACCAGCATGCCCCATACCCTTAGTTCATATCCATGGGTTGTATATATAAGTTCTTCGGCTTCTCCATTTCCTATACTATTCTTAACCTCACCTTGTCTATTTTGTACCTACCATTTATGCTTCTTATTCCCTCTACCTTTTCCCCCATCCCCCACCAACATCCACTGATAACCCTCCAGGTGATCTTCATTTCTCTGAATCTGTTCCTGTTCTAGTTGTTTGCTTAGTTTGTTTTTGTTCTTGTTCTTTTAGGTTCGGTTGTGGATAGTTGTGAGTTTGTTGTCATTTTACTATTCGTAGTTTTTATTTTCTTAGTAAGTCCCTTTAATATTTCATATAATAAGGGCTTAGTGATGATGAACTCCTTTAACTTCACCTTATCTGGAAAGCACTTTATCTGCCCTTCCTTTCTAAATGATAGTTCTGCTGAATAGATCAATCTTGGATGTAGGTCCTTGCCTTTCATGACTTGGAATACTTCTTTCTAACCCCTTCTTGCCTGTAAGGTTTCTTTTGAGAAATCAGCTGACAGTCTTATGGGTACTTCTTTGTAAGTAGCCGTCTCTTTTTTCCTTGTTGCTTTTAAGATTCTCTCTCTTTATCTTTAATCTTGGGTAATGTAATTACAATGTATCTTGGTGTGTGCTTCCTTGGGTCCAACTTCTTTGGGACTCTCTGAGCTTCCTGGACTTCCTGGAAGTCTATTTTTGTTGCCAGATTGGGAAAGTTCTCCTTCATTATTTGTTCAAATAAGTTTTCAATTTCTTGGTCTTCCTCTTCTGCTTCTGGCACTCCTATGATTTGGATGTTGGAATGGTTAAACTTACCCCAGAGGTTCCTAAGCCTCTCCTCATTTTTTTTGAATTCTTGTTTCT